ATTCATCACACACGAATGCAGCTACCCGAACTCGACAATCCTGTAATTCACCAACCCATTCCAAAAAAATACTAGTCAGCTGAAATGAGTGAACAGCTTTGGCGTCAAAAAAGCCAGAGGTTTTGAGAAAGGACTGACAAGACTTTTTGCGTATATTTGCAATGCATGATCAGCTGGTATTTTTTCTTTTGCATTTCTAGAATCACCCCTATCAACGAATCCCAGTATCTTATCCAATAAAGAATTGTACACAATGTTTTCCATGACTGAATTTCAATAAGTCTGATACAACAACTCTAAGAAAAAAACACGAAGAAAATGTTTATCGTTCTGTCAAAATGAGGGTTCAGCCAGTTATAAAAAAAAAACTTAAAAATAAAACGATGAAAGTAGTTGGCATGTGCTTCAAATGGAATAAAGGGATAAAAAATGTAATAAATTCGGTCGTCGTGTATTTAAATTGAAAACTTTGCGTTTGTTACATTTATACACGTAGAACGTTTTATTCAACTTATAAATATGTTAAATCAATAATATACATACTTTATAAGTTCTGGGTAACGTTCACCATGCCTAGCAGCTGCATTAAGTTTGGCTTGCTCCTTCCAGAACAAATTATAAAAGGGCGAAACTTCATTTTTTTGTAAACCCGAATAAACCAAATGATAGAAATACTAGAATTATCATCAACAAGTGAAATTATTTCAAAAAATCAAAGAAAATTATGTGCCATTATTTATTATTGCATACAAATTTTCAGACATTTCAGAATCGAGAGGTAATTGAATATTTTTATCCAACATATTTCGGACTTGCTCTTCTAATTCTTGCAATCTACCGTAGGCTATTTGAAAAAAAACGTTGAATAAACTTTAATGGGTTTTGTTAGTATTTGTTAAAATCAAAGTAGGACAAAACTTTGAACTTATAGTCTGAATTTGTTATAAATTAAATCTTACAAATAACAGAGAAATTATTACTAAAAATTGGCTTGGTGTTTTATTGTGACTTTGTTACAATAAACCAAGGTATCAGATTTCACATATTTTGATGGCAATTCGCGAACTTTTCTATGTAGAATTTTTTGTCTTATATTCACACTTCGAATTCGCCTTTCTTTCTGTAAACATTGTTCACACTTGCTTCCCGATGAAATGAATATATCACAGGTTGTCGATCTGCAAATGGATATACTGTAGCTATATTGAAATGAATTTGAAGATAATTTCAAACGCAATATACGACAAATCTGAATTAAAAGGTTTTAAAAAAACAAGTGAATAACTACTTACCGAATAGCTAATTTTTGCATCACTGGCGAACCACATACAGGATTTTCTTTATCAGGTTGTGAACAAATAACCTTTTGGTGCATGTTAAATCATCGTAGTTGGTTAATATGTCTTGGCAGATTTTACTATTTGTAAAAACGTTTAAAATGTTGGAATGAGTCATTGTTGCCACATCAACTTCTCTCAAAGTTCAGTCCTGGATTCAGTTTTAGAAAACAAAATCTATTATTCTGAGTTTCAGAATCCTGGTGGCAAAGTAAATATTGCATCGCGCTCTTCTTCAAATCTTCAATGCCTTCATGGTATATATATTGTGCTTTTGAATTTTCGTTAATGCGGATGCCTAATTGCACGAGTTTCCAAGTTTAATTGGTATTCCTAATTTTAATTCAGTCATACAACCTAACCTCCTAATTTAGAACAATAACAGAACAAAAATAATTTCAAATTTTTGAAAATTTTTTTTAAATATTGCTAATACGATAAGTAGGCCACTAAATCAATTTCATAAATTTAGGTACAAACCTTGCTATGAAGTACTATATACTTGCAATGTTACATATGACAAACTGGATATTTAATATTTCCAATAGCATTACAAAAGCATTTTGCTGTTCTGTATCACGCCTTCTTTTAAAGAGAAATTTCGATGTTAAAGTGCAAACACTCAAAATACTAACTTTGTCGCCATCTGTAAAATGTTCCAAACAAATTTTAACGCTATCGCGTTTGTAAAGATCTTTGCTGAAAGAATCATCTCTGATGCCCAAAATTATTCTTTTCACTTGTGTAAACCGTTTCGCTGGAACCGCACACAAACTTGAGGTGCTTGCGATAGTGTTGCATCCGGGGAGACAACAATGTTTAGACATGGCGCCAATTTTCTTTTGTTACAGATGCAGAAAGTACTATAAACAAAACACAAAGTGAACAGAAGAGAGGCGGCGCGAAGTATGTAATTAGAGCGTGGCTGAGTACGCAATCTCGCCCGTCTAGTGCTGCTTCAACCAAACTAAAACCAAATTTTGATGATTTAGCTAAAAATAGCTCAAGAAATTTGTTGAGATTGCGATTAAATTTAGTTTTGGCACGAGGCTTATTGTTTCCCACTTTTGCTTTTGTGAAACTGTTATATTGTTCATAAAATGTAACTTTTACGTCACACTTACATGGCCCGCCAGTCAAGGAGGGCCGAATTTTTTGCCCCTGGTCCAAAAACCCTGCCCACCACTAGACTAAAGCGTTAATATCAGTGTAAGATACATTCATGTGGCCTTATGAGGTTGGACTATTGAATACATACTATTCTGTTATACCTCAGACACATCTAAATACTTTAAAAATGCAGATTCTACATTTATATTTTACAGTAGCAAAATGACCAAAAAAATTATTTTTGTCTCTTCTTTTTAATATCAAACATTTTCATATTCTATTATGCTGTATTTTCAGTTGATCTGGTTACCAAAACGGAATATGCTCTGAAATTATTCAGCGAGCAAACATACATTTTACTTACTCGGAAAGACAGAGAATTTTGTCTAATGTTGGTAGGTAGCGCTATCGAGTAGCCCTGAGACAAAATCACTTACCGAAGGAAACTGCCTAATACAAATGATATATTACAAAGCAGATGGTAAGTCGCAAAAATATCCTGCTGTGAATATTGACACTTGCTCCTTTCAAACGATATTATATCTGTAAGAGATTACGCTTATTCTGACCCTCGGTTTAAAGAACTGAGATGACGCTATATTACAGGGAAACCTCTTTGTATTCTTATAGCACTGTAATTGGATGCGGTCTTCCGGTGTAACCGACTGCCTTGTGATTTAACCGCCCGCCTTTTTATTACGCCTCTGTAGCTTTATTGAACAGTGACTTTATGTACCGGTACAACGTGCAAGCTTTGGGAAATAAGGATCGTGTATGAAAGCATAGTATAAGTCGTTTAGTGGATTATAGAGATGAGGCAATTTATTTCGAAAAATTTATTCAATTAGGTTCTTTTCGTAGTCAGGCATCGTATTGATATTAATGTAAAGTCAGGACAAACAGGTATGAAAATCAACCTCCTACAACTTCAAGAAAACGTGCATGTTGTAAACCTCTTTTTCTTGTGTGTTTCATCAAACATATGTCAATTTAGCATGTTACCCGTACGCTATTCGTATACTTTCTATCAAACACAGGAGGTAATGGTAGCCACTAGGAACCTCCATTTTTTTGTAACAATTTGCGTAAAAGATTGGGTAGCTTGTATTTCTGATAGTTTACATACGTGTTAATTGCGCGGAGCATAAATTTCTCCATCGGCGTTTATATAATGCATAGATGGTCGATCATTAGCAATAAGTACGATTTATATATATAATCATATTGTAAGATTTTCGTCGATCAGTTGCCAAACCAAAAGAAAGAAAATTTTTTTGTTGAAATACTTTTGTTACTGAAAATACGCGAATGTAGTTTCGCAATGTAAGTGAATGCAAATTGCATGCCATGCAGTGATCATTGTTATTTCTTAAAAAGCAATGAATCGGTTGAAGGATTGTTAAAGTAAAATTCAATTAGTGATATTGTTTTTTTTTTATCTACGATATATGATGTTAATATTGGGCTACGCACATATGCACTGTCGAAACAGTACGATGCGAGATTTATTAAATAATCGGCGGAATGAACTTTTTGAATGAACGGGTATTTTTTTGCTAAATATTTCCAAAAATAAGGAACTCAAAACATAGACAGATAAACTTACATCGCAGCAGTAGCATAATAACCATGTCATTTGTAGACAGCTTGTTTATTTTTGCATGAATAATCGTTCGTGACCAAATGTATTACGTAAATTCGATTCATGGTGGAAACACAAGTCATTTCACTCTGCTGTGATGACGGCAATCGCTGTCTCGCTACTACTGACTCCAACTTTGTCAAGTATGGAGACTTGTATATGAGGGCATTATAGTGTGAGTGGGATCTACTAACTTACGAACTTAAAATAGGATTTTTTATGATATCCTGTAGTTACGTTTTAAGCATTTATTGGCACTATCTTTTCCTGTGCTACCATTTCATGGAAAACAGTACCAGCTACCAGCAGTATTACTCAAGTCAAATATGACGTGAAAAATGAAAAAAAAATTTATAATTTTTACAACCTTTGTAGTATTAAATTAATTGATCTGCTCATGTCGACAAATTTGGATCGTACACCCCTTTAAATTGAACACGACGTTTATAGCAAATAATGTGGCAAATCGGTTTGGTGTATACGCTTGTTCTGGATTATTGGCGGCTATCTGCATTATTTAATTCTGTGTGTATGTTTTACATTCTGGTAAAGTCATATGACCCATGTATTTTTCTACATCGCTAGCAGTGTTTTTAAAAAATAAAATTTGCTCTCAAACGTCTGGTTCAAAGCATCATGATCTGAGGTTTATGGGTTTCAGTACGATGTCCCAGCTTAGAAAATATTTACATCTTTGAAACCTAGAGTAAGTAGTTGGAGTGAGATTCCTGGTAGAATATACGTCCCTCGCAAGTCGTGTTCCTAGAATTAAGACCCATCACTTTTTATCATGCAGAAAATAGCGTCACCCTTTTATTTATTTCATATTCATTGACATTCCCTGTGTCGCTTTAGCAGGTAATATAGCTTCATCGTGTCTAATGTATACCATTGTTAAAAGTATGTTAGTCAAACAAAATCCTTACAATTATTAATATTACTTAGAAATAGACTCAAAATGAATAGGAAGTCAATTATAATGTGGTTGTGTGCAAATGTAGTGTATTGTAATGCAAACAGTGTGGTACCCGTCACGATCAACCAAGCTCAAAATGAATTACCGGATTGTAAGGGTGAATGCAAAGACGATAATTGGGCAACTTGGACTCAATGGGATATATGTAAAGGCGGTGAATGTCATTTAAACGAAGGAAAGTATGTGAAACTGAGTCAAATATTTTTATTCTGATATTTCTATGAGTCTGCTTATAAAATGTGTGTATCGGTAAATCCTTCTCAACACAAATGTCTGCTGCGAGCATTATGAATACTGTATGTCAAAGGCAATACCAATTAAAGCATGAATGGAGAACATACATCTGTATTCTAGATTGGTGTTCATTGGTGCTGTGTATACTGAATTGTAAATGATAAGCAACTCATGAACAACATTGTTTGGTGTATTACACTCTCGGCTGGGGATATGGATGAAAAATTTGATGGATTGAAAAGGAAACATTGCTTTTTTGTGTATTTTTAACCCTATATCAGCACAATTGTTTATTTTACAGACAAACTAGACAAACGATTTGCTTCACCCTCGTAACGCCGCCACCATCTCGCAGTGATGGGGGATCGAAAGAAGAGTTAAAAAGAGAGGGAAAATGGCTAGAAACTTGCATTGAAAAACAACAGCGTCCTTGTGTGAGAGAACTGTCTTGTAGTGGAGAATGGACAAGTTGGGAAAAATGGAGAGAATGCGAAATATCGGGGTGGGTAAACCTTGTCTGGCCCGCGCGTTGGCTGTCTTGAGCTCTGTAAAAATTACTAAAAGTGCCGATAAGGTAATAGTTCACGACAATCAATCGACGGCATTATAATAACAGTAAACCAAATATCTATACTAAAATGAACGGATCATTTTGTGCTAATTAGTAGCATCATCTACGGGCTGAACTGAGAGCAACGGATATAACAATCTCCCTTTATTGTCAAGTCAATTTTTGATTGAATATTTCGTGGTTTACGCAACGATATTTTAAATGGGGATTAAATGTTGCTCCGGCCAATTTGCGAGAGCTTGCTTGTAGGCAGAATGCATTTTTTGTACTATTTGATTTAGATTATTAAAGTCGATTTGATACTTCGGCTGTTCTGGGGTCTGATTCTTATAATTCTGGGTATTCTTATAATTTAAGTCTAGAGCCGGACTAGAAGCGTAAATTTAAACGATCCCCTGAACAAATATGATTAGCAAAATTGTTTACAGCCTATTATTTACTAATACCGTCATGCGCCTACGTCATATCGGAATAACAATAATCACTGAAACCAGACTTCCATTGCCCCTATTTGGCCTCATGCCCAAAGCATGATTGTGTGAACTGGTTTAGCAAAGCTTGTTCGTTGGCAAAATAAGAAAACGAGCTGAAGCACTGACTAACAGTGACAGTATCTGCTGATACCAAAAATTGGCTTCTAATCTTCTTTTGGTGTCTAAGTTAGATTACAAAGAACAACATTGTTATTAAAGATGTTTTTAAATTGTAAATGACTTAAAATCGGATTTTTAACGTATGTCACATGCACGTCAAATGGGTTTCTGTCCTGACGCTTACCGGCGTTTCCGTGTGGTGCGGTTCGTCGTTACGTCACAAAACGTAAACAATAATTTTGTCGCGATTCGCGTAATCCGATCGTTCAATCGTTCAAAACGCTATGCAGTGCGTACTCAATTTTAACAAAACACTCGAAAATTGATCACAATCTATATGTAATTCTGAATTCTCTTGGTATGCAATACTTTGTAAGAAAGGTACATATAAAGCAGTGGATGAATAAAATCAAAGACCTGCGTTTTCAGTAACTCCTACAAAAATTTTGACAGTGTGTGTAGCAGGTGTTGTGTTTATCTTTCCGGTTTTCTAATGACGCCATAGTGTATAGGTCACATTTTCATAAAGTAACAAAAGCATTACCACTTCTTCTAATATTTCGAAATTGTCATTGCCAGACATGCTTTATGAATGGCACGATTTGAGCCATTGAAAAATATTTAGCGTCCTACTATGACCCACATTCGGTAAAGCAATGAATGCAGCGCCAACGCCATATAACAAGATTTTCTTTTTTCATATATTAGTTTGTTGAAGTTTTAATAACATATGACCAAATGCATAGATATTATACTTATAATTTAAAACCCTAAATTCGCGTTGATTTTAAGTATTTATTTATCCGTATCGCGTATATTCGTCGAGACGGCCAAATAACATTTGAACCGCTAAATCATACATTTCTTTTTTGTATCTGTATGACTATTTAAATCGATGTTTTTTTAATTAGGATCAAGAAAGGAGTCTTTAGGTAATAGAGAATGTCACATTTGGAAACAATTTTTCTCAATCAAAATAGCCATTCTTTTTGAGACTTACTTAGGTATACAGCGAAGAAACTCAAATCGCAATTTCTCTACCTAAAATGAGTCAGTCATACACATTGCAAGTGTTTTAATAACGTCGTTCTCGCGTTATTTTCATGTGTGTTCAACACATGTATATCAAAATTTATCCGATCAGTGTAAAACTTGCCCTTATTGCTGATGCATTAATGGAATATTTTCACAGCTACAAGCCTACAACGGTATTAAAATTTGAGGATTTTAACTTACATTTATTGCCGTTTGATAGGCCGAATTCCTATTTTTATTACCTTCGGGCTATACCTTAATACATGAATTTATCGTATATGTATCGGACAGTAATATTTCAAACAATACCCTGTTTGAAGGTAATATGTGAACTTTCAGTTTCTGTGTAAGCACGAAACGCTACATGAATAAGACGACACATGAGTCATAGTTACCTTCTCTGATATGGGAACTTTTCTGTTTGAAAACGCATGTTGATGAAATGAGTCGAAAGTCTTAAAACCAATTAATTGGTATCCGTATTGCGTCTCAACACACTAGAATTGCACAATCAAAACGATTTTGCTGATAGGGGAAATTTCAAAATACGGCAGTCATCGCACGTGAGGCGCGAGAGCGGTTATTACGTAGAGTTTCCAAGTTTTTAAAATCATAATATTCTAGATTGTAAATTTTGCATAACACTAACTTATCTAAAGCAGACGTCACACGTTAACAATTATCTTCTAAATAATTGAAGACGATTGTCATTTTCTTAAATTAGACTTTAGAATATAGTTCACTCCAAGATACCAGTCTTTGAGTCCTCACAATTCGTAAACGTATGAAAAGCTTATTTCAGTAATGGGCATACGTGGCCTTCCATACATGGAAACAATATCGAACTCGCTCTATTGGCTTAAATGATGAAGTCATCATTATGGTACAACATATTCACGACTTTGAATATGAAGAATGCTTTTTAATTGATTAGCTGTTTATAAAACTGAAGCTCGGAGAATTTCTAGGTTCATTCCGGACGAGAACCTTTTTTTTATTTAGCCAAGTTTGGTTCAAAATAGGCTTGTTTCAAATTCCGTATTAAGATCTATTCGATACATGTTAGGTGAATTTAACATGCTGCAGCTATAGGTATTTGGGCCAAAAAATAATATTAAGTGCTCGATCTTACTTAGTTCCTTTCAGATGAAATATTTTAAGCGCCAAGTCGATCTTGATATGACGATATTAATGGACATTACATCCGGTATGCGTGCGTTTAAGTATTCGAGGTGCGTAGTGTTACGTGCAATGAGTCTATGGGGCAAATTTCCGGCAGTCATCATAGGTTCGTTATTCGGCATCAAATTGCGGTGAATAATTTTTTAGGTTCAAGTCAAGTCTCTAGTAAAAGCCAAACACAAAAAAGGTGCAATGAATGCTTTTTATATTCAAGAGAATTTATTTACTTTTCAGGAAGAGCAAAAATGCTACTTGCAGTAAAACCCGACGTCGATTTTGTCTTGACAAGAAAGGAACACGACAATCTGGATCTCATTGCTATGGAGGACCTTCAAGTGACACGGAAAATGAATTGTGTTCAAATAAATCTTGTTCCAAGATCGAGCCAAGGATTGGAATCGTAAGAGAATGTGATGTTTTTGGATATAAATATATTGCTATTATATTATTTACCGATTTTAAATCATACCAGCAATTGATATAGCATTCAACCTAATCAGACAAAATCATGCAGAGTGTCGTTTGTTGTATTTTATACAGATTCTGATCTCCAAATTTAGCTGCCTTTCCTTTTTTGAACAAAACTTTGAACATTTACACTATTTTTCATTCAGGCTACAAAATTTTGACCCATAAATATTGCAGTTAATTGACCCATAAAATTGCACTTAATTGATAATTTAAATCTTGTGTAGCTGATCTTGAAACCAGACCTGCTAACCTGGCAGCCCGAATTTGCCTTGTGCTTGGGGGGAGGCCATCAAAATGACGATTGGGTCCGCCATAAAACAACCCCCATACCTAACTGTTGGAAAAGATTTTTCGCACTGAACACAGTTACAAACTTGATTACTTTTCTCCATGTTGCTTATCGTTGTTGTCCATATACAAAAGGCTTTTTATTTAATAAGGATTTACATCAGTTGCGCTTTTATTTTCGATTTGATCAAGTGAACACTTCATATTGTGCAAAAACGGGTATACAAACTATATATAAATATTACCTGTACGTTTCTTTATCTACGACTACAGTTGTGTAAAAACCAAAAAATCAATATGGCGATATGAAAATGGAAAAATATTTTTTATTTAACTAATAAGGCTGCTTATATACACATTAGATACATTCAGCGCCATCGTGCCTTGCAGTTCTTTTCTTTTAAACTGTGTCATAAAGTCATAATAATAAAAATGTTTTTGTAGGCAGAGGACGACCTTATTATTCCAAAGAAAACAACCAAGCAGAAACCAAATATTCTTAATTCATAATACCATTCTGATTATTGCGGTCGCTATCGGGCCAGTGTTGTGTTCGGAGCACTTTTCGTACTACTTCTCCTGAATTTGGTGAGGCGTTCGTCAGGTCGAGACGATGAGAGCACTTCATCAAGGGGTGATGTATGGAAAAGAATCGGCAGTACAAACACCAGTAGCATTGGGTATTCAACAGGATACGTAGCCGCTTCGGACGTGATGTCCCCGAGACTCGACATCAATATTCTAAGTCCAAGTGCTTCTGCATCACTTGGTTCGTCCAGTTCCAATCAACATTTTTTTGGCCGAGGAGAAGCTATGACTCCTCCAATATCCGAAGAAGCTACGGAGGTCGGTGGATTACTAACGGTATCAGGTAATATAAATTCAAACGAACCCCCAAGACGACGGAGTCGCTTAATGCAAGAGAATGTTTACTGGGAAATAACAGAAAATACTGCATCGTCCTCCGATGGCAGCGACGACCAACCATTACCACAAAATGGCGACAGGGAGGTGGTGCGAAACGTTTTATATGGTACAACTGTGTGACATATATCCCTTTTAAATCAGGCTCTGGATTACTTTAAACCAGCAAGTTTCAAAATTCACCATGTGCATCTAGAGAGGCGACTCAGAGTTCTGTCAAGGTGAATGCCTAAGAAAGAAATTTGTTTTGCTCAAATTTTGCTTAAAAACGGATTGACTCAAATTAAAACACTACAAAATTGTTTTGGTGACTCATCGTAAATGATGGAGAATAATGTAATATAATTTTATATATGAAATTGCGCTTATATGCCCAATTTTTACCACCAATTTCAGTAATGAGTGCGTGCAGGATTGAATAGAATTTTGTGTATTAGATTATCATAATGCTATATTTACATTTATATATTTGAACAAAAAGAGAGAAAGAATATGACTTCATTTTTGTTTGAGCTGATTCAGTTTACTTGACTGATTTACAATTCAAAACTCTTTAGAAATATAAAGAAGCTTTCGTAAGAAATTATTCATAAAGTAATAATCCAGTGCGCAACCAACTATGTATTTATTTCTTCACACACATTCACGTGCATTCTTGACTGCGATCGCATTTTCAAATGCATATGAAGTGTTATGCTGAATAACGTGCATATACACAGGTTGTTGATATATATTCAAATTAAGGTCAAACTTGTTAAGTCAAGCAGTAGGCGTGTGATTAATCAATTCATCGCTGTGTTTGCGTTAGACTTCTGGTCTTGACTCCTCAATTACGTCGCTTCCGGATCTCGTTTACATTGAACGAGTCACCTCATAATTTCCTTCTCATGATTAAGCAAGAGAGTACATTGGGGCTATGGTTCGCATGTGACTATAATTTAGTGTTCGCCCAATATGTATTGAATTAGTATAGCGCACATTCTTCGGATTCAAAATGACAAACTACTCAAACTCACCTTAAATAGCCTTTTACAGACATCTTCCTTCTTTGCATACTGAATACATATCCGAAATCGATTCGTACGCCAGTGCTAAAAATAGCGATCTCTGTAGAACAACAACAACAACAGTGAAACAATCCATATGTACAATTCGCGTCCTCTAATATACATGCTGTAATGGTATGTTTTTTTTTCGTGAGATCTGTTATTCTAGCAATAATTGGAATTAGGAATAATTGGGTACCCGTACAAACTACAATCTTGATAGCAAACAAATTACTAGTTTATACATAGGTCGATGTTTGCGAATACGATAATAATATTTAGTTCACAATTTGTGGACTCGCGTAATGCATGAATACATCGTCGGCTAATTTTGGAACGGAACTTCAATCCCTCGTTTAAACAATACATATCTCAAAATATGCAGTGTTCAAGTACATGTAAATGCTGTGATTAAATTCTTGTTTGATTTCCAAAATGGCTGGTAAGTGAGTTCGATGTTCAAATCTTGCACGGCATCGGTAGTCTACCTTATACTCCCGACTTTGCTGACCACCAGATTGCTGATATGCGATCGCCAAACCTCCACACAGTGCGATATTGATAGCGTCATCACACAAAACTTCAAATTGAAAAACGAATCCCATGAGCGCACAGAACTTTTAAAAATAAATAAAAGTAATAGTCTTCTAGCGATAACAACAATCACAAGCCACTGAAATCAAAACAATTGGCCCAATAGTTAAAGACAAAAGAAATTTTTCATAGCAGCAATACCAACAACAATAAGAAGAATACTAAAACAACAATTGTTTCAACCTAACTGGATACTTGGTATAGTGCGTTTAATGTTGTTTATCAATGCATGGTCGCGATGCCGTATGAACAATATCAAGTACGACCAATAAACAAACGGTGACTGCTGAATAAAGCAAATTCTCCTAAAACTATTACCGTAAAGACTTTGATTGCACAATCTGTGTTCCCATAGCGAGCTCGACCAGGACGCTTTATTATAATGAGTTTTTAGTTCCTCCAAAATCAAACAAAATAGAAAGTATGTTATAGGACAGGGATGGCGAACCACTGACCCGCGGGTCACAAAGTGATCCACCGCGTTTTATTCGTGACCCGCCAAGGCACGAATAAATATAAAGAAATCTAACATATCAGTGATAAAAAAGCGTAAAACCGGCCTTAAGTTAATCAAACAATAACTAAACCATTATAATATAACATCAGTTGGGCAGTCAGGCCTGCGAACGCTCATATTTAAATTGTTAATTTCTGGTCGGTATGGTAATTTTCAAAACCAGGACGCATTTCTGCACCGCTGTGTATCGTTATTATTTAGCTATTGGCTCTGACATCGTTTATAACAATGCAATTGATCAGTTCATTCCTCGCAACATCTTGTCTCCTTCTGAACCTGTTTTAGGGGTTATACGAGAACTAGATGCTACTTTACATTTTATTAGATTGTCGTCCACAATGCCGTTGAGAAAACAAAATCCTTCAGACTTGGAATAAAAACTTAGAGATCTAAAATAACGGTGGAGCAGTGTAAACTTGCCTCAATGTCGTTGAAAGCCAATCAAAAAATATAACACTATCAGTAACACTATATCACTATAATTCCCTCCAAACCCTTTCGATCCGTAAAATAATTTGCCTCACTGCCTAAATGTTTTTGGTAATTCATACGCGTGTTTTCGTACTCTGACTTCAATGATAGAAGTTCTGCATACCTAAATCCCAAAACTATACCAAGTGAACCTTATGAGATTTTCTCCAGGAGTTTCTTATAGATACAAACATTATTCAAATATCTGTGACCCACTCCTTCTGTTCCGCGATAAAAATATAATTTTTGACCCATTCATCGAAAAAGGTTCGCCATCCCTGTTATAGGGGAACTATCATCAAACAAATCCTAAAAAAGCGAACAGCAACTTCACTAATATTAAGTTTAATGATCTGCAAGTTGAAATGGGCGTTCCTTGTTTGTAGTTTATGTGTAAAATGCCTAGAAGGTACAAAATGTGTCGCCAGAATATAACGCAAGATTGAACAAATAAATATAAGTAAATCTGCATATCATATTTGCAGTGCGGTAGGTCAAATGAGTTTACACTTTGACTTATTTTGCTTTCAATTTTATTCAATGCCGCGAGCGGCCAACGTGAAAATATTTCTTTGTGTGGCCGCTCGAAAAATGAACAACAGGCACGGGTACTGAAATTTGAAACCAATATTAGCGCACGGCGTTTAAAGATGCCTCTTTTGATAAATTCTGATAGTTTGTTTACGAATTTAGGGCAATAACGTGGATACATTTTTGGACGAATGCCTATGCTATTTACCTTTTGAGCTCAGATATCAATTCTTCGACAAATCAGTTCTCACAACAAAATCTTCCAAAAACTAAAACGATAAGGTTTAAACGGTCGTGAAATTCATCCGTTGTTTCAAACTCACAATCTTTAGCTGGACCTGGAGGCTTCAAATTATAACACCATATTTCACTTTACTCTTTACTTTCTTTCTAAATAAAATACTATCCATAAATATCCACCGTTTTATTTAATTAAAACATATGATAGCTGTGGAATGTATATCATTAATGCTCGATGCGTGTATATATATTATTATTCAAAATGGACACATCGGGCACGAACGGATTGGATTAATCGTGGCATAATGGCTTTCTCCGACCAAAACCCACTGCTAACCAACAGTTTGCTTATTGATTGCATAAAAATCTAGTAGCTAACCTTTTAGTTTTGCATGACAACAATATATTTGTCATGATTTCAGCTTGAAAATATGCAAATGATTCATTTTGTGGTGATTTTATAATAATGCCCATACCGTTGTTTTTCTTTTTTAAACTACCAAATCGAGAAGTTTTACTGTCGAGATGAAAAGGTTACGGAGCAAGTATTTTTTCAATTAAGATGTTAATCATTTAAGTATGCATCAAATGTTTGTGTACACATGCCAATTCTCAATAATACACAATGGCATGAATAATGTCAGGCTTCAGTCCAGAATCCTCAGAACAGATATTCAGTTACGAGGTGATCAAAACAGCGTATTGTTAGAGTATTTATAGATATTTGGTTCCATATGTTGTGAACTTCACTGCAGTCGAAGGTATGGATTGTGTGGTCTTGCCACATTAGAATAATAGTACCAAACCTGGATAAGCATATGTGGACATGATTCCGTTTTATGCTAACTTAAGTAGTAACATACATATCCTTGTTTCGAAATCGGGGGACCAAACGATTCCTGTGTGTTTTAACAAAATCAATCAATCATAATCATGTCGTGAAAACATGAAAGTATAAAAACATTTGTAAAGAACTAAATTATAATGAAAATGAGTTTTTGAATTGATTACGAATATATTCAATGTATTCAGTACTTTTGATTTAAACATGCAAAACATTTTAGTTACTATTGAGTCACTCAGATTCTATTGTAGTAAAAACTAGCAAGCAAAACGGGAAAAACTTTGGGGATTTTGATTATTTTTCGCGAAAAACTTCAGTAATTTGGTGATTTTGATTATCTTCGACTAATATCTGTACATTAATCTTTAATGATTTAGGTGATCGTTACTAAACGAGTCATTTTTAACAGTATTTTAGAATGTAGTATGGAGCTTCTGAACCATATTTCTATCTTACAATTCGGTCGCTGTCGAACCATATATGGTTTCGTTAAGTTACGGAGCTATAACTAATCGATATTGTCGTGGTAAATTGAAAAGCTTGTATTTTTACCCTAAAAGAATTAGACATCAAAAGCATTAGCGTCATTTGGCAGAAACAGAAAAAAATATCGAATAAACTTCACCAAGACGGGATGATCTTATTATCTTGTTCGCGATGGCGTCGATAAATTTTGTTGTGAAATATAAAAATATGCAGAAAATTTAATCGTATTGTGCAGTAAATGACTCCGGTAATAATCTTAATATTGAATATTTTAACGATAAAGTTGTTTGTACTTGCACAACGCGTAAGCAGTTTGTCAACGCGTTTGTGGGGAATGTTGGTTGGACTTCATTTAATTAAATGTAGAGACAATATTGCTCCGCATAACCATAAGTGAAAAAAACGATTGTATTTTCGTCGCCACATATATTGTCTCAATTTGCGCAAAGATGTTCGGTATTGTTCTGAAATTATTTCTTAGTTAAGTCAGCGACTCTTAAATGATATATTACTGGTGTCAGTAGAATTTAGGTCTGCTGCGAAACAACAGTTCAAAAATAGTTAAGTACCTGCAAACGTATGCTTTCATAAATTGACACAAAATAAATTAATCAAGACAGAAGATGAAGAAATTATTGAAAATTACCAGACCAGGTGGGAAATAAATAACAATTGCATTTTGTGTTAAAAAGGTATGTTGTTTCGAGTGTATGAATAAAGTCACTAATTATCAAACTACATGCAATTACAATTTAAAAAATCAGGATATAATTTAATTCCCGTCGGTTGTTCCACCCTAATAGTATACATTTTTCACTCATTTTCAAAATTTAGTTTAGATCTCTGAACCTATTTCACTTCATTTGAGGTTTTAATATTTATTGGAAAAAACTAAATTATTAAGATAAATTGAGATCTAAAAAGGCTAACAGTTGTACCACATCAATTTTCAACTTTATCAATAACATAAATTGAAAGCTTATATTGCCTTGTGCCACATTTAAAAGGCGCTTGAGGCTATTCAATTGATTGGATACTATAGAACTATTAGATACTATTATATATTGCACAGAAGTTCAGATGAAAATTTTTCTACTGTAACAAAGCCGCGTCTATAAAATGATGTGGAAATGGCTTCGATCAAGATTTTAGGTAGAATATATTTAAAATTTGAGAATACTGCTAGTCATTTGTGACGTTAAAATAGCCGAATTACCGATTAATCCTAATTCCGTACCAGCATACCCCATTGCTTTCATTGACACACCTGGTCTTCATCTTGCCAACAAATGGATTATAGCCTGTGAAATAGTAAGCCGTTACTGTGGGAGATCCTGAAGAAACGTTTTAGTCTATAACAATAGGGTAGGGTTGCTTTTTTTACTTTACTGATTGAAATTGTTGAAGTCGATAATGTCTAGGAGGTATAGTTACATAACCGACCTGAACGCTCGCCAATCGCCCAGAAATATTTAGGGAATTGCTAATAAAGCCGAGGGCTGAGGGTTGAAGTTCGCATGTTTGAATGGATTTTTTTACAAATCGTTAGCGAGAGTGGAGTCAAACAAACGAGGAATATGTTCCTGAGGCAAAATATAGCATTGATCTAAAGAGCTTATTTAGACATAATGGTAGGATTAATGTTTCTATTGTACAAGACATAGCGCGAACCTACATCGTTTTCTTACAAAATGGCACGGCTTAAAATATAGCATGAAATTTATCTAAACTGTATATGAAAGAGAACATTGCTCTTGCAACAATTAAACTTTACAAAAACTCTTTTCTCTGGGAGTATGGGAATGATCCAACAAGTATCGAAATGTAAATATTAATAGAAGCGTCAACAGATTGCAAATAATACCTATCGAATATTCGTTATCTCATATAGTCGGAGAAAAATAGTACAATTATCACAATATATATATATATATAAAATGGACAGTTGCAGGTAATAGCTAAAATCGTAAATATTCGTTTTCTTTTAATACTATTTGGTGTTCCTTTCATCCCATATTTTACGTTTCATGTTTACAAGCCATGGCAAAATTCATAGCAACCGTTGATTACACTCAAATTGTATATATTCTAGATTCGAATCGCTTCGGGGGTCGTGTAACAAGTTGTTTGTCGTCACTCCACCAGAATTTAATTGAAATTTTAAATTTGCAATATTCGTATAAAATTTTGTCAGCATTGGAAGCTACGAAGGCAATTGGCATCGTTTTGGGTTTAGAAGCAAAAATTGAGAAAAATAAAATTATAAGAATTTTCGATGGTCTTTATCAAAATTGTCACTTTACCAAGTTACTCGGGAAAGCGTTAGGAGCTCCAGTAGCCCTCGTTGTCGAGGGCGGTAACCAGAATCGCGATCAGCGCCACCGACCCGTGGCTCATAGCGCCTCACCCACAATTATGCTAACATTTCAGATCCGCTTATACTCTCTGGTAACATATGTCGAAATAGCCATTATTTTTAGATGAAAATCACATGTTTTTTCAACAGACTTTGGTGATAAAAGGGTCAGATCGGTATTGTCGGAAAGCCCATATTCAGCAACAATAATTTAATTACTTTCATATGCCGTCATATGGGATATTGTCCTGCCACAATACCGGTTTGAATGCCAATTTTAACTTATGATTGTATAAATTCGTTAAATCATCAAACTAATAAATGTAAGCAATCACTGAGGATTATTATTCTTCACTATGACGCCAACCATCACCCTATCAATGTCGGAACGGGAATGATAGCTGCTAAAGCGATTCATAAAATATCCTAATTATATAAAAATCTGCAGCTGCTGTCATGATCTTACTAATATGCGCCCGGTGCCCCGAACATAACTAAAAGTAAACAGTGGGGTGCAAATTTATTTATTTGCGGTACATATATGTTTAATGTACACAGATCGTGATTTATTCGTGAAGATCAACTTTTCATGTTATGTATGACAATATATCAAGAAAACGCTTATCTTGACCGCCAATCGTGTTTTGGCTCGCAACGAGACGGTAATGTCGCCTCCGAGAATAATTTCATTTCCTTTAGAATAAATCAATTGTCAATTATTTATTTTATAGTTTCACTTTATTTATTACAACTTAGTCAAAGTTAATTTATGTCGATAAAGAAGTATATTATAAATATTCTTTTGGAATAATGTGGAACTGTCGATTGAGTAGCCGTGGAATTGCTTCCATATTATTATTATTGTATTTTTTCACAATGGATTATTGCGAATATATGAGAACTTGCAATTCTAAACTTCATCAGTTCAATAACACTTCAATAACACAGCGATGTTCACTCTTCTGCGATGGCGCTTCCGCGTCGAGAATCCCTCATAATGGAAAAATGAATACTTTGTACCAAAAAGCATTTCGGACTAATGGATTGATATACGCAGTAACAGGCCACACCGGACGCCGATCCGCTTATCTGGAATTAAAACTACCGGCACGACTTAGAAGACTTTCTCGCCGAAGCCACAGGAGTGAACGAAAGAGCCACAACAAAAAGGTTGTCCCGAAACAAGGACTAACTCAATTGTCGAAGTCCACTGTGATATTTATGAGTTCGCACGGAAGAGGACCAAGACTTCGAGTTCTGTATGTCATGGGAACCGTTATTGCAGGGAAATCATTCAAACTTGTTAATGAAGAACGATACCAAGCTCCAATAAGTAAGAATTCATTTAATGAAATGGTACTATATTTCAATGTTTTTTTCCGAAAAAATATTTGTTCCATATTTATTTGTTTGTCGCGTCGAAGCATTTAACACTTAGGATTGATCCTTAATTTATTTTCGAAGAAAACCTTTCTCATGTTTCTTCGCATATAGTTGGAATAAACATAAACAAGTATACTATAGGTTTCTAAACGTTTCTATTATATTGGGTAGAATGCCAAAGTTACCATTAAAATTGCACATGATTTTATCATGTTGACCTTATTTTATTGTAGAGCAGGCCTGCACAACATACGGCCCGCGGGCCGCATGCGGCCCGCGGGTGATTCGGAAACACGCCACTTCTCGGGTCTAACAATCAAAGCCGGCATTGTTATGCAAGCGCGCCGCTACTCTGATCATATTCGAAATCGTGAGATTTATGTTTTTCACTAGTTTCACTAAATATCTAACTTTGTGTGAAATTTGTGTGCCCTTCGCGACCCCCAAAATTCGTCGCTCTCCAGTTTGGGAAACCCTGATTTAGATATCTCAGTATTCAGACTGAATCACGCTTATCGGTATACAATCTCACACCCATTAGTTCATATTAGAAACCTCTTAATAACCCCATTTTTTTACTAGCAATTTACGAAACTGAAGTTCCTTTTTTAATTCAAATTTAAAACTTATAAAACAATTCCGTCATTTATGAATGGTGCAAAAATTCTCGCACAAAAGATTTTGCTATTTACTGTAAAATTTCAAATAAATTAGGCAGATTTTGTAGAAAAATGTAATTTAATAGTCAAAAAAGTACAACAGAGGAAGATCTATTGCTACTAAACGGATTGTTCGTCTAGCCCAGTGGTTTCCAACCTTTCTACCCTGGCGGACCGGTAGAATAAAATTAAATGTACTCGCGGACCGGCAAAAATTGAAATGACCGGAACAGAAAAGCATAACATATATTTGCGTAATATAATGGAGTGTCGGGCACTCAATATGCTTCTAGACAAAAAGGCACACTTAAAAACATATCACACGAAAAAAAACTATCAAATAATGTGGCCAAAAATTGAAATGGGTGAAACAGAAAACAACCCCATAAATTTGCGTAAAGAAATGCAGTGTTGGGCACCCATTATGCGTTAGAAAGACACACATAAAACATCTGACATAAACAACATGTACAAGCGAAATCATGTACAAACATTATTAACTATAGTGATAATTTTGCCGCTGTTTCGTTTCCAGTATAGGATTGCAAACGAGGCCTCAAAGAAGTTTCTGCAACACGTAGCTCTTCACCGGCGTGCAGCCGATTTCTTTGCTGTGTTTTAATTAAAGCTAGTGATGAAAATGCTTTTTTGATTGCTCGATTACTTAGCGATGGGTATTCGTTATCGAAAGATATCCTAAATTGTGACAGTGAACCTTTTTTTAAATCTGGACTGTAAAGTAGAATCACAAATATTAATCAAGCTTTTTCTTTTTTATCGGGTTTATCATATATATCCTTCTGTAGTTGATCGACGTCTCAAACGAAATGAAATTACAATGATAAGTCGTTGGTAACTTGGCACCAGGATCAAAATTCTACTGTGCCTGCTCAAAAAAACTGGAAAAAATCTCTGTGGTCCATGATTTTTGCGCGTCTCGTGACCACCTGCAGGGCTACAACAAGTTCATGTCTTACTGGGATATTATACTGTTCTTGACAGTTTTCTGGTTCAAACAAAGATATAGGCATAAAGTTTTATGTGGATGGTTATATTAATCAGGATTATATTAATCAATTATATTAATCAATTTTCTGAATCTTGCGAGATTCGATTGAGCGCATTCGCAATGAATTGGAGCCGAAAAAGCGAAAAGTGTGGTTACTCGGCGCCAAGATGTCGCGATAGACGTCGCCACAATGTCTCAATATGACGGCGGAAGAGAACTTGCGTAATAAACCAACGCAACCTCGTATCGGGTAAAGCGATTGAGACGACATGAAAACAACGAAACAACTAAATTTTCTCGCGGACCGGCAAAAAAGCTTCGCGGACCGGCACCGGTGCGGTTGGGAACCACTGGTCTAGCCTACAATGGAAATATCCGATAACGGTAGATATGACTAAATAAATTGTCATTCATATATTTGGGACGATTTTACAAAACTGAAACTGAGTAAAATATTTTCCTGCACTCAGTTTATACTGCAACACGCAATACCTAATTCTAATAAAAAAGAAATATTGGAAATGAAGGGTGCGTTTTCAAGGTAGATGAACCACTAAATACATATTTTACATCTCATATGCAAAAATGCTGTACCTTGTTTTTACTCAAGAAAATAAGAGTCTTCATATTTTTAAGCTCCCCAGTAATGAAAGTGTTTCATTAAATTTAATTGTTTTCCAATATTATTTTGATTTGTAGTACATCTTGAGAAATATGTATGTGGCAAGTTTGCGGCCCGCCGGGACTTCAGATTTATGCTTGCGGCCCTCGTGGTAATTTGAGTTGTGCAGGCCTGTTGTAGAGTATCTGGGGTAAGATCGCAGCCATGTCGTCCAAATGCGGAATGGACGAAAATTTCCTTTTTCGCTGGAATTGTTATTTTTATTGCATAAAATTCACATTTCACGGTTGGTAATCCAATCTCGTGCGAACAATGTTTTCTCACATTGATTCTTCCATCTTTATCAAATCTAACGACTTGTTGTGCAATAATGATTGAATGATATAGCAAATATTGTTTCAAGATTATGGATCCTTGTCTGCTTCCCACACAAACCGCCGACAAAACCATGTTTATGTACACGACAGTATTTATTGAATTCAGGTGCTTTCATTTCTTTAGTCGTGAAGTATTCGTGCGTTTTTCTTAGATAAAGGAGATGTTCAATAAAATTAAAATATGCAGGATTTATGATTGTTTTTGCCAATTTGCTGCTTGAAACAGCAGCGAACCATTTCCAAACAATGCCATTGAAAAGATTGTTTCGGTCTGGTGCCAATATTACCGTACAATTTTGACATCGATTAGTCATAAAAACATTGAGATATATAATAACATATCGGCCAGGTATTGCAAATGGGAGTTTGCAAAAACAATGTTTAACTAAATTCGATAGCAGAATATTAAACACAGGCGCCTAAACCTTGTCTCTCGTTTATATTTTCTCAGAGTTTGACCTCGTTCGGTGGAACCACGAACTGTACTCAATTCAAATCAAGAAAGGAAAAAATGATGGTACGCATTGGGTAATTGGCGACGATCGTCATGGTGGATTGCGAGTTTGTCGTTCTTCAGTGTTACACGACTGCTTTGAGATTGATTCGGTGACCAATTCAACAATGGTATCGCCGGTGTTTAAATTTAGACACTTGCCATGTTCAAGAGAACCAGTTTTTACTTATCATCTCGGTATCGAATTTCAATTCGGAGACCGCGTAAAGTATTTGCAAATTGCTGACGATACAGGAGAATCTATTCTAACCGACGATATCAATTCTATAACAAGATTTATGTTAATATTGGGAACAAAAATTCCTTGAAGTTCTCGACATTTTCTCCAAAAACAACAAACCGGAAAGTTCTCATAATAGATGTCAACTAAGTCCTAGTTAAATAAAATCCCACTTCAGTGTTAACGACCGAGACAAAATTACACAAACACATGATAACTGTGAATTATTCAAAGCGATTTCCTTTTTTTTACGTAGGTGCAATCTATAGCTACATTGAACGCAAAAGCTCAAGAAACTTATTGCAAGTCTTGGTGGTGATGACAAAAAAATGCTTTGCTTTGGTGCATAAAAACTGGTTTCACTCATTTATACCTAATATGAAATAAACTTTTAAATAAAGCTAATTATGATAAAAAAAGACTTTTTCCGGTGGAGCGATGGAAGAGGTTGCTGTTGTTGTAAACCGACAAGAGAAGGGTTTCTCTTATAACTTAAAAATTGTCTTCAAATTTAAATTCTGTTTCAAAACAATCTTTTTGGTTTCAAAACAGTTGGTTTGTTTGAGTCAAAAATCGAAAGAAGGAGTGGCCTCTTCACGAGACAACTTCCACTTTATTCCGTCAGGCCCTTAGAATTGCTGCAACAAACATTGAAGTAGGGCAATATATTCTACAAATCATACAATGTCACGCTCCATATCATTTGCAGCATATTCAGCTTACCAGTATATTGATACAATTTATGTAGCAGAAGTAAAAAAACAGTTGGTTACCATGAGGTTATTCTGCTAATTTGCTTTTAAAGCGTGCAAATCAGCGACGTCTTCATTTAGCGCAGAAATAATATATATAGGTGGTCCTTGCCCATTGTCGATCGTGGATTTTTATAGGCAAGTGATGGGGAGGGGAATAAAATACAACCAAACAAATTTATGACCACCGGATCAGTGGACTTATTTCAGTGAACAAAGGGCTCAAACGACCTCGGGAAACCAGTAGTGGGAATCAACCGGGACCAGTTAGATTATAAAACATTCGAATTTTAAATTATAAAACAAGCTCCCCATCCCGGGTGATGTTAAATTATCCGACACTTTCAGGAAGTCCGCACCAGGCTCTCCAAACGCGATGGGAAACTGGATCTCCTGACGCAGTTGCGGGAGACCGCCATAGTGACCCCTCCGGCCACACCTAAAGCATGAAGAGCAGTCTGGTTTCCAGCGACATAACTGCCGAGAGAACCAACCCCAAATAAGTGCAACTCCATCACCGTGCCAGAGGCGAGGGCAACGGACCGACGTAACTCTTCATACTTTGAGTGCTTCCGACTGACCGCGTCATCTATGGTAGGGGTGTCAAACTCGTGGGTTTTCGAGGGCTAGATTGCATTTTGGGAATTGTGCAAAGGGCCGCAAACAGTTTTTACATATTTTATTAATGTTTACTTGAAGCGTATTTTTAGATAGGTGTAGTATGTGACATATATTGTGATGCAATTAAACAGCGGAATAAAGTTTTGTTTTTTTCTTAAATTTCAAATGCCTTTTACATATTAATTTTTACATTTCACTATTATTGCATTTGCATACATTTCACAATAATTTACTGTATTTATTACAAAAAATCATACATTTTTATGTCAAAACATTTTTGAACAAAGTTTTATAATGAAACATACACTAAAAATGAAATAAACTAGAATATAGCCCTGAAAATTCACAAAAATACTACAGGATAAACTCAATGTTTTTTGTATTCCATATGCTCTGACGTTCGGCATCTCTTTGGTGCCACCAGCTTACTAATATCAGGCTGTACATTCTTCGTATACGTTGCGTTTCATTTAATCCCTGAAGTTTTTTTTTTCAAATATTTTTGTGAACTTGAGGTGTATCCATCCATAATTGGGTCAAATTAAAAACAAACAAAAAAAAATTTATTTTCAGTAAATTGTCTTTTTCTGTGTGAATAATCAATTTCACTTTAAGAGGTTTGAAAAATGTATTTAAACATTTAAATTTTTAAAAAAAACTTACAAAATATTACAATTATTGTTAAGCGTTCGAGGGCCGCATTGGAAATTCTCTGGGGCCTCGAGTTTGACACCCCTGATCTATGGCATCCTCCCCATTGTCAAATGGGCACACCACATCGAGTACTACAACCCGATTTGCTCGAGAATCAAATCATATAAGGATACATTCTTGACGGACTCCTCTACCAGCGGACGTGTCGTCATCGATAGTTCGAATGGTGAACACGTTATTTCTGTAAACGTCAGCAATCACTTTCCACATACCAGGTACCACCACGCGGTACCCGGTGCACCAAAACGTCGCAGAACTTCGAAGATGGCACCATACCTAACCGACCCGGAAGCAATGCGGATGTCAAGTCACCAGATTACAGTTAGGTGTCACCTGCATGAAAACATGCTCGAAGACGCCTTCGGAAGGAACGAAGCCCTTCTGTTCTGGGAAAATCGCTATCAACCTGAATTCCCAAGACTTGGAACGATGTGCAATGACGATTGAATATATCTCATACAGCGTCAGGCAGATTGCTACGAGTCTCAGGTTCCCGACGTCATCCATGTCGCCTTCCAGGTCCTACGCCGAAAACTCCTACAGATTTCAAAACGCTTGGAGAGAATTTTACCCCGTTGTTCAGTGCTTTTCGAAAAACCATATGTGAGGCTATCAGGTTCTAGGCCTAGGGGATTGCAGTTTTTAAACCCAGCAATACCGAAAAAACTTCTGCCGCACTGATAGCCACGTCCTCATCTACCACCAAGTTACCGTGATAGTAAGCGCTTCGAGTCATCCACAAAGGCATCGCCCAACTCCTTCGATTGGTTTGATTTGGGACTTTTCTGGGCTGAACGCAAATAACAGTTTGGGGGCCAGCGTCCGGTACTCTGGGAAATAGAGGCAAAGATAGACTAGAGTTCCAACTGTCCCTCAAGGTATACATAGTCCGAAACGGACATTGTAACCACTCAGGTTCCCGACGTCATCCATGTCGCCCTCCAGGTCCTACGCCGAAAACTCCTACAGATTTCAAAACGCTTGGAGAGAATTTTACCCCGTTGGTCAGTGCTTTTCGAAAAACCATATGTGAGGCCATCAGGTTCTAGGGGATGGCAGTTTTTAAAACCAGCAAGACCGAAAAAACTTCCGCCGCACTGATAGCCACGTCCTCATCTACCACCGAGTTACCGTGATAGCAAGCGCTTCGAGTCATCCACGAAGGCATCGCCCAACTCGTTCGATTGGTTTGATTTGGGACTTTTCTGGGCTGAACGCAAATAACAGTTTGGGGGCCGGCGTCCGGTACTCTGGGAAATAGAGGCAAAGATAGACTGGAGTTCGAACCGCTCCTCAAGGTATACATCGTCCGAAACGGACATTGTAACCACAAGGGGGTAGAGGATATTGGCTACCACTATAATAGGCGAGGTAGGCGACAGCACGGCTGGGGTTCAGGGCGCGCTGAAGCGGCCTGTATACATTTAGAAAAATAGGACTAAAATAAAGTGCAATCCTGATTTGCAGTTTTTTATGTAAAAAATTAATAAATATAATAGTTGGGCGATAGAATACCCGAGGAATAAATAACAAGCACGGCTTTCAACAAAGAATTTGCAACTAATAGTGACTACTGAGGTTACTGGCTCATCTAGCATGCCGCCTCATATGAATGGCTACTTTATGGCTTGTTTTGTTACACAAAAAATTCCAATGTATATATGTGTAATTAGGGTTGGCTCGAAATCATATGTTCAAAACGTGGCTCCAATTCAGTACATCATATTCGCAATAACGCATCCAAGTGAATATCTGTCAGCCTGGACCGAAGTTTTGATTTGTTGAGGTTAATAATTGTTTGTTAGAAAGAGAAACTTTTTATATCAGGAGAAATGATTTCCAAACTTGCAGCATACATTCGCGGAAAAATTCCCCTTTAACAAACGGGCGATTCTTTTTAGCGATGTTGTGGGCTACACTATATACAACTGACCAATAACATAGATTCACTTTCATTTTTCGAACATCTTTGTTTGACTTTTGTATGAATTTAGCAATGAATTAAATTTTGAATCACGTGCTTCAACTGGTCATAACTTTAAGAATGCTTCGTCTCATGATGGCGCCTAATTTTGTTTTACTCCGTTAGAACTGAAATATTTTGTTGGCAAGGAAGACACATCGCTGAAGTTTGATTATTTTCGGTAAAGCAATAAAAACGCTGACATTCATCTAAAAATGTCTGTTTTCAGTGTCTAATTTTCGTTTTGTAACATCTTCAAACTATCTTATTATATGACTGTTATCTAAAATACTGCCTTAGATAGTCCTAATAACGCATACATGAATACCGGTATAATTGAATTGTTACACGTGCTAAACTGTGATAATGGTTTACCAATTGGCGGTATCTCAAACGCAAATTGAGGTCAAAATTAAACCGTTAAACTATTTCACTCAAGTTCGCGGGCCATTTTGAATCACTGCGCGGGCCGTTATTATCCCGCAGACCGCTGTTTGGGAACCCCTGATCTACACTGATAAATATGCCATATAGTGCATATACTATATATTTAAAAAAAATACAATTATACTTGAGTTAGATATTACAGTGTGGAATCGCACCTCAAAATTAGGGGGGTGTTTGAAATTTCATTGCCCGCAAGGAAAAATTGTGCGGCTCGCAGAGAAAGACCAATTTTGAATGAGGTGGGGCGAGAATCCAATTCTCGAGTCTAATTTATGAATATAACGTCACAATGCCCGAAGCTACCGTGTTTCCGCAAAAATAAAACAGGGTTGTTAGTTCATTTTTTTATTCGAAAAATAACACATAAAGATTATTTTGAGGGGATGTCTTTTATTTTCAATTATCAAAAATAAAATTAAAAAGTACAGAATTACGAGATTTTCAAATATACAAATAATTAAAACCTATATCCATTTACCTATAAATAACACGTATTTATTTAAAAAAAAAAGCTACACATAGAATGTTCAAAAATGACCAATCTTTTAAAATGTGTGGCCTTAGTTTTCTGTCTCTCTCTCTTTCTGTTAATGCTTAAGTCGTGTGTATTGTGTGTAAGCTGTGTGCTTTCTGTAATACATTTGATTATTTACAGACATGGTCTAATCTTCGAGTTCACAACACATACCCGACATGAGCTGGTAACCGGACGAGAGGACGTGGTTCGCCATATGATTGAGCCGTCTTATCGTCCTTCCTCTCCCCCGGGATAAATATGAAAATCATATCTTGTAAATCCCAAACAGTTTAAATTTATTTATTTATGAGAGCAATGCTCAAATATATGGACACTAGGTAACTTACCGTGCGAAGTCTGCAGTGCGTTACCGGTATCGAAAAAAAAAACTTCCGACTTGAGTTCAAAAAATCAAAACAGAAGACAGCTGTAATGTTTGGCGGAATAAAAACTGTGTTACAATGAATAAAAATTAATCAGCGGAATTTCGGGTGAAATATTAAATCTCATAGAATTGATAGGAAATTTAGGAACAAATGAAAGTAATAGTCTTCTACGGACAACAATTTTAGTAGCAAATGAGCACTGGCCGGCATTCGAATGGGCCATGGTGTAATAAGTATAAGTTTATTTCGACATAACTGGCAATAAAATGATTGATAAAAACATATAAATAAAAACTGATTATGGTGTGCCCTGATAAGTAAAAAAACAAAAATGAAACAAATTATAATTTACTTGATGTTGAAACGAAAAAGCGGGATATACATTCCAATGGAACATGGATAGGCATGACTTCATAAATACGGAGAGTGACCATTATTAGATAAAAAATTGAAAACAACAATAAATGACCCCTTCTTTTAAAACAAGTATTTCGAAATTGGTCTGTCATGACGCCTAAGACTGAGAGTATACAATTGCCGAAAAAAGAACAGTCACACTATAAGATGAGTCATTTAGGTTATTATATACAAAAGTAAATTCAACTGATTCATGCGAGACAGATAGACATGTCTTCACCATATTGTGTTGACTTGATTTCACAGCTGAATATGGTTACATTCTCTGGGTCAAATGAGACATTCCACAGGACATGTCATAAAACAAGTGCTGTCCTTACGAACAAGATCTTGATTATTATTTTCTCTTTCTTAAACGGAATGGTCATTGCTGACCAGCTGTGGCACTTTTCACAAATCGGCGCCATTGGTCCCGGTTCTGTGACATTTTGAACAACTCAGACATGCTGAGGTCCGCTATGTCCTTAACACTGTCTGACATCCTTCATTATTTTACGTCACAGGAAAATAGCTTGGGCGTATTGAACTGCCAGGTGAATTGCCCCGAGGGCATAGATATGTTTCCAGAAAGTCAATAATCATTTTTATTAATACTATTTTTGAGGGAAGTAGCCTAGGCAGAAAGGTACCATATATTTTGAATAATGTTTTGGGTTTACGTGTATTGAATGACTGTAACTTCCGGTATTTTATACGGAAATTCGTAGCTCGTTATTTGTGTACAACTTAGGCAGTTTACCAAGAGTGCCACGTTCATACTTCAGACAAAAATAGTGAACCAAGATGAACTTGTTGCCTTCGCAGCAAGCGTTAGATTTTGTAGTGGTTACTGGAAGCTCTCTACTTGCAGCCCTAACATGCAGAAAAATAGAAAACCCAGTAACGAGAAGACTTTTGCTCGGTGGTGTGGGATTTATCACAGCTATATATTATAGCGGACTTCAGTTCTTGTATGTGCTACCGCTCATTTTGCTTACGTCTTCTATTGCAATGACAAAGTAAGTGAAAGTTAACTGATTGCAGGATTGCCCGAGGGAGAATATAAATTTAATCACTTGGCACATTGTCATACAATTTTTTTCGGAATTTTCGCAACATCGGTTACTTGGTAACAATTATTAATTATAGCAAGTCATGAATGAGATTTGTTTTCATTTTCAATTTTCAAATCATGATAGATAGTATTCTTAAAATTCTTTTTTGTATTCTTTGCCCGCCTCTTTATTATCAGTTGCCCGCGTCACATTCGGAGAGTAATCAATAAATAACATTTCGTGTTGTTCGTAATAAAATTAATCAGGAAAATCTTTAGACATATTGTTCATCACTAATGTCACTGGATTGACTAGTGTAATGGCTAGCTGAGGCAACTAGCCAAGTTGAATGATGTGCTTGGTAGTCTAAATTATTATCTGGCTTTCTATCGTTGGTCGGGAATATATTCTAATAATATAGGAATCATAAAAAACTAAAAATTGAATGCGGATTCTATTAGCCTTGAATGGCTATGTCTGACGACTATGTGTTTGCACAATAAAAGTGTTTGTTTTTTATTGCACTGTTTACTTATTCTTTGCACTATTGTGGCCCGCGAACAATGCAAAAAGCAGAGTTGTGTTACATGTTGAACAGTTTAACATTCCAACACTTTTTGAAACACAGATATCACCCAAACGTTGTGCTGGTGATAGCGTTTGTTCTGCGAATTTTGTCCAACATTCTGGCAATTCAATTCAAATCGTGGGATGACGACAACACAATCACTGGGTCACTGTTAATGATAACTACATTGAAGGTTGGTGAATAACAGAGTTTATGTATCATGCCAAGCATAGCTTAAGTGACTTGGAATTACCTACCTATCTACACGCTTCATGTTCCACTCATTTTGAACTTAAAAAGAAATTTTTCTTCGCAGCATTTTAAACTTACAACTACTAATTCCTACAAAATATATTAATTGATGATAATGAAATTTTATCATTTTCCTTTTGAGTACCGACTTCACTGTGCCACTGTGCGTTGAAAACGGGATTAGGATTATCATTAATAATAAAGCCATTCAATTTCTTTAATTGTCAGGCTGTGGGTGTATCATATGAAGTGCACACATATTACTTTGCAAAACAAGAAACGCATTCCACGAATAGAAAAGTATTATCGAATCCACTGGAGCACGAACCTAAATATGTTGACATCCTTCTTTACTTGTTTTGTTGTTGCGGGCAATTCACAGGTAGCTAAATATTTAAATACAATAAGACTGTGGATGTTCATCATATCATAACTATTCAGCTCTCGTTCACAAATATCAGTTGCACAACCGAGTTAAATGTGTCGTAATCGTTCATGGTCGTCGCGCACAATATGAAATAAATAAATACTGACAAATATTTAACTGACAAAGTTACTTTGCACTAAAGGCTAATGAAATTTTTTTTTTTCATGAATTAACCAATGGAAATGGCGGTACAACAATATATAACTCCTCATTTGTATTTGACGTTCTTTTTGATAGAAATATTCAACTCTTTCTCTTCTATCTTTCAGAATTATTTTTACACTCAATAAAATTATTTTAGGTCCATATTACACCTTTAAAACTTACTATGAAGGCACCTCTATTCCGAACAAAGTCTATTCAAAAACTCACTGGAAACAATACTCTTGCAAGATATTTTTACATTGCCTCATTGCAATTACAATACACTTAATTGGGAGACAATATGTCGGTTTACATCTTCTGGCCACAGAGGGATTCAAAACCATGTCATTACCAACGAGGTCAGATATTTGTATCGTTGATTGTCGATTAAGGCGCGATTTTAATTTGTAACTAAATTTATTTCCTGTCCATCGGCTGTTTATTTTCAAATTGTGAAATTTCAATAATCAATGATATATAGTAAACTACACCAGTGGGGAAAAATGCCTTCACTAAAAAGTTCAAGTATCTTTTTACGTTTGTAATGTTACAATTATATACAACTATAAGCGCCCCGGAAGTGTTCGTACCAAGATGACACATAACCTGAACAATCTTAACCTGGTACACACACTATGTTCAGGTTGTGCACCATCTTGGTACGAATACTTCGGGAGCACCCAGCTATATATATATATATAACTATATTTTGAATAATTCCGGGGGGAATCGTAAGTACAGATTCAGTAATTATTCGACCATACAACTGAGACCTCAATGTATTAATCTGTTATGATGTATATGAAGAATACTTCAGGTAGTTTTGACAAGTCAAAATGGAGGACTTTTCCTCATATCTTCATGGTTGGGAGCCGAGTGCGTCTGTGTGGTAGCAGGTATTGGAGCGTACCCAAAAGAGATGAAGTCTAAAAGTGGCCAAGGTCCCACAGCACAGTATGATTTTTATTTTTTCAACAACAAAAAATAAAGCATCAGATTAGCATAAACAATCGGTGGCATTCATGTACTTCCGTGACGTTTTGTCGATTATGTTTAAGAATTATAACTGTAGGTGCACTATACTAATTTTTTGTTTTTCAGAAACATTTCGAATAATTGTCGAATTGTTTGTTCTTGTTAAAAATGATTTTTTACATAACATGAGGAAGCTATACTAATACACAAGAGGGGAGTTGGGAGAGTTGAAATCTTTTTATTTATATTAACAGTTTCAATACCAGCGAGGACACATCAGACTGGGATTTTGAAACCATAACTAACATGAGATGTTGGAAGCACTACGCTTGTTGTCGAGCGTCTGAAGCATTGAAAGAGTGGAACTCGTGTACGCAATGGTGGCTTGTTCGCCATTGTTATATCGCTGATTTTATTCCACAAAAAGATAAAATGTTACGGTAACTTGAAAGTACCAATATCTGTAACACTAGAAAATAAGTTAATGTGGGCTGCGTGGTGGTATGCCGAAAATTCCAAACGACAACTAGTTTTTTGTAAATATTTGCAGTTGAACACGTCTGAATTTGATGACTTGGCCTTAAACTCAACACTGAAGGCTGAGAAACTTCTTATAAGTAACCTCGGCAATACTAAAATGGGGCTCCCGAAGTATGCGAACCAAGATGGCGGACATCGGAATGTAATATGTGTACTAGGTTAGGGTTAGGCCATAATTTTAGGTATAAATACTACGGGAGGCTCTAGACTAGTCTTCGACTGATGATAGGACTAAAATAAGGAAAATTGGAAAAAAATTATCGCCTAACCCTAACCTGTTACCCATGTTACGTTCCGATGTCCGCCATCTTGGTTCGCATACTTCGGGAGCACCCTAAAATGTTTGCGTCCACTAGTTTTTCACTCAATTTGGTTATCTCGTAATCATCAAGATTTGCAGATTAGATGGTTTAGTTTGTGCACCAAATTAAAGAAAGTATTGACATGCTTGCTAGTTTCCAAAAATAACAAAATATTCATGGCTAAGTCGTCAGTTTTTTTGAAAACATTTCTCGCAAGCATGAGTTACAGATCACAACGTATTGATAAAATTTATACTGATAAAATTACAAACTGACGCTATGGAGACTTCGCAAATTTATTTATGTCCTACAGTCAGCGAGAATGTTTATATAATATGTACAATACATTTAGAAAATATTTGTACTGGCAGAATGTAATGAAACTCATTTAAATTTTTCAGCCTATTTTTCACAATGACGATCAGTGCAATGTGGCATGGGTTGAAGCCAGGATTTTATATTTTGTTTTGGACAAGTTCTTTCGTAACTATTAGTGAAAGAATATGCGACAATCTTCGAACCGGCCTCAGTGATGTTTGGAAAATGTCACTTGACTTGTGAGTGCTGATCAACAAATTTTCATGCTATTTTTCTTAACACATTCAGCAAAAACTGAAAAGAGCACATGTTCCACTTTCATTTCATGTTATTACTTTTCTGTGCCCGCGCCTGTGTTACTTTTGTCACCTGGTATAATCGTTTTTGTCTATATTTCATCATAATTGAAAAACAAAATTATTTTCTTTTTCAGTTTTATGTTCATCTGCTTCCGATGGATAGTCATACCGTTCGCGGGTCTTGGCTTGCTGTTGCAAGAGTTCGAGCCAATTTACGAAGTGTACAAATCCTGTTACTTCCTGCACATCATTTCTATTGTTATGATTCCATTAGTACTAACAATTTGTTCTCAATTTCAACCAAAACCCAACATCAAATCAAAAATAACATAAAAATCGAGTAAACAACCAAATTAGAGAAATATCAGTTCAGAAAATACATTGGTGAAAGTAATTGAGCTAGCCCTTTTTAAACAAAGTTATTTTTCTGAAGGAACTTCATATCCTTTGCTGTGTGTCAGCCAAATGACTGTACTCGTATCTGTAGTTGTAATATTTCAATATAGACAATTTGCTACCCTACATTATTGTAGGTAGGTATTACTCATTCATGACCTCCGCCTCCTAGAAGGTTCCAATTTATGACTTTATCAACTAGCCGGTTACAATGAAGATAAACATAATTTTCTTGTCCTTCTTTCAAATCTTTGTTATTTACTCATTAAGATTGTCATTGTTGCTCAATTGAATGGTCATTTTATCATCATATCTTTGTTGTTTAGTTATTGCAATACATTTTCCATATCTTTTATATTTGATTATTGCTATTGTTGATAAATTAATTAAATGGTCCCTTTTTCATATATTTGTTAATTATTCATATTGCTATTGTTGATCAATTATTAAATGGCCCCGTTTTCATATTTTTGTTATTTAATTCTTCATATTGCTATTGCTGATCAATTGAATGGTCCTTTCGTCATATCTTTGTTATTTAATAATTGATATTGCAATTTTTGGTGATTTAAATTTTCCATTCGCTCTGAACTATCAGTAGAATTATACTAAATACCAAAGACACACTAATACCAAAGATTTGAATAGGACTGTTTACTAATAGTATCGTGATGATAATTGTTTGCTTTGTATTGTAGACACGATTCCTCAGTACTGAATTTTTGAAATTTTCCTATTAAATAACTTTTAGTCAGAAACTTTTCAATGACAATCTGCTAAAATTTATAAGTATTGAAACGTTGTAATGCATGTTTGTAAAAATTCCAAATAATTATATAAAGCATTCTAGTTCAATCAATTTTCAAACATGTACAAACCTATAAATATTGTTTCGAATAAAAGCACTCATACCCTGATCCATTGTGTACTTTTTCTCAATTATTGATTATGATTGTTTCCAAAAAAAAACTCAATATTGGCAAAAATGGAGATATAGAAGAATTAATTATTCCTCACGTTGAGACACATCCTCACCACATTATAGTTTTTGTCCTTGATCCACTGTGTATATAAGATAAAAATGAATCAGACTCAAAAAGTTTCAGATTAAAACAATCCGAAACGAAGTATTCTTGTGCAATCAAGTCTGTTCGATCTTTATAAAAAAAACTCAAAATAGGGACTTATTCTTAGCAAAAGCAATAAAATTGTTTTGGTATGGAATTGGTTTGGCATGAACAAAATTGAGGGATTCCCAAGTAACTTCAATGTTATACACGTGATTTTTAAAAAAAAGAGGGGGGGAGGGGGGTATTCGTTAAATGAAAAAAAAATCGAAAGCGATTACAATAACGTGGTAAAAATTGATGCGAGGCTGATTTTCGATTCAAGAGCCAGTATAATGGATGTTCTCCCTGGGCATAGAAAACCATGTCTTTTTTTCGTCGTTATGATATTTCTGGTGCTTATTTGGGAGCGCTATCTAGATTTGGCCTATAACCCTCAACAAAACGATTTTTAGGTCCAGTAGGAAATTTCGATGTCGAATCGCACCAGGTCCATAAGAAGTCTAAAATTTCTGGTCCGACTCACAATTACAGATTATTAAACATGCCAAGCTCCCACTACTACCTAGACCCAGCACCAGGGATGGCCAATCTTCGAATATGTTTTTTTGTGTTCATAAGAATACCGAATACTTTTTTTTTATCATAAAGACAGACGCGCGGCAATAAAATACAGCCGACATGAAACGAAATCAATTAGCGCTGACAGGAAGTGCTTATAACACGTCGAGGATCTTTTTGATTTGAAATATGTTACAATTATTATCGTATATTTCAACTTATTCGAGATGGTTTGTTAGGTCACGGCAATAAATCTAAAAGCAAATTGTGTCGGAATTAATTGTTTTCATTCCCAGTTTCGATGAGAAGCGAACATAACGGAAAATTTTTTGCATTCCTTGCAATTTACAGAGTATAAAATGGCTCTTAAATATTATTTAGTATCGCAGATTTTACGTTATCTGGGCGTCGTTGATGAAAATATAGTTCAGTTTAAATTTGCGGTATTAGTTTATAAGCACAAATAAAAGCATAACAACCAACATGTAAGATTTAAATCAGCGCCGACTCGGAAAATAAAACCCATTTTCGGTCTTATTTAATTCTCCGTCTTTGGCTGATGGAAATTTGAGAATCGACTTCACTCATTTTGATGATGACGATTATCGCGTAATAACATTCGTTTTTCTGATTTGACGAATGGTGGAGTGAAATAAATTTGAAGCCCATGCTAGCACAACAATTAATTTCTGCCGGTGGGCTAAATCAGGGGTGTGCGACCTTTAATACAGGAGGGCCAGATACAAATAACTTGGTGATACCGCGGGCCGCACCTTATTTTACCTTAGGCTTCCCAGTTGTTGCATGCACAAAAAAAATTTCTTTCTGGTATTGATTTTATGACACTATTAGAGTTCTTGCAGAAATGATGAGTGAGGACGCATGAATTTCTGAAGAAAATTGCTATGCAAATTTATTGTCACATTACCAGATAATAAATTGGATTCAGGTCTGAGCTTTGTAACGCAAATGAATTGCTCGCACGAACCAGATTAAACTCAATTGAAAACTCCTTTCGCGGGCCGCACACCATTCAAACTTTGCGCTTCTCCGCGGGCCGCACAATTTTTTTCTTTTGGGCCTCCTGTTGCACACCCCTGGGCTAAATAACACTCACGCTGACGATAAACAGTCAGAATTTGTAACAAAATTTAACGGTGTCGAAAAGTGTGTGTGTTGTTGAGAACGTTGTTATATACCGGTATTCCTGTAGAATTTAGAAAATTCAGTGGGCGAACAGACGAATAGTTGCCATTTTTTTCTGTACTTGCCAGCATACACCACAATTCATAGGTGTGAATACTGTATATTTATTATATATGTGTTTTTTTAAGAAGCAGTAATTCTAATATTATTACACATTCCATTTGTATTTATAGCTACGATGATATTATATATTAACTTTATTTCCACGGATTTCAGAAAAGTGAATAAAATATGTGGAGATATTAGAATGTATTCGAGAATGTTTTTTAAAATGTGTTCGAAATAGTCAAGTATTCGGTTATGGCCATCCCTGCCCAACACCCGGCAAAATCTTCGAACTACAAAAAAGTGAGGAAATGTCTAACATTTTTTGGTAAGGACCCTCTGAGTCACGAAACGATCGACGTGAACCCCCGTAATGAGGCATCGAACAAAGTTGTGATATATATAATGACTAACAATTTGTTGCAACAACAATTTATTGACCCGGTGTAACTAAATTAAATCTTCGAGTTGATATATATTATTGTTCTTGTCGTCTGCCCAACTATTGAATTCCTAAAATCTTCCCCAAGTTTCAACAAGCATAATCACATTCTCCAATGCTCGCAGCACGCTGTCTAACAGATTTCAGTTTGCCTGCAAAGCCGTGAATTTCACATTGTTGCGTCACAATCGCAACAATGCAAGATCAGAAAAAATCTACGTTTCAATTGGCACGCATTTTCCTCTGATAGTAATAGAGGATATTAAAAACAGCAACACACAAAACTCGACTGCCTTCCAAGTATCCCTGGAAATATTCTTGTGTACGTACCCCTGGGGGTTCGCGAACCCCAGGTTGAGAACAATCAAAATATATACCGTTATTTACAAATTGCAAAGATGGCGGGATCGTGATTTCTTGGAAATGGTGATGGGTATGATATTTCAATCGATTATATACCAAAAAACTTAGTCCTATTTGATCCTGTATACTTATCCCAGTCGAGAAAACGGTGCGATTTCAATATTGCATTCATAATACAATGCATATTCATATATATATCATTTTGGTATTCTGCCGATATTAGAATTTTGCAGATTTCAAATTCAATCGGTTACATTCGTGGGATGTATATCTATACTACCAAAATAAAGTCTTGAATTCACACCGCAGCAAAAAATTGGAAATCATTTTTGAAAAATAATTCGAAGTTATGGCTGTATAGTTTCGGTATTAGTCCTTCTGAATCTTGTATTCTACAGAGGCAGAATATTCATATCAAATTTCTTTGGCTGTCTAATTTAGAATGCCTCCATGGGGGTAACATAATAAAGCTGACGGAATTATTGCACATCAGGAAGGATTAATCTGCTAGTAAATCCGTAAGCACAGATGTAACTTCCATGACCGTATTTTCCGATGTGTCTGTTAAGTGGATTAGGTCATTTGCAAAAGTCACATTATGATCTAGTACATCTAGCCATACAATGCATTTAGATACTGGTAATATTTAAAAATAAAAGCAACAGGTCTCCATCGTCATATAGTGGAAATCGACGGATCCATTATAAATCGTCTTGTTTCGATGGCTCAATCATCTCAAGTGATATGATCTGTCAAATCATGCCGGCTGTAAAATAATCGACCCCCAACCTGTATTTAAAAGAGACCACATCAACAATTTTGTTCCATTTCCATGTATTTAGACCAGAAAAGAGCAAAATTAAGAAACACTAATAAACAGCAGCAGAGCAAAAAGAAATTTGACAACTCTTCACTGAATTCCATGTCACCAGTCACCATCCTCAACTCCAATATTGACCCGATCCCCAGGTTAACAGGAAATGATGTTTTTACCAGGTTACCATTATGCCAAAATAATGTTATGCTCTTGTATTCTTTTTTTCTCATTTGGCCTGATTATTATATCTGCAATCTGGAGTTGCACAACAATGGCTCCTAAAAACCTCATGCTGCAACTTGCTCTCCAACTTCTATAATTGTATCAAGTATTGCATTCGCCATATCCATAGTTTGGTCATCTACCAGAACTATATCCCAAGCATCCATGAACTGTTCCAGTAATTCATCAAACTTGGCATTCAAAAAGCCAATCTTCAAACAAACATTCATTTTGGGGACACCGTTTGCCATGGTCAAATCTCCGAGCATATCTCCCATCATAATAATGTTGTGTCTGTGTTTTACATTTTCGAAATAATCATCATCTTCCAATGCTGATTCGTTCTTATTGAAAGTATGGATTAAATCACCTTTGAACCCAATTAAAGTCCCAGTTTCATCAAATTCCATAAAATTTGACACTATTTTGATATTTGGATGAAAGTTTGATTTCTGTCGGATGACTTCTTCCAATACATCTCCCACACCTGCTGAGAATATAAGAAGTGGGACATTGTGTTTATGTAAAGTATCAATCATATGTTCAGAACCATCACGCAGCATAGCTTCAGATTTAGAAACGTTATCTTGCAAATGACTTTTTTTAATTTCAGAGGAACTGATAAGTTTATGAGCCTTTGTCCACCACTCAATCATATGAGGAATTTTTTCTTCTTGTGTTAAATTAGGATCAATTTCAATTGCATGATATTTTTCTTTTAAATTGGTGAGCTGTGTTTTGACATCATTTGGTATTAATGAATTCATTTCCAATATTGTATGACTAGACGGACATCTTTTGTTTAAATGTTTGTATTTGCTAATTGTCATATCAAAGTCACTGATGACTTGTAAACAAGAGGTACCATCACTAACAAGTCTTTGTATTTTTTCCATAACAGCATCTCTATGCTTTATATGAACATGGCTACCAGTGAATAATTTATCAAGTGTCTTCCTACTATTAGAGGTCATGGTTATTATCAAACTGTTTTTAAACAAATTCTGTAAAAAAGAAGTATGATTGTGTATACTAAAATTATCATTTTAAACCCCAAATCCACCTGTTGCAAAATATAAGTGCTATTATATCCTAGTGAAAATTGATAGAGAGAGTTGAAGCATATAATGTTTAATAGCAAAAATGTAGCGGGCAAAGTGGTTAAAATAGCATCAATAATTTTTTCATAGGATACAATGAGAGATGGTCGAAATCAAATAATTTTTTTCTATTCAAAATACACTCTAAAAAAGTATGTTTAAGAGTTGCTTATCAATAAGATTGATGCGAATAACATGCACGATATCACCAAGTATCCAAATTAATAAGCAGAGATTTATATATATAACTCCACTGCATGAGACAATCCATAGAAAATCAATTAAAATAATTGTCGTCAATGTAGTATTGAATAAATAATAACCGCGTCAACAGATTGGATAATCAAAAAGCAATGGTACTCTTGTATTATTGATAATCCACAGATGGTGTATGATACCCAGGATGTAATGCAAAAAAAAATCAATACTCAGCGAAGTCGAGGGATACAATTCTCTCTACCTACAGAAGGATTATTCATGTTCAATATTACTCGGTACTGATGGTCATATCTTGAGTTGCTATGCAATAGTTCAATAAAATTTGAAGCACACAGCTCAGCAGAATTTAAATGCCAAATATGATATCCTATGGTATAAATACAGCTTCACCAAAATGCAATGTAACATAATGTATATTCAATAAGTCATTTAATAAAATCGTTATTCAATATTGGGCCATTGATTTGTCAATTTGATTTGCCCATGCCATTAATCCACCTTTTAAATCTTTGAATATTACAGGTGAATCACATTTTAAACATTTCTGCAAAATTTTTACGGCTTTTTGTGAATCATTACCCATTCTACAAACAACAAATACAGGCAATTTGGGCAAATCCGAATCGGTATCACCAGTTTTTGTGCCATTATCAACACTGTACTCAGTTATAAGGTTACATAGTTTATCTATTTCAGGAAACGTACGTGAATTACCAGATTTCACCATACATGCATCTAAGGTCTTTAATTTATCAATAGGTATATTCATGCTTTCAGGTAGAGAACATATACCCAATTCCACAGGATTGCGTACATCAATTAGAATATGCTTCTTTGACTTTTTAGTCAACTCGTAATATTGTTTTACTGTGATTCGTTCATCAGGATTCAATATGTGGAGCATTTTGCACTTGTCATTTGCACCCACCCACAAAATTCTGTATAATCAGGCAAGTTATCTAATTTAATAGATCGATTATCACCACAACACACACATGATGGCTGTCTTCCCCTCAGTTTCACAGTTCTACAATTACCTTCAAGTCCATTGAAAACAAATAAATTTCTGTGATAAGATGGCTGAATTCCAACAATGATCTTCAATGTTTCAAGAGCTTGCATACATCCTATGATACCAGGTACAACACCAATAACACCTCCATCAGAACAGTTCGTTACCGATTCTGGTGGCGGAGGAATCGGATGTAAGCATCGATAACATGGGCCTGTTGTGCCATTATCATCTGTATAGTTATATACAGTCAATTGTCCTTCCCATCTTAAAGCACCTCCAGACACTAATGGTTTATTAGTAAGGACACATGTATCACTAATAAGATATCGCGATGTTATATTATCAGTGGCATCAATAACAACATCATAATCTTTGAAAATATCTAATGCATTATTTCGATCAAGTTGTGCAATTATAGGTACAATTTTACATTTGGAGTTAAGTTCATTCAGAGCAAATGCCGCTGATTCAGCTTTTGACCACCTATCTGCAGCTCTTTTTTCAGTATGTAAAATTTGTCTATGGAGATTACTAACTTCAACTTCATCGTAATCCACAATTCCAATAGTTCCGACACCAGCTGATGCTAAATATTGTGCTGCTGGACAACCCAGTCCACCTGCTCCAACAATGAGCACTTTAGCATTGTTCAATTTGATTTGACCTTCGACTCCAATTTCAGGCAAAATAAGTTGGCGACTGTATCTTGCCACGCTGTCATTGTCAAGCTTCTGTTCATGTTGCATGATATGGTATAGGCCTATTGAATAAACTAATAGAAATCAAATAAACCTAATCTAAAAGCAAAATACACACAATTCATAAATTCTCTCAGATATATCACTTGAAACATTTGACAACAGTGAAAGGTAGAATATAAAATTTTGATTTTTAAATGCCAGTACTTTTATTTCCCAATCTAAAATCAGTCAATAAGAACATTCCTTAAAAAAGAAGGTACAATACATTCCATTTATAACATAACCAACCCTTGCTGATTGGATTATTTCTGAATAGGTTTGGAATTTTGCAAGCTTCATAATCTTATGTAATTCACCCTAAAGATCTTTGAGTAAAAAATTAGTTAAAAAATAGGTTACCATATTCCTTGACTGATATTGAAAAATTAGACATGATGAAATTAAAAATCAAATACTAAACAATTATTGTGCAACAAAATTCAACTTTAGAAACATATACCAATTTATCCATATTATATTTCAGGTACAGGCAACCATGCAAAAAAGGAAAAAGGTAATAGGGCATTTTACTAAAAAATAGGTATTATAATTTTATATAGGTGCTTTAATTAAGTAATATTTATTCAATTAAAAAACATTTACTTTATGTATTTATCATTGCATGTCTTGTTTTAGAGCACATTGAAGTCATCTAACAATACAATATTGAAGTGAATTACAATACAGAATACTACAATATCTAAACTATTTGAATAAACTGGTAAACAAGAAATAAGATAGTTCAGTCTTTGATTTCATGTGCCAAACAATGAACCTGGTAATCAACATGAAAATATTATTGAGACAAAAAATTCATACATTTTTTATATAGCTATAAACTAGATATAATATGCCTCCATTATGCTACTGCTGAGACAGAGTATTTGAATTCAAAAACATCTGAGTACAGTAAAAAAGATCGCTTAAAATAGTCTAGGTATGTAATAGGCAATACACATTCAAACAATACTTACTCGATAAGTTCTATAATTAGAAGTTTCCAAAAAATGTAATTGAGATAATTTAGCAATTATTCGTTTAGGTGTGCAAATGGGTTACCCAAATAATTCTTAATATTGATATACAGATATACAATCTTGGCTTACAGTAATATAACAAAATATAAAGTGAATGCTTGTAGGTCCAATAGGCAAATATTAATCCATAACATAGCCTACTATTAATATAAAGAGGTAAATTAATCATCGTCATCATCTTCTGGTACAAATATATCATAATCCTCAAGAAAACTAGCTCCATGCATCGAAATCATGCCTCCAATATATAAAAATGGAGTCGAAACTATGAATAGTTTTGAAAGTCCCAAGAATTCACGCTTTGGCCTTGGCAATATCGCTCCATTGGATGTATAAACAGCAGTTCTAGCAGGCGTTCGTCGCAGCATCCTTGATCTCTGTATAAAAAGTTTCCTAATCCCTGATGATCGCAACATGACTGATATTTAGTTGTAATGCTCCCTATTCTGCTATTGTTTGCGCTATAGAACTAATAGGAAAAAATTTCAATATATTTAAATATGTATCAGATGAAACTTAGGATAGGAAATACATATTTATCCCGGATGAGTGGAAAATCGACAGGACCGCTTAACCATATGGCGAACCACAGCCTCATCCTGCCTACGGCATGGTATCTGGTAGGCCTATTTGTTTTCGGAAACATGGACCTGATGGTGGGGGAAGCCGTAACCGCTACCGGTACGTACCCTACGGCGGCGAGGAGTAGACTACAGTAATTCTCTCGCACATAGCCACTCCCGCATGCAGGCACATAAACCTGGCGATGACGAGCGTATTCCTAACGCTTAGCAGGATGAGCCACATCGCCACGCCCAACTTGTAGCAGTGACGCCTGACGGTGGTACCGGTACCGTATGGCCAAGTTAGTAGAATTTACAATTCAGCATCAGCTTCAGGTATTACAGACAGTAGAAGACACTGACAAAAATCAACTGGCAGAACCAAAATTGCTTTAGAGGAACGCACCATTCCTACTTATTGAGTCAGAGAGTTTTGCAGTTTTAAAAATCCTAGAACTAAAGCTACGGTACCGGTACTGGTACAGTGGTAAGGCCAGATCTGCAGATGATACCGTAATCTTATTTTCTGCTATAGCGCTAGGCCTACCATTCATTGTCCAAGCGGTTATAAAATTGCTCAGTTTTTCAGTTTCGGTGTATCGGAACAAGAAAAAATCGAACAACCGCTTTGTGAAGAAATCATAATTAACTGAATATAGTTCGCTCACGCTTTTTTCATCTTCGTTTATTTATGTTCTCTCGTTACGCTTGAGCGGGGCTGTAGAGTACCGGTATCCTTTAGGCGCGATTTTGTGCTGTGTGCAGCCCAGTCCTCATACGTAGCCGATAGCGAATGGTAATCAGAAATGAGATACCGTATCAGCACGATTAACATGCAATGACTGCAAGTTAACAGGTGTAGGCACACACCGTACGACATAAAGGAATGGGTCAAACCAGACGCAGGGATGACTAACGGATGCTATGACATTCTGCTTCATCCTAATCTAATGCCTCCGGATATCTTCCTAGCTATTTACATTAAATAATCATTCCAAATACGCAAATAAATTCTAAAAGAAATCCGCTTCCCTAAGCTTCAAGATATAATAATATGGATAATATAGCAAAATGATTACGTACAGTCCCGCTCAAGTGTAGCAAAGCGGCCGCGAGCGAACTATATTCAGTTAATTATGAAGATATGATGTTGATGCCCGAGAGTTATACAACCGTAAATGACACAACTCAAGAGGCGCAGTTCTTACCACTTCATGGCAGCTCCTGCCACGAACCAACCGCGGCAGCTCTTGCCATGGTTTTATAGCGCTATTCAGTATTCAGTAATTAGTTTTAACGGTATATTCACAAATTAATGTACCAGATTTTAATTGATCATGCGGAAATATATCTACTTAAGCCCTAACCCCAAATCCATCAAAACTGTATCCATAAAAAAAATGTTCCAACTTACGCAATATTTGTCATTATTTAAGGGACAGCCCTGTCTTTACGGCCCACCTGCCGTGGTTACGGCCGCAAAATTTTATCTGCCATGGGTTTTCACTTTGCTGCCGCGGTAACGGCAGCTCGTCATTGGTTTGTGGCAGCTAAAAATTCAGTCGCCAATCGCCATAGGTTTGGCCAAAGCGTATATTTAAAATACAAGCGAGACAACGCTCAGACAATAGACGCCATCTTGGGCCTATTGTAGGGCTGGGCATTTCGAATCGAATATTCGAATCGAATAGTGCTTCATTCGAATCGGTTCAGAGCTAAATTTCGAATCGCCGCCATCTTGCTTTCTTATTTTCGCCAATGGTCGAGGTGAATTTCCGAATTTTTATTTCATTGAAGTCATATTTTTTCAACGCAGTTCTAATATATGACTATTCTCTGCAGTGAGTTATTGATAAAACGTGTTTGTTATTGTGTGTGAACGCTCAGTAATCTATCTGAGAGATGTATTCTCAGTAATTCATTTGTTAAGAGGATCAATTGCAATAAAAAAGTCGCTTACAATTATATATTTCCAAGTATTCGAGATTCGATTCGAAAAAATTATTCGATTCGATTCTGAAATCACAAGATATTCGAAAATGCCCAGCCCTAGCCAATTGTTCTCGGCCATCTGAAACGGCGTCATTTGTGAAGTTTGCACACAATTATTGAAACGTACCTATTATTTTCACTAATATTTTAGGTAGAAAAATTTTGAAGGTCGCGTTTTGAAGGAGAATCTTAGCCTAACACGTTGATATTCTTTCATGTTTGCCAAATTGCAATTATAGTACATTAAATTGTCCTTGAAGACAAGTATACCGGTTCCGAGTTGCTTCTGAAGTAAGTTGGCCATTCTAATCGTCATAATTAACCATTTGACAATGGCATTTCCTATGACGTCACAGATGAAAATTTGTATTCATTCGTCGAAATTACCGGCCGACTCAACTTCGCTTCAATGGCCGTTTCCATTCACTGGTTAACATTTTTCGTCCGTCAAGTTCATTAATGCCCTATTGCTCAGTTCCAAGCTGTACTAGAAGAACAAATGACATTGTTGCGGAGACATTTTACAGCGCCCAATTGGCGTAACACTATAAAATCTTCGAAAAAATGATCAAAAATGGTTCTACACGTTGTGTTTGTGGTCAAATTTAACGCATTAGATAGTTTTTATGCTTAATATCGTTATATATTTAGGTAGCATATAGCCCAAAGTTCAAAACCCACCCTTCGGCTTCATCCTAGCCCTTACAACAGCTGACTTATTCGATTCGGTACAACAACACGACGAAAATTTCCCATAAGGCTCCGTTGTTTCTCGTTTCCCAAATATGGTACAAGATGGCGTCCATGAACTTGTTAACATCGGTTAACATTAGGCAAGTTGGTTGCCGGCCCTTGGGGTTTGGCCGTAGCGGCCATGGTATGGAAATACCGCCATGGTTTTGCGGCAGCTGCAGACGCAAACTCTACGCTACGCCTACGGTACCGATCAATCGCTTTGCGAAGATGCGATGTCGGTGCTTGAAAGGCAGACGACTCGCTCCTCCAAGTGCAGTTTTAAGTATTCTATGGCGTCTGCAGCTGCCGCAAAACCATGGCGGTATTTCCATACCATGGCCGCTACTTAGCTGCCACAAACCAATGTCGAGCTGCCGTTACCGCGGCAGCAAATTGAAAACCAATGGCAGGTAAAATTTTGCTGCCGTAACCGCGGCAGGTGGGTCGTAAGGACAGGGCTGTCCCTTATGATGACAAATATTGGGTAAGTTGGAACGTTTTTCTTATGGATACAGTCTTGATGGATTTGGGGTTAGGGTTTAAGTAGATATAATTCCGCATGATCAATTAGAATTTGGTACCGGTACATTAATTTGTGAATATACCGTTAATACTGATTACTGAATACAGAATAGCGCTATAAAACCATGGCAAGAGCTGCCGCGGTTCGTTCGTGGCAGGAGCTGCCATAGACTGGTAAGAACTGCGCCTCCGCTTCGCTTCCGACGATTGTGAGACATCGGTTCTCGATAACTCGCCTAAGGTACGGTACTTGCTTAGGCTGATATTAGTTGAAAACGAACTTTAACAACACCACGAAATGCTGTTCTGTACCATTTCGTGGGCCCCCGCATACGGTACCTGCCGTTCATGCACCCCACGAAATTTTCTCATAGTACAATAGTATCTTCACAATACAGCAATATGCGTCTCAATACCGCCGGTATATCGTACTGTCCAATTTTACTGCACTGGAAATAGCCTATATCATTTTGTTTTATTCTTTAACATAATTCTTACTGTTATTTGTTGTCGGTCTTGCAGTGTGCTTGGTTTGTTATAGAATGAATAAACATGCTCGGTGGATCGCTCGAACAGTGTTAGTTAAGCCGAAAAATCCTGATCCAGAAGAGGCGTATCGTCGTTTGCAAAAGCATTTATCGAAAGAAGGTCATATTTCTGACTGGACCAGGTTAGTAGTAACCACTGTACCGTACCGTACTACTTGACAAGGAGATTACGACTTCTGTTAAAGGTGTACGGTACTTCTGAACTTGCTTGATAGTAAAAGCTACGATACTGTATCACAGATCTGCAGATATAAACATAGACTATACCGTCAATACACATTTGAAGTCTGAGAATATGGTGAAACCATGAACTCTCAACACAGCAATAGAGTTTAAAATTGCTTTTAGTGTAAAAAATAAATGTTTCTGATATGCGCAAGAACGATAACGAATTGGTTTTCTTATTCTGTTGAATATATTTATGTATACGTTGTGCTTTTCAAGTGTCTCAAATAATATTATGTCTTCATTTCAGAAATCGCTATTTCGAAAAACCTTTTATGAAACGTCGCAGATTGGCTTATGAAAATTGCAAACAAATTTACAATGATGAAATGCGTCGAAAAGTCCTATTTGTTTTAAAAGGCAAACACAGAAATCCCTGGAGAGAAGAATAATCTACAGATTTGATTGAATTCCAAACATTATATAAACATTGAACAATGGCATTGCATTTACGTTGCTGCTGTTCGCGAAGTATAGTAGCAGTTAGACATTTGAGCTGTTATGCCTCAAAAATTAACTCAAACAAATATATTGCAAGAAGTTTATCTTCTGCCTTGACACAGCGATCTAACAAACAAGAACACCCATTCTTTACACACGGAAAAAATATTACCACAGGTTCGAAAATTAATATTTTTAGTCAAACATTTAGACCAAGTTGGATATGGTGTTCTAAATGGAAATTTATATAGAAGAATCATATGTCTATGGTATTACGCTATGGGCGAAATAACATACTTGTTATGTATATCATGAGATGTACCGGAGCTTTATTGAAGTATTGATGTTTTTATTAGGACTGCATTGTGCATTTACTTCGTACAATACACATTATATCATGTCTTTCATTGATGATGATGTGTTAAACTAAGCTATTTATGCCAAAACGAATTGCGCTAATTCTCAGTGTTTCACTGTTTTAAACGACAACAAGTTCTTAGCATTTCTCTACTTTTTCAGCAAGAAACTTTTTTACTGGTACAAGACTAAAGTTCATTCAAACATTTGACACCCCAAATCCGAACAGTCTCAAATTTGTTCCGGGAGAACAAATAACTGGAGGTTTCACTGTTGATTTTCCTGATTGGACTCATTCACATAAATCACCTCTCGCAAAAAGATTATTCAGCATTGAAGGGGTAATTGTTTAATTTTTCCTTTTTTTCTCACCACAAAGAGTCATTCCAACTCCATAGAATTTAGAACTTCAACTCCAGCTCCAGCGAGTTCGAAAATACAACTCAAACTCAAGGGAAAACGTTCAAAATTTGACTCCCAACTCAGCAGCCCAGCTTGTCGTGTATAACACAGTGATTTCGACCGGTTTTCTCAAAACACTGGTGTTCCGTGAAAGACCTTCAGGTGTTCCGTGTCAAATTGTTGTTTCACTCTTTTCTGATCGGCATATCTTTTATTATATATATATATATTTATATTATACAAATTAAGAATAAAAAATCACTCATTTGGTTTTAAGATGAGTTTGTTGCGTGATGATGGAAATCCACTGTGCGAATATCCTTCTGAGTTCTCATCACATCTCATACGGCACGTTATGTCAATTTTTTGGTTATGGTGGATAGATATTTGAAAAGAAAAGCAGACAAATAAAAACAATTATTTGGTGTCCCGATAAATTTTGTGTAAAAAGTTTTTGCGGTTCAAACTCATGCGTTCCACACTTCCATGTTATGCGTCATGGCCTGTATTTCAGTGAAGGTGTTGCGAGCTTGGGAACCTATGGCCTGGTAGTTGGCTTACTCTTAAATGGGCAGGCCATGAAAAATACCAGTCTTCCCAACTTAGTGCTTCCTCAGCTGAGTGATGGCTTTCATGGAGAGCGATAGTGATATTACTTATAAGAAAAGTTACCGCATGCTTTTGTGAATTCGCGTGATTGGCATCCAGATTAAAAAATGAATTTTTTAGGTCAAAAGTGTATTCTTTGGTCCTGATTTCATTACTGTTTCAAGAGCTGATGAGGATGTTGAATGGAAAATACTGAAACCTGAGATTTATGCAACCATCATGGACTTTTTTCAATCTGGCTTACCTATTCTATCTGGTTTGTAGAAATTTTCAAATTCATGTATGCATTATACTTTTTCACATTAGTCTGCTGCCAACATCTATATTACATGGAGTTAGAATCATTGAAAATGTATATCGGTTAAATATATTCAAATACCTATTACTTTTGCCACTATTAAACTTGCTACACTTCAAAAATCATTTTGTTTTGCCAGTATTAGGTTTGTTATCTATTTATATTTATTGTTCATACATAATGGAATAAATGAAAAGTTTTGAAATATAAATATCCAAAATAAGGCGGGCAAGATCAAATCTAACAATTATTCTTATTCAGCTCCACGCCCCCTCAAAAAATTGTCTACGTCCCAGCGTTTGAGAACCACTGCACTGGAATGATTCGAATATGACTGGTAAACATAAATACTTCAATTATCTATCTGTATGTTATTGCAGATGATGGGCCCTCACCTGACACTGTTATACAAGAAGACGATGATGATATTGTAGCTATGGTGAAAGAATTATTAGATACTCGTATTCGACCAACAGTAATGGAAGATGGTGGTGATATTATATATAAAGGATTTAATCACGACACAGGAATTGTTCAATTGAAAATGCAGGTAAACAGTCGTTCAAGTTATTTTTGTAAAATCCAATTGGGCATAATGCAATGCAATAACCCGTTGCAAATATAGGTAATGCAAAATGTCTAATGTTTTTAGATTGGTCATATACTGTGTGAAATGTTTATATATACTGAGTTTTCATTTATCTTGAATGATCTGTTTTTTATGGTGTTTGAAATTCTTCATTAATAGAATATTGGGCACCCAAGAAGTGGGTGGAGGTAACTAATTTTAGTCGCCTACTGTACATCAAGTTGTGTTCAGGGACTGAAACCTATATTCACTTGGCTAACACAGACAGTCCCCGAACTTGTAATAGAACTAAAATAAGGAAAATCGGAATAAATAGCCTAACCTGGTACACACACTACGGGAGTACCGCATATTGAAAGCCTTAGTCTTGTGTTAATTGGCATCTTAATATTACTGAGGGAAACCAGGTTTTCAGGTCAATTTTTTCTTTCTTTCTAGGGTTCTTGCAGTAATTGTCCAAGTTCAACTGTAACTCTAAAGAATGGGATTGAGAACATGATGAAATTTTATATTCCTGAGGTCAAAGGTGTCGAAGAAGTTCGAGATGAACTTGATGATGTATCAGATCAACAGTTTGAAAAACTTGAAAATATGATAAGAAGAAAAGAAGTGAAACAACAAGATGAATGAACGTTTTACGTCAAACATTGCTTCATAACAATCTGCTATATTGCGCACAGATTGCAAACTATCATTGTTTAATTATTTGACTTCCTGTGTTCTCAGATCATACCAATACAAACTTAAGAGTTGATGTAAATTGTTGGATAGCTTGAAGGCAGTGCTGGGACTAGGGAGAGAATAATTAGCTCCAACATGCTTTAAAGTTGAATGAAGTGTTCCTCAATTTTTTTTTATCATGGCCCACTTGGCAAAGCCAAATTTTTCACGACCCTCGGCAACTAAAATTGGTAAAGATTAATAATAGATGCTATCATTTAAAACTGCAACCAATTATAAATACTTTAGGTACTCGTGTAGTATGTGCAATAAGATGGCGAACACCAGAATGTATTATGTGTATCAGGTTAGGGTTAGGTCATAATTTCAGGTATGATTAGTACAGCAGTCCCCGAACTCGGAATAGAACTGAAATTGGGATAAAATTATGGCCTACTGGTACACATACTATGTTCAGGTGTCCGCCATATTGTTGCACATACTACGAAAGCGCCATATTGTACGAACTCACCTACATTTCATCTGCCATTCGCTAAACATTCAAATATTCAATGCTCGCAGTGATAAACTAGAACAATGACTGCTCCACTGCACTTTCTATCAAACCCAGTTACTACTATACGCATCTGGTTTACTTTCTACCAGTTCGTCAGCATGTTCTGAATCCTAAACAACTAGGACTTAGAAGCAAAGTTGTGACCAATAGTACCGTTACGCATGATGGCTCGTCGAGAAGAAGATCCATGAATAAGGTTTGGATTCACCCAGCGAACACAAATATGCATATCAACTTCAATATGGGGCATCTTATTCAAGTTGTACTAGTTTTTGAGCATCAGTAAATGTAAGTCCTCAAAATGCTAATCTGGTCATTAATTTAATGTGATCTAAATTAGGGAATAATTGCTGATTTTAATAATCTCAACTAGCAGGAAAGCTAGTGGCACTTGTAATGTGCGAAAAATTCCCTTACTTCATAGAATGTCATGCCAGAGCTGTTGCAGCATATCTAATATTGCACACATACAGTCATATCTAAAATGCGCCAAATCTATCCTAATGCTGAAAGGCAGGCTGACGAAATCAAACGACTGAATAGATTCTCAATCACATCACCCTATGCTACTGCTCATCTGTAAATAATGTCATGGAAACTTTATTAAAGCAAAAAATCATACAGAATTTGTAAAATATAAAAATAATCACATTCGTGAATCTAATTTTTTGTTTCGCCTGGTTTTATTCTTCAAGATGGGTGAAGGTGGTGTTGATTTATCTATCTCATATGTATCTTCTGTTCTGTCGCTTACTAAATGCTCCTTGTCGGTTTTATTTGTTGAATGTTCAATGGTGCATGACTTTTTGTAACTCTTGTCAGACTGTGGAAATTCATCGCCAGAATGACAACGTTTTTTGGTCGGTGGTGCCTTCACAGGAACTTCACAAGATAACATGGTTTCAACAGTTTGTTGCAAGATTGATTCAACTTTCTGTCTGAGTTTTCGACTGGATTGTATTGTTTGCTTGGTCTCTCGTGTTGCTGAATTCCTATTTTCTTTATCTAAATTGACATATTTGTCAAAAGTCCTACCATTTGTTGTTGTTAGTGACGTTTCATGCTTTCCTTTTTCCACCTGAGGAAAATATGTAGATATTATTAACAACCTTGAACCTACTCCTAACACACCTATATCTTTCCTATAAAAGTTCTAAATAAATTGATTTAGATGAAATAAGATAATCCATACAAACAGGTCTAGGAATGAAAGATAATGGAGTGATAAAATTCCTGTTTAAAATACCTATAAAGTGAAGAAGAAACATGTGTAAACAAAGAACATGAAATTTTGGAAAAACATTCATTAGTATTCTAGAACAATACAAGAGAAGTGAGATTAAAATTAATAATAGCATACAAGCCCATTTGCCAACTAATTTTAGTTTAATGTGAAAAAACCTCCAAACCGCAATGCAAACATCTAAATACAAAGAAACAAATCTCTACACTAACACATTTCTCTTACCACATTGTTGTCAGCATCTAAAATAGCAGCATGTTCAGTTTCAGTCATTTCATATGCATGGTCACACAACTGTCTTTGTGAAAGTTCTATCCATTTGCTCGGGATATCTTCTTTTGGAAATTGAGTATTGGAAGTTATTGGCTGTGCGCAATTTTCAGTATTTCTTGTCTCTGATTGATTTGAGAATTGGTCCTTTTCATCATTCAATTCCCACTCTGTCATCATCTCAGTTGCTAGACCTTGTGTGATCGGGTAAAATTGAATACTGGAGTCTTCTTGTGTTCTGAAATTTCATATGAAAATTAATTTAAAACTAGAAAACATAAAAGTAACAAGGAAATAGTGTTGACAGGTGTTACGGCTATTTTTGACCGGAGGTGAATCACTCTGTTATCCTTCTTATTTTAAACTTCGGGTGTGCCAAAATACCTGCAAATTCGAAAAATATCAAAATAGCGGTCAATTTAATAGGAATAGCAGTTCAGATTACTTTTCAAAAACTATTTATCAGCACACCTGGACTCTGTATTCTGTTTGTTGTAATATTCTTTCCATGCTGAGCTACTTGTAGCACTATCTTCTTCCAGTTGCGACCTTGCAAGATCTTCAATATCCCTGATGCCCTCAGAAACAACCCTATACTCTGCAACACCATCCTTCATATCAGGTGATTTATATTGATGTAGAAATCTGCCAATGAGGAAAATATATTTGATGTTCCTTGTTTCAAACCAGGAATCTTCACACAACTTGATGAAAAATAGGCAAACAAAATTAGTTACCTCCATATTGGCACTGGCACACATATTTCTGGACCGCCCTTCATTTTTTATCCCAGAGCGTTGAAAAGGTGAACTAGTATTTGAACTGAATACACATTTCAGGTAATAAGTTTATGGTAGTAACCATAACTACAATCAATTGTTCCGAGTTTTAATGTGGTACCAGATGATTCAGTTTCAGGGATTCTATAAACAGTATTTTACAGTATACAGGTCTTTAATCTGACTCTATTGCCTCGTTGGGTATGATTTAACGGTGGATGTCAGATATTCAGTTATCTTCAAAAATGGGCTAAATTGTTAATACTAACTTTGCCATTTTTTGACAGCGTGAAGGAATTGAATAAGATTCAAATTTTTATGCAACAGGTTCAGGGCCAAGAATTTTACAATGAAATCATAATTTCAGGGGAAATCGATTCCACTCAGATTTTTTACATTGCTTAAAACGTCAAAAACTACTCAAATAACCACCACCTGGTTATTAAATACTAAGACTTGGATAACAAACTAGACAAACCTCGACTGATTTCTCTTATTCAGCATCAGTTTTACAGAAGCAAGATGACTCCACCTTATCCCGAGTGCAGGTATATTATATGATGTTCCTTGTTTATCATTTATCTTTGTCGAAACCTGAAATAAAATTTATTATTAAAACCATTCGCATCAAAAAAATTTAAACACCAAAAATAAGACGATGAATAGAATTGACTTTTAAAGTAAATTTGACCAAGCCATATATTTATCCTATCAGTTACAATCGGCAGAAACCCTTGAGGGTTGACATTGAAATAACAATTTTATAAATTTTAGCTGGTTTTTCAGAAGATTATTTTCATATGCATCATACCCATTACAGAATATTATGCATAATCTTTACTCAAAGAAAATCCACCAATACACTCTATCCTGATATAGATATCTTTTGACTGAGAGTTCAATATGAATAAATACCTGATTTGTGAGAACAACTGCAATGTCAAATTCCATTGCAATGTCTAAGAAAATTCTTCCGAGTGTCATCAAAAACTTGGATCTTGACCGCATATCTTCCTCACCTCGCACGCATTGTGCAACACTGTCCACTACAAGCAATTTAACCTGATTCAAATGAAAAGAAACATCATAAATCAATACATAGAGCAATACATTCAACAGGGAAGTACTTTCTGTAAGTTTTTACAGATATCAATTAGAAAATTTATAGTAAAACAGTATAAAAATATGCCATGATTACCTCAAAAACAACATAATGAGTTTTATTAAAAGAGAATAGCAATCGCCAATATTATTCTCCTTGAAGTAACTAATCAATTTAAGATACCAAATATGCTAAAAAATAATTTTCGTGTGATTCATTATGTAGGCTATGTTAATCAGCTTTTAAAATCTCAAATGACTTTGCGACTCAAGTAACTGATGAGCTGTGTGATAAGCAGACAATAAAATGCCGTAAATTGGTGGTAGCATACAACATGTTTATAGCTTGCTATTGTACTTCAATTAATGGATTTCATGCATGCCCCTTGCCAACACCATGTTACATCCTGACTAGTGGCAGGAGTAAGCATGCATGCCCCTTGCCAACACCATGTTACATCCTGACTAGTGGCAGGAGTAAGGGGGTGTGTACGGGTTTGTGCCAAGTTACCAACCCGTTTTCGTGATGTTGTGATGATCGGTGAGACTGTTTTTGGTTTTTGCTTGAGTCACTAGACAACCGCAGCAAATGGGAGATATGCGTATATTTGACGTATCGAAAATTATGTATTTAAAGCGTCTATGTCAATGCAGCTTACAAAGTGACATACATATTTTTCTATAAAGAGGGAACCGTTGTTGGTGAGCTCAATATACAAGAGAACTCGGTATTAAACTTCGAATTTCATAACAGATCCTGACCCAAAACTAGGTATCATTCAGTAATCATTATCGAACCTTTTGGTGTGATTTCAAAAATTCTTTCATCTGATGCGTAGCTGCAAGTAGTTGCACACAGTTTCTACAAGAAAACAAAAATATTCTGGACATGACTTTGTCTGTTGTAAAATCTTTCATTGACTCAATACATTCTGGACTTCCTGAAAGATCTGCAACACCAATGTATATTTAACCTTGTAAAAGTCTCAAAAAGCACAAGAACAAATTTGATTCCTCAATGCTTGTGTCCAACAACGACGATAATAACCCCAACACGCACTTACAAGAGAGTCGTACGCGACAGAATACTCGTTTTTATGCATTTTCTCAAAACAAGTCTTAGTATAAGATGATACTCAAACAATGTTAATAAACACCATATTTTCCGGCTAATGAGTCGATTTTATGGACCCAATTTTTTGTGTCTACTTATTGGGCGACTCAGCCAGCTTTGAACCAGAAAATACAGAAAAGGGGCGACAATGTAATGTGACCATTACATATACTAAATTATACATCAATGAGTGAGATCACATTAGTGAGTAACTTAGGTACTCTTAGGTACTTGGTTTCCGTAACACAGTATCAATCAAAATATAGCGCGTATTTGTGCTTAACTGACAAATAGAGAAAAAAGTAACACAATTTTTCTGCCTTCGTGGTAATATAGAAAACCCCAAGTCGGCTTATAATTATGGTGGTATAATTCATTTATTCTTAAAAAAAATTACCGGCAATTTGATGACAATGCTGAACAGTGGCATTCGTTATTTGAGCGACACGTTGCGGAAAAAATGTTCCCTCCACATCAAGGTAGACTGCTTCACCATCAACACCACCAAGACAAGCAGGAATTTGTACATCTACACAGAGCTGGAAGCAAAATTGAGTTTTCCCTAAACCAGCTTCCCCTGTAAAAGATCAGGTATCAATATTGATAGATATGTTTATGAGTAAAAATTGGATAAATCACAAAAAATATAGGGTCTTGTTTATACCACAATAACTTCTAGTGATCTTGTCATAACCATTTTTGCACATTTTATTTCTATCCCCACCTGCCTGACTGGGTGTGTCATCCAAAACTTATATCACAACCACGTCATATAGCTTGCCAAAGTATAGCTACGATCGCTCCTCACTATCGACAGCGATCTCTCTCATATCGGGATCGTTAAGCCGATAAAACAAGAGAAATAGCTTGCTTAACTTCAGGTAATTGTATACACGTTTTGGACGACCATTTGTGTATTATGGTGGGCCTTAGCTTATTACATCACTGTGACGTTGTAGTGACCCAATTTTTGGATGCAAAAATTATCAGGCCACGCCCACTAGAAAAACTACACTAGAACCAAAATATGGTTGTGCTATTGATGCTATTTAAATTTCTATGGTAAAAGTTTTAGCACTTCATAAAATTAATTTCAATCTGTTTACCTGGAAAAATGTATATCTATACTGCTGCATTTCAAGTCTCAACATAAAATTTCATCATTGATGTCATGTATAAGTTATAACATCACAAATGCTTGTTCAACAATATGTGAAAACCTGAAAAGAATTTGATAACCTGCAATTTCTGTTATCCTTCCTAAAGGAAATCCTCCACCCATTAATTTATCAACTTCTGATGAAAATGAGACGATATGTCGAATTTCTTTCAAATTCTCTTTCAGCATGCAGGCAACAGATTTCATCACAACCTTTTTTGACAACTGCCCCTAAAAAGAATAAAAAACAAATAACATTTTTTAGTACATAAAAATTTAAGACTACTTTAACTATATTCTAAATTATCTCTCAATTCCTGAATTTAGCTGATTTTTATAACTTATTAATTTAAAATTATAAACTATTGGTTAGTCATTTGACATTGGTAACCATATACTATTCATTGTTTTTGTTTTGAGAATTACTATATTAACACATAACAATATTGCTGCAGAAAAAGAGTGTAGAATTACTTCACACCAGACTAATCAATATCCCTCTTTATAATGTAATAAGATAACCAAAATAGCAATCATACAAAATAGTACCTCAAACACTCCGCATACATTAGTGCTTGCCTTCAACAACTCATTGCCGAGATAAGGTTTGATAACCTGTATAGAAATAATGACATATTTTCAAAGTTTTAATCCAAATCAATTATTAGAATCGATTCAAAATTGAGCATATTATCATATTCTTGCTTTTAGGAATAATCTAGAATAGTTTTGATTTGAAAAAATAGCTATCTTATATACAATCGGAGATTTACAAGTCGACTGGAAATGTCTTCATTTTAGACTCTTAAAAAAAATCATTTCATTGTTTATCTTAGATTTTCTTTCAGACTAAAACCTATTGAATACACATTGTGCTCTTTGTTGAACAAATTCCATTTTAAAATGCTGTTCCATATTCAGAAAAACCATTCTATGATTTACTAGGTGTATTAGATGGTGATACGTGAGATCGCTGGTGTGAGTCCTGGCCAATCCATTGTCCAGAAGAAGACTAGTGCGAGAGAACAACACCTCACGCAGAGTTTAAAATTAAGCCTACTCGAATCCGTCAGATTATATTTTCACATTATAGTTACTTATAAAGAGCAAAAAAGTAAACATTTTTCATGAAGTCTTCTTGCTTGCTCACAAGCTTGCACATTCCTCACCACTGAATTAGGTATGTGCTATACTTATTTAGGCAGTAAAATCTAGTATTCGTGTCCTTTGGGGTGCAGGAGTACTTTAGAAAAAAATGTTTAGCGGACTGGGCAATTTTAATTGATAATCGCAACTCAAGTTATGCTGTAGCCCAAAAATGAAAAATTGAAGCTCATTATATTAACACTTCCTTACATTTAAGATGTGTGCTGCTTCTTCATCAGTGATACCCACTGCTTGTTTCAGTTTATCAACATCCAAATGGACTTTAAAATCATCAATCGTTGAAAATCCGCAACAAATAAGTTTACTACGAAGCAGAGTATCGAAAGGAAGACTCAATACATGTCGCATGCCGTAAGCCATGACAACAAACACATTAATATAGGGCAATTTCAGCTCATTTATTTATTTTCTAAAGTTTAATGCAAAAACGACACAATTTTACAATACGTGTAGTAAAAAACTCAGAAGTCTGAGAGAACAAATATCGCTGTTTTAACACAGAACAAGCATGTGCTCTTAATAAATCACACGAAAGCTAGATTTATTAGCCTATTAGGGCATACTTGAGCCTAGTAATTTTCAACAAATAATGTGAAATGACAAAGTTCTTCAGACAAAATGTGACAAATACATATTTACAAATGTGTTTTTGAAACAAGCCTTTGGTACTATGGTGGACAATATTGAAGGAACACATAATTTTGTGGCTAAAAATTGAACACCCATATATTAATTCCAAAAATATGATTTGGGAGGTCTTGATTAACCTCAAAAGCAATAATATTAGTATTCCCAGAATAATAAATACTCCCTACACAGGAAATAGTTAGCAAGAAAATATTGAAAAAACAAACAAATTTACTTCATGGTAAGAAATCTCCTATTTGTATGTTGAGTTTTTCATAAAAATAATTCATGAATTTTCAGGATAAAATTGAACTGATGAAATAAAGATGCACCATAGCCTTATAGAGTGTATAACAAACAATTGAATTCCTGGCAGTAATGTAAATTTGTAATCTGAGAAAAAATTAACTACTGAGGTATGGGATTCAGTCAGAAGGTGCATGCTTATTAATTAACCTTTCCATCAAAGTTAGATTGATACATGACATATTTACAGGTACTGCACCTACGATAGTTTAAATCTTGTAATAATAGTGACTTGTGATTAAACAGCCCAGATAAGTTGTCAAAATTGAATTCAGACAACAAAGACTCTTTAAGATTCAGTATATCTGTGATATCACAAAACAACGAAATGTCCGCTGAAATTTTATACAAACATGCTGATTTTAAATGTATCTTAATAATGCATCACTTCACGATCCACTAATCATTTCAATCGATTTAGTAAGCATTAAAATTTATTATACAGTAAAAATGGATTCATTTATATTATTGGACCACACATCCGGATGAGACCAAAATACTACATTACTCTGGAAATACAACAACAAATAGCAACAATAGGATATCCAAATTAGAAGATTAAATACATGTAAATTTATCATGAAAGTATTATGGTGAAGTTGTCTAATCCCCAGAGTAGAATGCTGAACAAATTGGAATGAAGACATAAAATTTACCCAAAAGATATGAAATGTAAGGAACATAAAATATTGCTGATATTCTGAGCTGAACAGAATCATCATTCATAACAAATGGACACTTTTAGAAAAATTCAGTTTGAACAAATGTTATTAAAATCCCAAATGAAATATTAGGTGCTTTTATAAAGAAATTATATTTGAGAATACCATTGAAATACCGGTAACCTTTTATTTATTCAATGAATGACCATAACAGACATTCAAAATAAGATCGGAATATGGAAGTTGGCTAGTTCTGAATGATATTTACGAGAAGTCAAAAAAACCTTATGACATTTGCATCAATAAGCCAAGCCCACAATCTAAATGTACAGTTTTGAAATGCTTTAATTAGCACAAAACACAAGTTATAACATGGGCTATTTCTGATCGGAATTATTCATAAACAGCATGAGTTCAGGACCTTGGTTTGAGTATTTATCAGTCAATTGAAGTATTCATTAATTCTAGGTTACACATATTAGATCTCTTCATTGGCCTCCTGTTTGTTGTTGAAAAACATCAATAGTATCATCATCCTCCATTTCCAGCTTGCTGGGTGTATCATTTTCACATACAGGTTGTCCATCAAATCTGAATCGAATTGCGGTCAGTTGAAGACCCTGCCTTTCACAATAAGCTTGCATTAATTTTTTTAACGCTGTGCCCTTTTTTATTTTAAATTGAATTATTGATCCATCTTGACCTGCAACTTTCAGGTTGATATGATCAGAGTCGCTTTTCACTTCCCGCTTTTCATCGCCCATTTTTTTTGTTTAGATGATGTGCAGATATTGACTCAGACTGTTTAAGTATTTTAGTCCAGTTAGAGCAAAACACCTGAATATGATAACACTGTATGAAAATAACAGACTATAAATAAATATTTATCATAATCGGAAGTAGTTAATTGCTAAATTATAATATAAATAATGAATTAATAACTTCAATAAAAATGATAAATTCATACCAAAAATAGGTATTGTATTGTTTGGTCTGGTGAAGTAAACGTCGTAACTCTGTAACCGCTTCAATAAAGCCTAACAAGAAAACCACAATCAGACATTTAGAGGAAGTTTTTTCAGTATTTAAGCAGTTACAGGGTTAACTTTGCACGACCCCTTTTTTATTTGGCGTTATTTAACCAGATGAATATTAGACTTTGCTAGACTAAAATATTCTAGCATTTCAAGACAAGTTCGCATGTTTGGTAGCCATAATATTTAATGGACAGTTTGTGGGGTCTTGTGTAGTTTCGTGCCTAACATACTTCTAGTGGGAGTAGTATTACAATTTTTCGACGTAGAGACGTAATTTTTGGATGACGTAGTCAGGTGAGGGTTAGGATTGACACATGCAAATATACCCAGACACCCGCCTGCGTTTTTTCACTATGGTCAGACGGTAACCACCGAACTAGATAATCATACCGGTACCCACAGTTCAGCAGTTCATTACCGGTACCGTACCAACGTTGGCCATTGCCGGCAGTAGCGGTAACTACCGTACAGAAGTAAAGGGATGGAAGCGGCACAGACGACAGTCAAAGCTAGCCTACCTACAAACCTAACTTCACATAATCCTGTAATCCATGCAGCGGAATCAAACAGTTTCTCTACCAATGGACTGTGGGTCCTGAGGTCTGTATGTGGACTGGCGGGATGGCTCATCACTTCTTCTCGTGTAAACGCCATCAAGCGGACTGCGAGAGCCTTTCCACCATTGAGGTGTTTTGCTCCTATGCGCTCTCTAGTTATATACACCTCAATGCTTTCCACTGATCACGAACTCGCGCTGGTATTAATCACAGAGTTGAGATAGATAGATAATGATTTATTTCCGATACAAGTACATAATACAATAAGCATGAGCAAATAACAATAAGCATAAAAATGTATACGGAAGGGGACGGGCAAGACTTCCAAAGTCAACAAGGTCGACCGACCCCTAAGGTAAGATTCTACCAAGACAGGACACTCTAAAGCAGGCATCATAATTACAATAGAAAAAATATAAATTTTTGAGTTTTAAGCCCGGTTAAGAGGCCCCAGAAATCAATTCCCCGAAAGTATTGGAATAGAAATAAAAATCACAAGGAACAAGAACATCACATGATTACGCAGATCATGTTTTTAATAGTAATTAAAAATGCGAGAAAGAATAAGAAGGGCGTCGGGCTAATGAGAATGAGGCAATTTCTATGAATAGGTGAAAAATTAAAAATACCATACTTCCCAAGCTATATAGTACATATAATTATTATTTCAGACTATATATAATAGTATCTTCAATAATTTTCACAAAGACATATGAAGAATCCATATATAAGATTGTGAATTCCTATCCATTTTATAAATCTGATAGCATACACTGAGATTTGCATGATATTGCATAATATTATGATCCGCTGAAATGCTGTTTTAATTTGCAAATAGGGTGGTATCAATCAAAGATTGAAAATTACAAGAAAAAAGAACATCGCATGATTATGCAGGTTATACTTTTTTTTAATAGTAAATAAAATGCGAAAAGAAGTGAAAAATTAAGAAGGGCGTAAGCCTAATTATAATTTCCTCAAATTTAATTTTACTTTATGTTCGACAAAAATCAAATAGTGAAAATGAGGAAATGAGGCAGTGAAATGAATGGGTGAAAAATTTAAAATACCATATTCCCAAGCTGAGAGTTCCGAGTTGAGACTTTACTCCTAACCAATAGCACAGTGAGCAAAACGATGAGCAGATAAAGGAACGCAAACTAACTCATAAAGTCGTCAGTGACCTTGCTAAACAGGAATTAAATAAACGTATGGATTGGCCATGGTTGTACTGAGAATATACTGTAGTTAGGTCACGGCTGCTTCGTTGCGCTTGAGCGGTAACTACCGTGTTTCCCATTCCCACTGAACTGGTTCCGTGAATGGACCGATCTTCTCTCTCGTTTTGCGCTGTCGAAGCGCGGGACAATTTGATCGCCGGCATCTTGGCGTTTATGCTTCCAAAGTTTCTTCGTGTTGCATCTGGTGTGAGTCAGTTTTTCGTCTACTTTACTACCCAGTGCGCCACATATGGAACTATATGCGACTTTTGTGGGTAGTCAAACACAACAATACTCGAGTTGGGAATTTGTAGCCTGATGTGGATCTCGTTCTTGAAAAAATTTGGTTGTTCAGGCGATTATACAATAGATATAAGTGGAAACAATTGTTTTTGCCTCATATCATGAAAATGCATGACCTCCACGGGAAAGATTTCACCAAGTCTTCGGCAGAGGGCCAAGCGAAATTTAGTTGGTACTCTCGTAGTCTGTGGACCAGATTGGGGTTAGGCCATAACCTCAATCGGACTTTCCTTATTCTAATTATATTACGAGTTCGGGGATTGTGTGTGTGTTAGCCAAGTAAATATATTCTGTGTGTCCATGGGTTTCTGTCCCTTTACACAACTTGGCGAACAATATTAGTTACCTCCATATTGGTACACGCACGTATGGAGCGGTCTATAGTTCTATTAATATGTACAGCTCGGGTGCTACGGAACCAGGCCATGCAATGATATTGAGATAGCTACGCAAAATACTTAAGGCGATAAAATAGGCGATTTCGATAAGCCATCTTGGCTAATTTTTTGTGGTCGTGATTGACTAATACTTTGGTCATATTATTAACCCACGACTTTTGCAAATTTATAAAACTGCCAAAATTAGCATCGTATGGTGGGCTGGGATATACTAGCGTTTGATACATAATGAGAAACGAATCAAGATCGGGAGAATATGCGAGAAAAATCGACGCAAATGAATGATTTTTGGCAAATCCCATGAGAAATGCATTACGCATATCGTAAAAGTTGGAAGTCTATCGTCAAAACGAGACAGCCTTCAAATGGTGCCGCGGAAACAAGAGAGAATCGCACTCTATTTATATATTTCTGTGGTGTTTCCCCGAAAATAAGACCTACCTTGAAAATAAGACCTAACCTGATTTATGAAAATGATTTTAATATAAAGCCCCTACCTTGAAATAAGACCCTATTGGAAATTTGCGTAATTATCTACTTTGTAATTTTGTTTTCGATAAGATAGGATAGGACAGAACATTTTGGAAAAGCATTTTCAAATTGATAAATATGTGTATATATATAGGGATTTGTTCAAAGAGACTTGTTTTGAAACAATTGTTTTGAATCAAGTTTTTTTGCCTGTTTTGTTCAAAATGGCTGTACTATTTGATTTTTTTGTATTGAATAGGTTGAAGAAAAATGGATGTCAAAACTTGCCAAGCGCTTCTCATTTGCAATAAATCTTTCAAAACGCCACAAATATCGATAAAGGCTCATGCACACCTTCTCAAGCTGTAGATCTGTGGTTGGCGCAGTGAGAAGCAACCGATAAGCCATTACGTGAACGACCCTGCTGCAATGAAACCACGTTGCAGAAATTGAAAAGCGATCGAATAAATGAGTTTGTATAACCTTGAAAAAATCACTTCGACCTTAAAAAACAAAGTATGCTGAGCATAAATCAACCGAACAGTATTAACCGTAACAATGACTTTATTTTATGAGGAAAATGTCAATACATGACCTCGGAATCCATATTATGGCGTCATAACAGATTAGTTGTGGCGTCTTTGCATCACAGGACTCTTACATTTAATATAGACTAGGTTAGGCTAAACATTCCGGGTAAAATCTTATGACTTTGGTGGAGATATAAAGTGGCGATAAATGTACGCAAAAGTGGTAAAAGTCAAAATAAAAATTTTTAATTATAATTCTGGCTGCGTGTGCAGCTGCGACAATGCAACGTTTTGCCGTAGTTTCGCGGCGGTGCAAACGGTATTTCAATGAAAAATACAAAAAACACAGAAAAATTTTGATGTCACCGTTCGAAAAATCCCCAAGTCTGCTATAAATCCAACTGAGTAAAATTCATTGTGGTAGGCTACAATATAAAATTTACTGAATAAAGGCTACTTTACATTAATTCGCAAAGTGAAGGGTACATCGCAAGCACGATTGACTGTGTTTGGATTTCAGTAATTTTGAGAAAACCAGGAAACTAGAATTCGGTTGGAAACCGAAGCTTATCGATCGAAGGTTAGGGATCACCCAAAACAGTGGTCGTACTCCATAGTGACACCGTGTGTCCCATCACTAATTAAATAATAACTCGCTAATTACACGACATAGTCCATCCAAAATCAATAGGCTTCTGATCCGAGCTATGATGAATATACATGTAAATCTGCAGCAGATCCAGTCTCACTTTCGTGAAATATTGCGTGCATCTAGCACACAGACAAACAGACAGACAAATACCTATCAACATACTTACCGATCAAGATCGATAAGTAATAATATTGAGTCATCAGGTTCTCTAAGTCCATACATGCTTAATCACCCAGAAAATATAATGCTAACAGATTATAATGTGTACACACCAAATTTTGCGATTTACAATTTTTACAAAAGAGTTTTTAATTCATCTAATCTATCTATCTATCAAATCATCGGGCCTTATAACACAAGTGTCTTCCGTTTTATTTTTAGTGTTTCATAATGCCGCTTTTCAATCTAAAAAATTTAGGTTGCTGATTTACTTGTTCATTTATCTTCAGCATCTCGTTGACCATGATCATATAATAACTCATTTTTTAACTGGAGTCGCCGTTCTGTGCGAGAACTGAAAATGAAAACCTTATCATATTCGAGGCAAAATACATATGTGTGATATAGGGAGAATAAACACCGACGTAAAGGTGTTTACGACTCATAGGACACGCCATGTTAACGAAAACGATTTCTACAAAATCCAATCACACGCGGTATTGGTGATCTTTTTCCAGAAATTTCTAGAGGGGGTGAAAAATTTAGAGGTGGTGAACATATTAGTTGTTTATCTAGATCTCAAAAATATTCAAACGCTGTTAGCCACGATATACCTCTTGATAAAATAAGGAATCCATGAACTGTCGACCATTGTATTGTGGGCCTGGCCTCCTATGCGAACGAGTCAACCAAACATGCGGACTCTGTTTACAGACAGATAGCAATATATACGAATTGACAATACCCGTTTTAGTTCTCATCTATTGACGGGCATTATTCTTAGTTTTATTTAGCAATGTCAGGGTGGTACAGAGTTGCGAGATTAAAGGAACGCAGTCGGAAAAAAACAAAAGTTTATTTACTTCAAATATATATGTTAAAAAATGAGAGTTCACCGTACGAATCAGCCTATTGTTATGTTGTATGAATGACGTTTTATTTTAGGGAAGGTATGAGGCACAAACGAAATAACATAACAATTTATTGTACATTGTTTTTGGTTACTGCTTCAAATGTCAGCATTAATTTCAGCAACAGCTATTATTTAAAAGCGCGCACCATTGTCGTGGGTGAAGAAATACGTTCAAATACAATGGTCGTCCAAGTTGGGATTTTGGGACCTGTAGCTATACATCCGGGATTGCGCCGTTACTCCGCGGTGAGATGCCAGATCTGTGGTTCGTCAATGCTGCCATAATGGCCAAAGTTTGAAAATAACACGAACCATAAATAGCGCGACCCATCGAATAGCTAAAAAATTCAAAAATGTCCCCCAATAAATAAAATATTTGCCATAGGTTTAGTCTGCGGCTCTGCGCTATTTTTTTTGTTTTTTGTGGGACGCATAGAATGATAGAACGCATAGAACAGTCTCCCCAAAAATATGCGGTAATTATCTAGTTGTGAGTTAGCGCTGGAGATGCAGATTGCGCTGGAGATGTAGATTGCGCTGGAAATTATCAGATGCTTAACCCTAACTGGATAATTACTAATTTTTCATTTTAAAATGTGGCGTGGTGTTTTTCCCAAACTATTTGGTTGGGGCCTTATAGAAACATCGTATTTGCGAAACACCGCTGCTAAATAACCAAGAAATATAAAGTATATTATATCGGTATTATGTACAGTACTCATAGTACAACTACCGTATATAATTCTCCGTGGTACAACAAGTACCTGCATGTCTGTATGTAGCAAATACGATAAATATTAACTTTATGTGGAGCACCTACAGACCTAGGTGAAATATGTGTATTGCCCAGTCAGAGACGAAATGGCAACTTGATGTTCTTGTGACACACATCGCCATCCGTCAAAGTGAAAATTTAATGGCCAACGCAATTCTACTATCCTAATGATTTGTATTGCCCAGTCAGAGACGAAATGGCAACTTGATGTTCTTGTGACACACATCGCCATCCGTCAAAGTGAAAATTGAATGGCCAACGCAATTCTACTATCCTAATGATTTGTATTGCCCAGTCAGAGACGAAATAGCAACTTGATATTCTTGTGACACACGTCGTCATCCGTCAAAGTGAAAATTAAATGGTCAACGAAAAGCAATTCAGCGGCTCTTGTTTAAGACGTCCAAGTAAATGGAATTAACAACTCATTCTAGCATTATTCAGTTGTCTGGTTATTGATGCTACTGCAGAATTCCACCGAGGTGTGATACCGGTACGTTCGGATACCGGTAGTTGCAGACGACAGCATGCATCTGCATAGTCAGATAGTCCATTAGTCTGGTTCACCAAGCCGTTACCATATTTTTTTCTTATCCAGCAGTACAGCTTTATCATTACTTCAGTACAGCGGTACTTCTGTACTTCGATATGGACACGGGATATTTGTCAGATCCCTCGAGCAATGTTTCTTTATGTCATCGTCATTTGTCGAGTCCTTTTCAAAATGTTCTTTCTCGATCTATAAACAATGCTTCACATGGAACACAAAATTATCAGAGTATTGAAGCCACCTCTTCAGGTACAAAGTCTACATGCAGACATGGACTAGTTGTCCAGCTGTGTCTGATTTAATATCTCATCTAAATGCTGAAATGTTTAACCTGTTCTGACAGCAGAAATATATATATATATATATATACTGATATATATGTTATATAGTTATAAAAATCCGATATGTAAATCTTAGCAGAACAAAAACAAATAAACATATTAACAGGTTACCATACTGGGGCAAGGATTAGTAATGTCATATTGACATCTTGCTTTTAATAACTTGGATAAAACATAGCCTACATAAGGTAAAGATAGATGACTTTGCATCTTCTCAATATACTGATATAATTTGAAACCATAGGCTATGCGCAAAATTAGTAGATTTAGTCTTGGGATATCAAATTGAAAAAGTTTTGTATTTTGGAAATCTCACTTGCATTTCATTTTTTTTAATTGTTAGATAATTTTACTGTAATTGCGGTCCTATAATACCGCTGGCACATTCTGACATAGTTTGTTTTTCTAGTTTCACCATCAACAAATCGACCATCATCATTGTCATCATCAGATATTCAGGAATCTGACATTGTGTCTCATGTTACTCATCATGCCACTGGAGAAAATTCACCAACTGATGAAGACCAGCCAGAGGTTTAGTTCTCTCCTATTTTCCCTTCTGCTTACATACAGACATATGGTCTTCAGATTATCAGATTGGTTTTGCAGTCAAGATGTTTTATATTGCGTTTTTGGAATAAATATATTTGTTACCTATCGATTTTAATCGGTAAGTATGTTGATAGGTATTTGTCTGTCTGTCTGTCTGTTAGATGCACGCGATATCTAACGAAAGCGAGATTGAATCTGCTCCAGATTTTGCATGTGCATTCATCATATGTCGTACCAGAAGCCTATTGATTTTGGATGAATTATGTCGTATAATTAGCGAGTTATTAATTAATTAGTGATGGGACACAAGGTGTCAATATGGAGTAAGAGCGCTGTTTTGGGGGATCCCCTATCTTTCAATCGATAAGTCTTCGGTCTCTGACCGATAAGTTTTTTGTTTTGTTGGGAAGATTTGCTTAAAAATTTAGCCTGTACATTGAAGTATTAGCAATGCTGCACAAAGGTAATACTGTAATATGGCTTGCAAATACGACTCTTCGTTGTCAATCTGTTACCACCAAAACGATATATGCACTCTCAATAATGATTTCAACATAGATGGTAGACAAAAGCTTGTAGCACTATTCATCAGACCCAACACATAACCTCTTACATTTTTAATCTTCCTTTTTTTCATGTTTTAAGATTATTATGACAATCTTGTGGTATGGGGGTCGACTTGGAGCAGCATATTATGATTCGGATTCTGCAATAGTTCATATACTGCTGGATACACTAGAAACTGATTCTTTTACATTACCAAGGAGATGTGAGTTTTTCGAACTGTTCACAATTCACAATTTGCTTTTGGAAGTTTGTAAAAATATATATGGGTATATATTATAAGGTATAGAAAGATGATTCATATATTTTTTATACAGTATGAACCGTATGCACAAAATTAATAGATTTATCATGGGATATAAAATTGAAAAAGTTTGATATTTCATAAATCTCTCCTGCATTTCATTTTGCATAACTTTGATGATGTTCATCTCAATATCTTTTAAAAAAGCACTAAACATTGTTGAATACAATTCAACTGAATCGTTTGCACATCCCCAATTTGAAGATGAATCTCAAAGTGGTAGCATTGGTTTAAATCTGTAAATATTTATTATATGAGGTTTTGTCCTTGTCGCTTTATATAATATTGTCATTGTTAACCATGTTTGAGGAGATATTTAATTTTCAGTGGTGGATGAACTTCATCCTTCTACGATAGTGACCAGTGCCAAGCAAGATGAAAGATTCATTGATATGTTGAAAAAATTAACTGGGACAGCAGATGATGAGGTGGAAGGAGTATTGAACTCATCAGGTATGAGGCTGTAACGGTACTCGTATGTTGATTTCAAACTACCGTACTATGTCTTACAGAAGATTATTTGAAAATAAATCAAATATTATGCTCCGATTCGAAATGATTGATTAAATATTTATGTTGTATATAACCAATTTTTGGATATGTATATATAGGCATAGATAGGTATTCTGATTACCTCTTTTTTCAAATGAAGTAATGACTTAAATGTCATTTCTCAATAATAAAATTGGATCATATTAACACACGAGCATTTACATAGGGCTGGGGAAAAAAAAAAATGAAGTGCTCAGTTTTTATGTTCAGTCCTATATTACTTTGTACTGTACATTGGATTTCAATCCTATTCAATATTCTCTATAAATTAAAAATTGAGTTTCTGCTCACATGCCAATGCATACAGCATATCTGTGATGGAATGTACAAAAAAACATAACCATTCTGATTCTGAGTGTTTCAGATAGGTCTACACCAAATATGATTTTTAGTTAAATTTAATAGAAGTGGATTTGATATTGATTTGCAGTTGCTTCACCCCAAACTGAAAGATTGCAGAGAGTGTTGAATTCAAGTGATTCAAGTTCAGAAAATGTGATTCAGGCTTCATTGGAGATTCTACCAGGCCTTGCTTTTTGTGAGTGCACAACTTGATCATAAATCACTCTCGTACGAGTTGTACCCTTAGTGCCAATCGCGTTGAAAACATTTTTGTGTTAGATCTAAAAGTTTTACTATGCAATTTAAGAGTCCTGCTGCACACTAACACAAATTTATTTCTGTAACGTTTCGTCTGACCACAGAAATAAATTTGTGTTAGTGGTCAGCAGAACTCTCAAATTGCATAGCATTGTATTTTTATTCCTGTCACGGCATACTTGCATTTTATGCATACGAATCCACTAGCTCAAAGGCATTGAAGGGTTGGGAGTTAGTCACGCGCAACCTCTACTGATAGTTCTAAAAGTTTTTGAGGTCAGCTATATTAATCAAATAGAGAATTCGATTCACAACTGCTATGGAAAAAGCTTCATTAAGTAACTTGTTAATCTAAATTTGCTAAGCTAAGCATTGTTATTTTCTCTTTTAAATGTATAGACTATCGAGACCATGATTTTTTTTCTCATGTCAGTTATTTATATTTGGTGTTGACATTGAAGCACAACTTTTCAGTCCGGTTATTTTAGAACAAACTTTTTCAACCCTCTCTTGATTATGGATCTTCTGGTCAACATACCATAATAAGCCTTATTGTACTTTATTTACAGCCTATGAAGCAGGTAAGCATCGAATCATTTCAACTAATTTGCCCGGAATACCTGAACATTACACAGATACAGAAAGAACACTGCATATGACTTCAAAAATTCCATTCGACTGTATTTCTGCAATAAGGGCAACTGGTGGATTGATTAGGTGGGTTAAATTATTCTTTATGATTTATTTTCCTTTTGAACCTTATATTAGGCTAGTAGGCTACTATAACCTGACACTATCTTGTAGTGATGTCATTTGTGTACACAGTGAAGGGAAATTCTAGTGATGAATAGTCATTCGAGGGGCTGTGTTATCTGAATTTTTGAAGAATACAGACAATACAAGACAATTAAATTATGGCACAGGGATTACTCGACCCTCTGGAATGTTTCATTGGGGTTTCGCTCCACTGTGCTAAATTTTTTTAAAATGTTCATTTTTACTTTTTAATAAAGGTATCTTGAGAAGAATCGCATTGGTGTTGGTTTAGAAAATGATGATGTAAAAACGCCAATACTCGACTTCAAGACATTTACTATGAAGGATGTATTGTTTATTGACAGATCGACTTATAGGTGGGAATCGACTTGGCCTAATTCAAAGCTAATATATCAAAATGAAAATTGGTTTGCAACCTTCTAATTCTAGATTGAGCTTCACCAAACAGCATCAGAAAATGCCTAGAAATATTTATCAAACTCTACACTGCAAATTATTTCAATCTCAGCATTTTCATTCATATAGCACAATATTTCTGTACAGCAAGTTTAATCTAATGTACTGCTCTCAGTCCTATATTTTTATTGTCATTTCTAGCTTGGAATATTTTGCTAATTTCTGTGACATTTTAACTGCATGTGCTTATTTATCCCTTATCTGAAAAGTGATTGACAATTTGAGCTAAGGACAATTTAAAATCAGTCATATTCAAATATTTATTTCAAGAATTTATGAACTATGATTTTGATTACCGGTAATTCTTTTTAATTAAGGGACAATTTATGGTGCTACTATGAAAATAAGTAGTAAATGATAATATTTTTTGTTTCGATAAACTTCATAAAATAATATTTGTTATGATATGGACAAATTTATAATATGAATGGACACTGGAAATATTTTAGAATATTCATTTCTAGGATTTGAATGAATTAAATAATTTCACAAGTGGATTGTTTTCAGCGCTCTACAAATATTTAAGAAAGATGATCACCCGGCTGTTTTTAAAATGGGCTCAGGATCTAAAGAAGGTCTTAGTTTATTTGGAATCATGGACAGAACAAGATCTCGACCAGGAAGAAATTTATTACAACTTTGGTTCAATCGACCACTCAATGATAAGGTGATAAATAATTAATTGATCAATTCTTTTTATATTAATTTTCTCCCAATGTTTTTTTTAACTTTTCTTTCTGTATTTCAACCGATTTTAACCGTAGATTGAGACTCATTCATCTATATTCTATATCCTAATAAACAGAATAGCAAAAATAGTTTTCCACTATGCCAGTGGTTCTCAATCTGGGTTCCATAACATTTGAACCCATGACAATTGCACCTGCGTACTATTGCACTTATGGAATTTTTTTCGTTTTACGGATATTTGAACCCATACTAACCCTAAACCATGGGTTTTATTAGCACCTGCATATAGATTGAACCCCCGGATATACACATGGGTTCAAATGTACGGTCACCCTCAACCTGTGGTACGCGGGAGCTTTTCAGGTGATACGCGAGCTGCTTTGAATTATTGCAACAATTAATTTTTAAATTTGCTAAAATATGGCAACAACGCTTACTATTTGTCTTCAATACTGTATGTATTCGCTTAACGGGTTTGTAGCGCCTCCAGTCCTTATCTTTAGAGATCGCCAGCTACTGCCTACGTGGAACAAAACTAGACGGGCACGTTTTCGCCCGTTTTGCTCGTTAGGTCCACAATGCAACGCATTGAGAAATCGGCAACAAAAACGACAGGAGAGGTCGACTTGTTACACCATTGGAATGTTACTATTGATACCTGGTGTATGTGTTGTCTAATCGGCATAATCTTAAGTTTTGGGGCTAATTAATTTGAAGACTATAGGTTAGGCAGTTCGTGATCGCGGCTGGCACCGATCAAAATGTATTCCCCGAGTTTTGCGAATGGAAGAACGGGTTACGCTGGATTAAAACAGCATGCTAGGGGGGCGAAATCAATTTTGTATGCTTTAGATGCAATTTTCTGGCACAATCAAAAAAGGGTTATCTTCAGGTAAAATGAAAACATAGCGATGTCTATGAATCTTACAAATACAATGAATTCTACATTTTTCGCAGGATAGTTTTGTTTTGATAACTGCGATTAAGGTAAATTACAAAAGCAGAACTCTTTGTTATCCACGATTCTGATATGAATGATATACTGCCAATTGGAATACCAGCTACTTTATAATATATTGCATACGATACCGTATACTGCAAATATTTATTGAAAGTAAATGGTGTATTGGATATAATGATACTGGAAAATCTTTGAACAAATAAGAAAAGAATTAATTAAAATTACACTAATTCCTGTTTACTGTTTTGATGCTGTGAGTTCTTTCATTGCAAGTCCCACAAATGTATGTGGAAACGGGATACACTTGAATATTTGTTTTCCTGTTATCGGATCCACATAATATGCATATTGAATCTCCTTCACAAGGGTAAATCCCAATCTTTTCATCATATTCTGGCTAAAATAATTGGTGGCAATAGTACAGGCGGTTGTGAATCCCATTTTCACTGCAATTTCTTGCGCCTGTTCCATCATTTCGCTAGGAATACTTTGTCGCAAATATTTCTCCATGATGCAGGCGATATAAAATCGCACATAATTTTTCGTTTCTCATCACTTGTTTTTAACAATCCTTTGAGAAGAGTTTTTGTAAGTGCTCTGTTTTGACGGTGTGGCAATAGCAGGTGTTTGTCTAAACCAAGTTCAGTTGCATCCTTGTGGCGTCCAGCAATGATTACTCCAATGAGTTTATTCGTTTTGTTATCAAACGCGCCTATGCTCATCTTTTCGGACAATATTTCATTTAAGCACACATTTGCCATCTTAGTAATCGTATCTCCGGTTACTTTCAAAGCCACACATTGCGGCTCTCTTGTAATATAATCTGATTTGATTATTTTCAGTACATCATTGAAGTATTTTTGGTCAAGAGCGCGATATAATATCTTATTTCTAAACATTTCACGACTTCAGCTGTAAAACAGTATAGGATAGTGATTCCCTGTCGTAATCGTGATCTTTTTACATACATTGAACTAGTGATTATAACGCGGTCGACCGACGCCCTCCACCCCTCCGCAATTTTTAAATTTTTCGGAAGACCGAAAAAGTCGCTAGTAACGTGTGCGATGTTCACAGGACTGATATTTTCAAAATCGCCGATAGTTTTTGGCAGCTTGGCGTTGTTGTTTAGGCCGTGAAACTATACCATGTCACTGAAGTTGAAACAGTCAATTGTGCGCACGAGTACCATCTTATCCATTCTTAAATGGCATTCGGGGCTCGCACTGTTTTCTGGATTATTTTGATATATGAAGCAGTCGATGCAAAGTATATTCAATCAATTTTCATTTTACGTAGTAAATAAATTGCACAAATTTTCGAGATTTTTTTAAAAGTGTACGGAAAACTGACTTATGATATCCTCGCTCTAATTTGGGGGTCACCAAACTACGGCCCGTGGGCCGGATACAGCCCGCGGAGTCCTTTCATCCGGCCCGCAATAACACGAACAAAGTTTTGTCCGAATTTTTTTTCCAGAGATGTTTCCCCGAGAATCGACTTCCTTGTTTATTTCGTAACATAGGCCAATCAGCAAGATACAAATAGTGACGTGACAACGCATCCACTAAGAAAGATTTTCAGTCGTAGTTTGAATGCAATGCGTAAGTTTTTAGTTGTGTTTCGGAAATTTAGGTATGAATCAAATAAATCAATTGTCATTTTGCCTCCTTAGGAGTTGTAGTGTAATTGCAGTAATTCAAAATTATTTTAGGAATAGATGTGATTTATTGGGCTACAATTCTCTACCATATAGAATTTGATATTCAAATCTTCAGAAATGTAGAATTTATATTGTTGAATAAATTGAATGAATTTCCCAACTTTTGTGAATTTAGTGTATTGCATTGACAAAAATCTTTGTCCGACCCATTTCAACACAGTTTGAGTCATACCTGGCCCGCGGTCGAAAAAGTTGGGGGATCCCTGCTCTAATTCATGAATTGCGTGAAAAGTCGGCTTCAATTCACTGCCAGCGTCCAGTACTCTAATGCAGTAAATCTTTAGGACTCGAACGAAACGCTGATTAGCGCAGGAATACTACAAAATTTACTCTAAAAATATTCAAAATCTCACTAAAAAGTCACTGATCACCTACCACATTGCCATTTTTTTTACATCGAACAAGATGATTTTCATATGACAAGCCCTCTTTATTTATACCAGTCTAACAGGTGGGGCTTGTATCCTATGTCAGTCTGACAAATGAGGCTTAGATAGTTATGCCGTCCTGACAGATGATATTCACGCAATTGACAAACCATTAGCGTATTAATTGATTGTATACTGCAGCGATTTCGTCACTGTGTATATTTTATGTGTTCATAACGCTGGGGTATAAAATCATTTTTTATGGTTTGCAATACGTTAGACTCTATTCTAAGCCACTTTCCCATGTACATCCTGTTGGTACATCTTGCTGAACAAGTGACTCATATTTAAATTAATCCGCGCATGTTAAAATTCACCCAAGTGCAAATTGCACATTGTGTTTTGCATTTGTATGAAATTGCACGTACATCCTATTTGAAGAAGAACATTCGAGACCTCTCTCATTTTAGCGAAATTGCCAAGATGAATTGTTTTGCACCAACTGTCCGTGGGTCGTTGCCCTGGTGGCCTTGCTTAGATTCAGATATTTATTTCGGTCATGCAAAAATCGATATAAAGCAAAAATATATAATAAAACGGAAAACATCTACTCGTAGAAATAGAAGTGGGGTCGCGGAAGATTCAACGAACCATCCAGTTAGCCACACCTCGTTGCTGAATTACAGCATATAATACTGCGATAAAGCAACCTGGTGAAAAATGAACTTATAAAATACACAATTAATAAAACAACAACAATAGTGTCGAAATAAACAAAAGCATGGGCAATTTAGAGTCTTAGACAATCGAATATCAGCGTATTCGAATTCAAATACACTTGGTAATTTGATTACGGCTGTGACATATTCGCTTTTGGCCATTGTGCTATGAGACTGATATTCTGAGTATAATATTTATTAATTGTGAGAGACGTTAACTTTCGTGAGGCATGCGTATCCGCTCATCAATGCATACAAAATATCGATAGACATCAATCACCGTCAGTTTAGCAATGATAAAACGTGATGTGTGAAAACTACTTGACTCGTTCCGCTGTGTTATGGATATAAAAACATACTAATAATTGATGACTGCGACTAGGGAGATTGATCTGGGATTCACGATTACCTTATTGCAATAAACCTTAATTATTAACAGGCACTTCATGTTACTTTTGACTGTTGGCAATTTACAGCGTCTGAGTTTTGTACACTATATGTGTGAACGAAAAGCATGACGGCGTTGAACACTTCAGAAATAATATTAGCCATGAATTTTAAATCGATCAATTGTAAACTCTTTGTATAGCGATATGCAGTATACCTACTTCAACGACAAACTATTCACAGGGCACAATATTAAAAACAATACATGATACAAAATACCATACGGTGCTAAACACAAATCTATCATTTAGGTAGAAATTGAATACAAAATGGAATGGTTGATAATTTTATGAATCCTATAAATATAATGAATTCTACATTTTCCCCAAGATAGTTTTAATTTGATAACTTCAATCAAGGTAAATTACAAAAGCAGAACTCTTCATTATATACGATTCTGATATGAATGCTATCTTATATTACTTGAAATGCCAGCTACTTTAATATATAGAAAAAGGTTTACTGCAAATATTTATTAAAAGTAGATGGTGGTAAACTAAAGATGGCCATAGCCATTAGAATACTTGCCTACCTCGCATGCATTGTAAAAAAGTATTTTCTAATCTGGAATTTCGAATACATTCTCAAATCCCACACATAAATTTAATTCACTTTTCTGAAATCCAGGGACATAGGAATTAGGCGTTAATAATATAATCATTGGACAGAAGTCATAAATACAAATGGCCTGTGTGATATGAATGAAATTAGTGATTTTCTTGCTTCTAGGAAAAGAGAGTTAAAAACGCAAATGTTATAACGCGATGATAGTCGTAATCAAATGAGTGACCACGATTCCCAGCCATCAATGACCTACGTAGTATCAAGACAGAAAATGTTTGTTTATTTTTCAACTATTTGGTGTCACAATTTTCCTATAGATTTATTGCCGTGGCCGCCCAGACTATCTCGAAATATACGATAATAATTGTAATAAATTTTCAATCAAATACATCATCGACGTGTTACAAGTCCGGCGCTGATTGAAATCCCCTCATGTCAGTTGTAATTTATTGCCGAGACGCACGATTACTATGAAACATAAAATTATGTAATTGTTTTCAATCAAAACGTGCAGGGCGGCGCTGGGAGGAGTCCGAGATATCGATATTCTTATAAATACGGTATTCGAATATTAAGTTCGAACTGGACATCCCTGGCAAGAACTAGTAAGATCGTATTGGATATAACAATATAATCTTTAATATGACGGAAGTTGGAAAATGTTTGAACTGATAATAAGATATTTGATTCAAATTACACTTAGTTCCTATTTACAGTTTTGACGTCGCGAGTTCCTTTATTGCAAGTCCCATAAATGTATGTGGAAACGGGATACATTTAAATATTTGTTTTCCTGTTATCGGATCCACATAATCTGCATATTGAATCTCATTCACAAAACTGAATCCACATCTTTTCAAACTTTTCTGGATATAATGATTCGTTGCAATGACACAGATTTTTGTAAATCCCATTTTCAGTGCAATTTCTTGTGTCTGTTCGTTCATTTCCGTGGGAATACTTTGTCTTGAATATCTCTCTTTGATGCATGTTATATAATATTGCACAGAATTTTTTGTGTTCTTATCACTTAGTTTTGACCATCCTTTGAATAGAGTTTTCGTAATTTCTCTGTTTTGACGCAATGGCAATGACAAGTGTTTGTCGAAACCAAATTCGGTTAAATCCATAAAACGTCCAACAATGTGTATTGCAATGAGCTCATTCGTTTTCTTATCGAATGCGCCTATACTTAACTTTTCTGACAATATCTCCTTTAAGAACAAATTTGCCACCATAGTAGCCATATTTTCTGTGACTTTCAAAGCCAAGCATTGCGGCTCTCTTTTAATATAATGTGATTTGATTATTTTCAATACATCGTTGAAATAGTTTTGGTCGAGAGTACGATAAATTACCGGTATTCTATTTCTTAACATTTCACTGAGCTGCACAACAATAGAAAGTGTTAAACCTGATTGTGCACAATTGTGCCACACTATTATGGAGAAGGGATGTATGCATGAGTGCATGCTAACCTAAAACGCAATTGTGTGGAATGCGCCGCTTCTGGGATTTCGAGTCAGGTGATAATGCTGTTTGCGGGATGGCATCTCCGCCAAATTGAGGTATATTTATGTGAATCGAGTAATTCCCAATTTTACTACTCCACACTGTATTTCACCCAGTGTGTATGAAAAACTGGCATATGTTTAACCTACACTAATTCATTAATTGAGTTGAAATTTGGCTCTGATTCACTTCCAGCGTTGTTAAAATAAAGAATATACTGTACTTGCAGTGAAAAATATTCTTGGGGCTCAACCAACACTCCATTTTGTGCAGGAATACTATCAAGTTTACTCTAACTGTAATAGCATTTCTTACTAATATTATTGATTCAAATTGCATTACTGAAATCAGCTGTTAACACCTGCCACATTGCTAATTTTTGGAAGCAATATTTACCTAAATTTTTATATGGCAATGCCAGCTTACACAGAGATGAGACTTTATACACTTAGTTGGTATTGAACTTGAAACAAGACTGTCAGCATATTGATCAATTGTCTAGAGGAACAATTGCGTCACTGTCATTATTTGTGTCACATCGATTAAAGCATGCTAAAATGAATCTTTGAATTGTCAGCATATTGATCAATTGTCATGTGGAACAATTGTGTCAATATTCGAGCCACTTCAATATTTAATCTTGACCCCAACTGGCCTTGTACGTTGTGCTAACAACCTGACTGCTTTGCACTTTTTTGAAGTCAGAGGTTATTAGTATATGTAATCTAGAGAAATGCTTTTTAACCCCTTTTCTTGGGTTACCTTCATAGTCAAGTGCTTTAATTTCGTGTTATGGTTTTGTGGGTAAAGTATCTTCTGTCTATTCTATTCTAATGTAAATTAGCTCCCATGTGAAAGGTTGACAAAACAATTTTTATCCTGATTTCAAGTGTCCAAGTTTGTACTGTTTCTGCTTAAGTCAGATTTGTTTATTTTTTCAGCCTGGGTTTGGGCGATTAAGAGTCATAGAAATAGTATTTGTCAAATGTCAACCCATTACAGGTCTCATGGGGAGCAAGATAAGTCAAAACTAGGTAATCATTTATTTCAACACCTGTCCATTATACACGAATGCCTCTAATGTTATGTAGGCTATATCTCTGTTAATGTTCCTGGTTAACTGATTTATTTAAATCAGGGTGATGATTCAGTGTCTTTTCACCACCGTATTGTATTTTTATGCATTCCAAATCTTCTATAATCGCCTAAATTGAGTAACATTTTGTTTCAGACTGCTTTGAACAGAAGATTAGATGCTGTTGAATATTTTGTAGAACCAAGAAATCTTGAAATAATGACAAGATTGCAAGAAGCTTTGAAACATACAAGGAAATTAGAAGTAGGTTATCATTCACTAGTATTTATTCAAGGTTGTTAGCCGTGCTATAACTTCAAGATTTGCATTAAATTCTCTGATATTGTTCTTGCACTTATAAATGTGCTGTATCAGATACTAAAAATGATTGGAAATATCAATCCATCAACAGTGATCCTGTTAAGTAATATATAAAGTTATTGTTACTATGCCGTTTCCTAAAGGTTTAAAAAAAATATCTCAATTTTTTCAAATTTTTTGATTATTTCTTTGTCAACGTGATTGTCTGAGATAAAAGTATCGAATTAGTTGAAATATTCCTTTCGTTTTATTAGGTGAATGCATTTTTGTCACTAAATTTCACTTTTTCCTAATTTGCCACTATTCATTGATTTTGTTACACAGGCATGTCTGACATTAATTTCAATTGTCTGGTATTCTAAATATTGTCATGTTGAATTCTTAAGAAATTCTTTTGCATATATCTTTTCTACATATTACATTCATAATATAAGGTATTGCAATTCGGCTGCTCAATAAAATGCATATTAAGTTTATAAATTGAATTGATTGTTCTACTTGATATGACGTTTCATTATCCTTCTAGAGAATATTAAAAAAGATGAAGACCGCAACATCATCTGTTGCAGATTGGCTTGGATTGTATCGGACTGTTATTAGCGTTGTCTCTGTGGCTGATATTTGTAGGTTAGTGTTACTATTAAATTCTGGAAGTTATATATATTATATTTTTAGATGATGTTCTAGGCGAGTATGGACTAAGGTCTTCTAAATTTACTTCATCACGAACACCCTATGCAGGACCAAATTTTTTTTATGACCCTCGAGGACTAAAATAATGTTTGTCTTAACTCTCACAAAACATTGAATCTTGGCTCTAGTTCAGTGATTCTGGGTCTCAGAACTGGTTTTGAATCTTTCACATTTGCTTGATAATTTGTTTGATAGAGCCTGTTTGAGGAACCCTTGTCTATGTTTTATCCCTCTCCAAGTCTACATCATGGTCGTCAGATATGTGTGTCATTATGAGACAAATAAACTTGAATACGCAGCATGATTTGTATATTTTAATCCATTATCTCATTTCAATTTGATAGAAATAATATCTTTATTAGTTTTCAATTAAATTGTCAAGAGTTTTTAAACAATAGTAGTGCAAACAGTCTTAATAATAGATCATTTCTCTAAAGCCAATCATAGTACCCAATGCTCTTCATTGCCTTTTTATAGATATTTCATAATTATAATGACTCACTATCGTATTATGCTTGGTCAATAGAAATGCACCTCGATTGCCAGATCAACGACCTTTACCAAGAATTTTCAGTGAAATATCGCAATGTTCTACTCAAGAATTGATCAACATAGTCAAAATCATACAAACTATTGTAAGTTGAAGGAGGCATGTATTACTGTAATATTATTTTAGCCAGTTCATATATTATAAAGTCGAAATAGAATTAATTTGTATAATATAGAAATCGCAAACAATGTTCAGAATTCGAAGCTGCTAAGTCGTGGTTGTTCATCATGATTTGGATATTTTTCTGGCGTTCATATATGAATATTTTTAAATATTTGCTTCTACATTTTTAAGAGTAACTCCAGTTTGGAGATTTTGGAATGAGCATTTATCAAATTTAACGAAATCATCAGCGTGTAATTACGTTCATGTAATTTTATTCTAGATGGACAAGGAAGAAAGTATTTCACAAAACAGATTTATAGTTCAGGCAGGAATTGATTCAGAATTAGATGAAAGTGAGCTAGCGATTCTGGAATAAATTAATTGTGTGAAGAATAGGATGAAATATATTGAAATCAGTATTTGAATAGATAATGTTATGTATTCTGTTGAAAAGAGATTGTTTCAATATCTTATTTTTTGTTTAATTATCTCCAGAAAATTTTTACTTGGGGTTTCATAGCTCCATCTTTTGTTTCCATCTCTCCACTTTTTTTTAAACTCAAGCTAGAATCTTGTAATGAAATTGCAATTCGATGCTGGATGCAACATGCCAGTGTGTCTAATGTATTGCTAACCTTTACCTTGGCTTTAACACAGCCCATTTTGAATTCACAGTTTTTCGATATTATGATATGGTAACTCGTATTTCACCGAGTTTTTTCGATTCTTATGTCTCCACTCGCTCGAAATAATGTTTTAGTTTCAGGTTGAGTATCTCTGGTGCTTGGTCGAATGGAGCCATTTTGTTAGTTTAGATGGCATGGGTGAATTCAAGCCTTTGATAAAGGTGTCTCTAGCCAAGTCTGTGACTCGAGTTTCTCGAACAGTGCGTTAGATACAGAAATCTGTTACCAGGTGTCTTTTTATTTCAACTAGTTCTGTTAAATTTTGATACAGAAAAGCATCTGTATAATGGATTACCAAGTTATCTGCATCACGTGGCTCTCGCTGAACTTGAAACATTTAAAGACTACATATCTGGATGCCAGGTAGTGGTTTTCGTTTTGACAAGATATTCATTTATTGAGGTTAGGTCGCTTGTTCTAATTCATGGCTGCCGCTCATTTTGTTCAATATAATACAGTTTATTTTGTTTTTCTGAAAATAACTACAAATCAAATTAGGAATTGATATGTATAAAGTTTATATTCCATAATACTCCATTTTTCCAACCGCATATCATATATTTAGATAATGTATATGAGAAGAGTTGGTTATTTACTCGTTCTCAAAAATCATCAGAAGTTGAATCCTGATGCAGAAATTCCTGGTTTGGAATTCAAGGTAATCATATCAATTTTCTTATTGCACACCAAGTGTACATGTGGATTTTTTAGCAAAATTGTCATTGTTAAGGAAAAATTCGCTACCCTCTGGACCTTGAGGATAATCGACTTCTAATTTCCAGTACCTGAACATGTCCAAAGGCTATCAATTTTTTCAAAATTTCTAGAGTGTAGTAGGGCTCTATATATTGCCTTAAAATGTGCTCATATTGCACCACCATATGCCATTACTAGTAAGACGTTTTTTTGACAAACATATTGCACAGCTCAGCTGAACCTTACGTGTACTGATATCAATGAGAATTGCTGAATCATAACGGCAGTGAGACAAGGTTTCAATTTTGATTTGAAGCATTTGAATGATAGATGATGACAAAATTCTTTATAGGTTATATAGCCTACTGATGTACTGTGGTTAGTTATTCAACATTCGTGTCAATAGCAAATCTATTTCGATTGGAAAGACTGAAGGTGATCAGTTCAGCATGCTTGATACTTTTCTGTAATGCAATGTATAGCATGCTATCTGATAGTATAGAAGGTGGTATCATATACTCATAGTCGTAGCCATGTATAAAAATGTGGGGTAAACCTCTAGAATTTGATTTTTCCGTGATTGTATATTGATTTGTTTTGTTTTTTGAAGTAAAATTTCTGTTTGAACTCTATTGACTAGCTTTTTGTGTTTACAGCTTACATCAGGAGATACATGTTATTACAAAACAGATAAAACAAGGGGTAAACATTATTTTTAGGAGTACATTTCTTTTCAATATACAAATTCAATTGTTTTCACTGGCATTTCGGTTGAAAAGGATCATCTTGTGTCACTTAAGCGTATCCATGCTTGCATGTAACCCCCTCTATCACTATGCTTCCCACTTTTAGCTGAAGACTTCTGGACCATCTTTTTAGGTATAGCAAACTATGGTTTTCATGCGAAAAATGTATTTATGCAAATGACTTGATAGACATATTTATACAATCAGAAAATAGGCATTGCGTGTAAGATACATGTTATTTCCCGTGTTATAATTGTCAGACTAATCCAATGTATGGATAAAATATCAACTCGTAATAATAAAATGTCACACAGCCTTTATCAATTTTGAGTAGGGTATATCAGTGAGTTTTTGCAACAAGCATATACAGCCTACATTACTTGATTTGTATCAGGTCTAATTGAATGTGATTCTTTTATTCCATCTTTCATATACATACTAGAACTGGATGCAGATCCTGGTGATATTTTAGAAGAAATAGGTGACCAGGAGACAACGATAATGCATCAAATGCAAAACACAATACTTGAACGTACTCATATTTTACTTGATATTTGTCAATATGTTGCGGAATTGGATTGGTAAGTGAATAAGACAGGAGAAATTATATTCACACATGTTACTTTATATTGAATATACATTTTTGGACAACACTATTCAAATCAATTAAATATTTTATTTAGCTAACGGACTTTCATTTCAATACTCAGTTCTGGTCAAATATATTCTTGAATTTCTTTTATTAATTCATCATTAAGATATACTTAACTGTCATTTATAAAAATTAAAAATAAATCTTAACAGTCTCATCTCGTTTGCTATTGTTGCAAAAGAATTGAATTATGTTCGCCCTAATCTAACAACCGACAATTATATTGATGTAAAAGGTGGAAGACACCCTTTACAAGTAAGTTGAGGATTAAACTATAGATCTGCTTATATAACCGAGATATAATTACATAACAGGGTCATAGCCTAAGTTCTAGTTCTTATCAAGATGGTGGTATGATAAATTAGTAATCCGGTATCGTAATCCGCTAATAAAATTGATTATTTCTGTCTAATTCCTATACTTTATTCGGTACTCCTGAAGTATGCGTACCAAAATGGCGGACACCGGAACGTATGTGTCTACCAGGTTAGGTTTAAGCCATAATTTTATTCCAATTTTCCTTATTTTAGTTCTAGTACGAGTTCGGGGACTAGTTAAGGGACTCCCGTAGTATTTGAACCTAAAACTATGGCCTAACCCTAATCTGGTACACATACTACATTCCGGTGTCCGCCATCTTGGTACGCATACTTCAGGCGCGCCCTTTATATCATATACACCCAGGGGTGGCCATTTCCGAATACTAAACTATTCCGAATACATTCTAAAATAATGTTTTCGAATCTGGAATTCCGAATACATTCTAAAATCGAAAATAACACATTTTTGTTTTAGTTTACAAAACCCAGTAAAATAGGAAATAAGCTTCAATAGAAATATGTGGGTAAAGCCACAAACCAACAATATATGTATACAAAGTAATTGATAGTTTGTGGTTATTATGTTTAGCATATTGTTAAGTCTGAAATTAGCAATAAGTTAGAGGATAGATGACCACTACTGCCAGGCGCGCAGCCAGGATTTTCAAAATCGGAAATTCCCATTGCCGCCTGCAACATCCACCGCGATTCCGCACTCGTTATAGCAGCCGTCGTTTCAGCGTATAATGATCATCCTGTCGCGTGAATTATTCAATCCATGACAACTACGAGATACTAAAATATCTTTATATATTAATTTAATGTGTCTAACGTAACTCGCGGTTGCTTCTTCTTACGTCAAAATAAAAACATTACTATTTGGTCCACGGCGTTAATACGTATTTTTGCAATCTTGCCAACTCGTTATCGCCGTTAGAAAAATCTCAATAACTGATATAAAATCCTGCAAAGTACAACTTCATTTCATACAATGAGTATATAAATAAAGTTTAGCAGTAAATTAAAAATACATATTTATCGCCGCGATCACTCCACCTGTTGATAAAAGAGCCGACTTTTACAACGAATAATAAAACAACGAATATATATTTTTCTGTTGTGCAAAGTGATTAATTCGTGACCAATACGGGCATATTTAAAGTGTCTTGCTTTATTAATTTAATTGTTTTCAATTTAACCTGCGGTTGCGTCGACAAAATAAAATCCTCACCACTCTAATTTGCCATGGCAAACCGCGGACATAAAAATAAAAATGTGTGGTAAACTGCCCGGTTATATATTGTTTTGATCCGTATTTTGCGAATTCGGCAAATTTGAGATGTGTAACACTGACTCCGCTCAATCGAAATGCCGCCACTCCGATTAATTTTGAGATAAAACCGTTCGAAAAATCCATAAATCTGTCGTAAAATCTCAGAGTCAAATTTATTTCAGCACAATAAAAATTGATTGAATATACTTTAGATTAATTATATTATATATATTGTCACAACCCGGTAAAAGTCGCGTTTCAAACCTTGTATAATGTTAACACAAAAATTTTCGACGGGCAATTTAAATAAGGTAATGGATAATCAGTCAAATCCCGTCCTCAATTAGTGATGATATGTTTCTAAACGCGGACCAAACATAATGTGGAAATTTTGCGATTTTCACTGCCTAGAAAAGCGTTTTTTAAACTGTCGCGGGCTTCAATAAAACATATTTTGTTCACGGTTTTATTTTCAGTATTTAAAATTGCCACTTTTCAATCAAAAAATTTGCGTTTTCTCTAGAAACTCGCCGCCTATTAACGCATTCTTTGTATTCACAATTCTGTGCGAGTACAAAAATAAAATCATTGTCATCGTTATCGTGGAACAAATTTGTGGAAAATTTGCGTTTTAGAGAAAATAACACAAACGTAAAGGCGTTTACGACCTAAATAACACGTCCGCTGATAAAGCAATCGCGCGCAAGTTCCTATCGAGAATGTTTTCACTCAACGGGAACGTCTTGAAAGCGGTGTCGAAAATGTGTGACGTCACACAAATATCCGATATTCTTATGAACGCTAATTCCGATATTCGAATAACGAGATATTCGAATACATTCGAATACTTTATTCGAATTGGCCATCCCTGTATACACCTTCTGTTTTGTGAACTGCATTATCTTATACTATCCGTTTTTTTAACAGGAATGTGCCGTATCCTTATTTGTACCAAATGATATTATGATGAGAAATCACGATGGAAGAATTAAAGTTATAACTGGACCTAACGCCTGTGGAAAAAGTATTTATTTGAAACAGGTAATGTAATCTTGGCCAGGCTTTTTTGACTTCAGTTATTCATGAGATTTAAATCTTCTTACAATATAAAAATGGTTGTACTTCAAACTGCTGATAGGGTAGATACACAGATTACTATCTATTATTTCAGATTACTGTTTATATATTTGTGGAAACTCGAGAATAATGATCTTTGAAAAAGTACTGGAAGTTGACCTTAAATTCTGCTCAAGGTTTAATGGATGTTTCAATGACCCTTTGCAACAGTAAAAATCCTTCCTTCTGTATTCTTTTAGAGAAATTCTTCATGCCCATTGATGCCTTTTGCAAGTAGTAAATGAGTTCAAACTGGTTTACATATTTTAAATTTGCGACTGTTTCAAAATATTCAATCAAGTATAATTACAAAAAAGTGACAACCTAGCCCTTTTTAGCTTCTTCAAGAAGGACTTTCGAATACCTGAACTGAACTAAATCCAAACTAATTTCTGATACTGGTTCATTGGTGCATCTCTTGTTCTGATCATATTTTCACCCAGTCTTCAACATTTTTTTTCTATTTACTTTCTTTTTATTCTACAGACAGGTCTGATTGTATTCATGGCACATATTGGAAGTTTTATTCCCGCAGAAAGTGGCACAATAGGTTTAATATCAAAGATCTATACAAGAATTCGTACACAAGAATCATTGTCTACCGGATTGTCCACATTTGCCGTTGATTTAAATCAGGTTGACTTGAAATGTCCGTTATATGATAATTTTAAATAGCATGAGAGCAATGTCATATATGTAAGCATGTGGATCAGCAAATAAGTACCATCCATCATAATAACCGGTCTATATTCATAAAGTTACTGCTAATGCCATAGCTGAATAGGGGGGTTTGAGAAAAAGATCAGGCATCAGGGTACTAAGAATTGTATCAAATGATATAGGTGTATAGGTCTGTAACCTAAATTTGAAAAATAGTAAACATTTGAAATGAGAAATATGTAAAAGTAATAGTCTTCGGCGACTTTTGATCGGTCCATTAGTTACAGAGAAACGCTATATTCTTTCATCACCTCAATAACAGCAACAGCCCAAATTAGCATGATAAACAACAACAATTTGTAAAATATCCTCAGTTGTTGACCAATTTGCCCATTCATCACAATACATATGGTTAGTAACAATATTTTGCTTTGCTATTTTTTGCTCATTGTTTCAAACTTAAAACCTAAAGTCAACGCTTTGCAAAAAGTGTGATGTTTTAAGTCATGATGAATTGTTCAACTAATTGAACATATTAAAATTCATCCTATTCTAGATATCCATGTCTATATCTGGTTCGAATTGCAACACTTTAGTTTTGGTGGATGAATTTGGCAAAGGTACAGCTACTGTTGATGGTGTTGCTTTACTCGCAAGTTGTCTCACTCATTGGATTGAACAAAAAGAGGAGTGCCCGTTTGTAATTTGCTCTACGCATTTCCACAGGTGCCATTATACATTTAATGTATGGTATTTGTAATAATGAGTTAGATTTACAAAGTTAAATCTACAAGAAATAGGGATGATTTTTGTATGACTAATCTTAGAACAAAAGTTTTTAGTTAAACGTTTTTTAAAGCATTGTCAAGAGAAACTTGCTTCCACAATCTCCATTATTGCGATATAATACTCTTGAAACATTGAGAGATCAGGAAAGTGATGATCTGGTATTTCTATATCAACTGACTGAAGGAGTAGCTGGATGCAGTTATGCAGCTCATATTGCATTAGTTGCTGGATTACCAAAAGAAGTTGTAGTACGGGGAAAAGAGGTTTGTTTATGCTCCATTTATAGTACTTGGAAGAAATATTTAAGATTGTGTTTTTTTTTTCTAAGCTTGTTTACTATGGATTAAAGCAGGGTTACCCTTTGAAAATTCATGAACCCCCAAAATTTTCTTGTGTGCTGTGGATTGGATAAAATAAGTCATGTGAACTGCGAATGTAGACTCGGTAGTTACTGTAGTTGTAGTTGAAGCTTCTACTGAGGTAAAAATGTGACTTTCCAAAGAGTTGCTAATCTCAGGTCTTCAAATTATTAACCTCCAGTTATAAAATATTCAATGCAAATTAGAAGTTGTGGAAGGAATAATTCCTGTATTCCATCTGATGTAAACCTTGAAAAGTCGAAATGTATCCCTGGCGGGTACACAGTTTGGGAACCCTTGGATCATTAATGGGATTCAAAATTTTCAAAACCCGTTCTTTTTTGTGCCGACCTCACTTCATAAGCGCCATTAATATAACATGCCTTGCGTATAACTAATACATAAGATTCTAAATGCAAGAGAGGACGCAAGTCATCAACTGCAGCGGACGTTACCCATTTACAGTGGTTGTCTAACGTCTAAAACAGGCATGGGTTCGCTGATGATCACAGCATTCTAAGATTAGGTTCACATCAACCCTTGCTAACCCCCTGGATCCCTACATTGATTTCCGTTACATTTCCATCCACTTTTTTATAGATGACGAAGTTGATCCGTGAAAATACACCGATTCGTAGGTGAGTAAGAACAATTCAAACACTCACAGTAGTAAAACAATTCAAGCAGTCGCAGTATTCATGTGAAGTTTTTCTGTTATATATAGGTCCTTGTTGTTGAAATTGTTAATGAAGTGTATTTCAAATATTGTTTGAATGGGGTAGATGATTTTACCTGTTCTGTGGTGCTAATATGTATGCAGCTATTATGGTTTTAAAAAAAGAAAAGTTAACCATGATCTCCTTTGTACATTGTATTTATATCAGTATATCGATGGTATGGGTTTGAAACCAAACGCCACCGGAACCCCATTTTTCAAACTGTGACACCAAACGTCATTAATTTAAAGTTCAACGCATTTGTAAAAAAAATATACACACAAGGTTCCATGCTGAAAATGTTGGTTTTTTCTTAATAATGTCCAATCTGGCCCATTAACTATATTTACTTCTCTTTGTTCTTATTAAACTAGGAAAGGGCTAGTGCTTCGCCTACTTCTTGTTGAAATATATAAAGGTACGACAATTTTGTAAATTTTAGATATGACAGTACTTCGACAAAGTCCTACATGAACCGATGTACTTCTCTCATGGAAAATTTTCTTTCTCTTGATTTTATTGATGATAATGCAGTGAAAATGTTCATGAAAAATACAGTTCCAAGGGCCATGGAAACACCTAAAGGTTAAATCTTAAGTGTTACTAATTTAAAGCATGGAAGGGAAGTGCCTACAGTTAACTCAGTATAAACGTATAATAAGTAAATGCCCATAAACATAACCGAAGTAACTTCCAAGACGCACCAACAGGAATGAGCCCTCAAGTGCAGAGAGGACATGGCTTCTTCACCTTCACAGGTGGTTGGTCATGATCAGTCATCTGTGACTGGTGACAACACCGGTTATCTGGGAAAATGGTAGTTGCCAGAAATACAATAAAGATACAGTTAACAATTACCTGATCCAACACGTCAAGGAGTTTTAGGAGACTATGATTACGACGGATACAAAAATCTATTTGTATATTTTTAAGACCAGGGATAAGTAAAGAAAAGTGGGAAGTATGACGCACAAACTTAAGATAATTGGGGTGTTGCATAAGATGAGTTTATTTTCAATCTAGTATTTATGTGTATCATACTTTGTAAAGTTGGAGAAAGCGATTTGGCGTGCAGTGTTAGGCATTAGTATAGTAACACGTTCGTCATCGCACCTATGTTTCGTTGTTAGGTTATTGCTCCCTCTTTCGACAAGTGCACGCATCTGAAACGATTAACTGGTTAACTATTAACATACCCGACATGGTCTCGTAACAGAATAGAAGACGTTGGCTTTCCTCTCTTTAGACGTTGGCTTTTATCCCATGCTCAAAATAATATAAACTGGTATTTATATGAATGTAATGGAAACAGTAGAGACAATGACACGTATTCGCTGCTCCCTTTATTTATATTTTATCATCCGTACTTATTAACTCGTTTTGCCACTCATTCTAGAAAACAAATATCGTGGAAATTTGACTACGGATTCCAATGTATCGATTAGCAATAGAAAAACGGCTTCTTCGTTTTTCACATCCGTATCTGAAAACAGTGATGCCAATGTAGTTGATGCAGTGACGTCCAGCGATAATGAGGATCCTCTTGCTACTATGCCAAAGAGACCTTGTCACGGAGTTGCCTAATTCGAATGTCACGAAATGGATGCTTTTTTTTTCATTTTTTTTTCAACATAGTTCTATTTTTGTTTTTATATTAAATCCAATATTTTACTGGGTGCAGTTACTGTATCCAATCGTATGTGCAGTATTGAAAATATAGTGCGCGTTTGTTTATGGTCGTGGATCCGCTGAGAAAACGACAAAGGATTTTTTTAAAGGTTAACGTACAGTACACACACAGGCGCTATTGTCTTTCTAATGCTTTCCGGTTCAATTTGTAGATGGGGATCAATACGACACTACGCCGGCAACGTATTGCGAAACTGAAGCGTCTAGTTTTCATGTTTTGTTTCCGCTATTCATCGTTATCTGCCACTTCCTGGCTGGCCACTATCGGTTGATTCTTTCCGGCTCATTTTTTATCCGAATTAGTCAGTAGTCTATATGCAACGTTGTCTGGAACTAATCCACCAGTTTTTCTTTTCCTCCGCATTATCTTGTTATGATTATTCTCGATTCGTCTTTGGCTGATCACTCCCCCCTTATGGTTGAATTTCGTCCACTTTCTTCACTGTCAGCTACTTGACTTCCCGGCATATAGGCTACAGCCAAAAATAAGCACTGGTGTCAAAAGGGTATTTTTGGGTGTACTTAACAACGGAGTATAAAAATGGAAAATAAATCATACAAGAGTCTCTTCCACTCTCCCAATTTTTCATCCAGTTAAGTTTTCTTTAGAAGTCGCTTCGAACAAGAAATCCATGGAAAGGCACGAAGTCACAGCCACACACAACCTCTAAAGCGGTGGTTCCCAACCGGGGCCACCATGCCAGGCGCAAAACGGATTTTACGTTCCATTTAGAAAAAAATAACCGCTTTTTCTAGTTTAATTGCTTGATAAGGTTATTTCACAGAGTGTTTTCACTTTGTTGAGCATGAATTGTTTGAACAAAATGGGATTAGGAATCTACTAATAAAAGTAACACTATTGAATGATAAACAAGGGGGTCATAAGTGCTGAACGCCTCTAGAACGGGGCCACACTGTTCTGTCTTCATACTTTGATTTCCCGCAAGGATTTTTGCGAAATTATTATATTTTGTAGTAGTATTGTGGGCACTAATTGCTGTTTATCCCATGACCTCTAGGTTGATATCGCTATCACAATAGCAGCAAATAATTGACTTTGTGCACAGCTCGACTTTGTGCTCGTGCTTACTCATTGTCTAAATTATGGTTTATCCCTAAAAAAAGTATCCTTAAAAACTGACGCCAACTATTGTAACTGTGTCACTGGAAATACTGCAAACCCCACCGCTAACAGAAACAGTTCGCGCTGAGGGTGAGCGAGTCCGAGGCATGAGGTTACGGTGGAACGTAGTTAATCGATATGTCACAGTAACACAACAAAACGCGAATACGCGTATAATGATAAACGTCGTCCCTTGTTTTCACGGAAGCTTTGTACGCATACATGAACTTGCCATCCATGTTTTCAAGACAAATTGAGTACGCGACTCGAAAATAAGCACTTTTCTTAGAAATAAGCACATCGTTACTTTATAAGACGCGGGCCAGAAAAGAAACACAAATCTTAGAAATAAGCACGATATAGTAACCCTGCATATAGGCTACTCACCTTCGTCGGACTAACTTCGTATCAAACAAACAAATACCTCCAACAGACAAATACCAAGCAATAGGGCTGTCCAAGCGAATCAAATCGCAAATTATTCGAATCGTTTTTCGGCTAATTTTCGAATCGCTTAAATTAGGTACCGGTACATAAAGCGGAAACCACCTTTACGGAATGTTTTTCATCGGGCAAGCGGCGGCGCTCCGAGCTTAGACCACTCTCGCTCCCGGCTTAATTGGTTTCCCGATATTTCTCTCGCCTTCATTTTGTGATAAACATGTCATTACTAATGCCCGCCCGGTGGCACGTGATTAGCCATTTCATGCATGGTCATCATAACAAGGTATAATCGGTCGTGACGTTTTTGAGAGAGAACAAGGAGACAATTTAGAACCCGATAGTTCTATAAATGGGATCGATTTGAAGCTGTTGAGTTAGTTATCATAGGAACATGGTACAGGCAGCTCAAAGCTGAAACAGGTGTTTTGGGATCCTCATGATGGCAATACCTTCTTTGAATGGAATTTGTAATTTCTTTTGATGGCATTACTGTATTATCCATCTATAAACCAAGACAAATAATTGCACTCTTGCATTTTGATGGCTGTTGTACACTAACAATATTATAGTCGTCAAATAATATTGTCGTGAACTACCTTTGAATTTTTAAATGCAACTTTGAACTTGAGTAACAGTTTATCTATATTGATGGTTGTTATTATTTTGCTGAAATTTACACAAAAAAAAACACGAGACTAGTGAATAGGATTAAAATAGCATCTACAGGCTTTACATGTCCTATTAAAACTGAATCCATCAAAATTGAGATTGCAATTTTTGAATAGTGCAATTTTTACTCTCAACACTCAACAGTTTTCAAGACCCAAATTTTGGAGTTCTCCAATTTTTTTGACCAGTTCATACAAGCGTGTGATCTCCTTTCATAAATCTGAAAACATTGTATTGCAAAATACCAGCAGTAAGTAAGATGTAACTGCACATACGTTACCACAACATCGAGATTCAGGCCTTTATTGTATAATAGAGACAGATTTAATATTGCGCAATAATATTCGATTCGAGTCAAAAAATTATTCGATTTCGGACAGCCCCACCAATCAACATACTTGTCGATCTAACAATAATTCCAATTTGATCAAAACACTGCCATAATATTCTTTGCCTGGAATTCTACCATTCAATGAACTTGCATATTATGCACTGATTTCAAAATCATCCGTGTGTACTTTTTTGTAAAACTGAGTTGCATTTTGTGAGTCGATTTCAAATGAGGTGTCCTTCACGCAATTGAAATTTGCTGTTACATCTTACAAATTTAGAATCCTTGGCGGATATAAAGTAGATTTGAACTAGGAGACACCCCTGCATCGGCATTTTAAATAGTTCCCGAAATTACTACAGTCGTTAAAAGAATTGACTTTTTGAGATGTTACTGATTCTTTTGCTTCGCCAAAAACCTCTAAAATGCCCATGATAATTGCATTCAAAGTAATCAATCGACGCCGTCATCGCAATCTCAATGAATAGATTGATGAAAGTGGACTAATATTGATTGAACATACATTACAATTATCATATTTCATCATGATCCAGAGAACAAGTTCGTGCCGGTCACTGATTTTCCGAATCTACAAAGCAAACGGAGTTGGCGGGTCGTGATATGTTAAAATTCTTACTGCTAGCGCTCCGTGGCGGTATTATCAGACATGCGCATCAGCCAGTCACGTTGAAAAATCTTGTATAGGTTTACACGGTGTTATAGAATCGGAGAAACGTTTCACTCGGCTCTGAGTAATTCAATGAAAACTCGACCCCGACCTTTTTCTGCGAGTTGATAAATTTTTTACTTTGTTACCAGCCCTTAACTAAAATTATATGGAAAATTAAATTACCAATTTTTCTGTTTGTGGGCTATTGGTATCGTGTCCAGAAGTGAAACCTGGAAAACATCACATTTTTTTTGTTTCCGCCAAACATTTTGCATTTAAGTAGATTTATGCGACCAAAAAAATATTTGCATTTGTAGAAAATACTTTGGGAAGATTGGGTATTTTGTGGCCCAGCATATGGCGTAGCTAGCTGTGGCGCGTTCCCGAATGCCTGGCACATGAAATTTACATATATATCAATAAATATTTTTTGTTGCACGCTTTTGGTTTGATGAAATATCATAATTTTAGAGTATTAGACAAAATTATAAATATGGCTCTGATGCGTTCATTTCAAATGAGTGTTTTTTTTCAAAAAGACGCTATGGAATTTAGGAGATAGGCTACCCGCAGAATAAAATCAGTCTCAAACGCACGGTAAACAAGCCCTTAATTCAGTTCGCCACTATAAAATAGTTGATAGCGTTAATTTTTGATAACTCCGAATAAAATTTCGATGTTTTAATATCTCGTTTCAACTTAACCATAAATTTGATGCGTTTTGAAAATGAAAACGGTTGTCTTACTTTAACATATACCTATATATATTTTCGATTCATTCTGAAATCGGTTTTTAATTTTTAGATTTACCGTCATTTAATTTTTGGTTACAGAAATGCTTCGAAAGATTTTTAAATCAAGATTACGGGCGTTGGGAAAATGAAACCAATTTCCATAGAGTTTAAAAAAACACATGACGTGATTACCTTGCGTGTCATCATGTTTATCGATATTGACAGCCCATAATAAAAATGAATCAGCAATGTTATTTACGTCATTGGATAATTTCGGTAACGCTGTCATTTTGAATAAAGTTTTTTTTTTTACAAATAACACGATACGGGAGGCGTTACCCAAGCTTATTATTGTGAAAACTAAAAATAATTTTCTGCTTGAAAAAAAGTTGAAATTTGTCTGGTAGGCTAATTTCATATATAAAATAATTATTACATCTTGACTCATGCACTTACAGATGCAAATATATTGACAGGAATGTAGGTACATATGCAGTTATTTTTCTTATTATTTATTATAATTTATTCCATTTTCGTCAGTTGATACGTAAGTTAAGAGAAATCCCCACATCGCTGAATCAACGGATTTGCGAATGGCACTAAGACGACAAAGAGTAAGTAATGTTCAGCAAGTTAACTGTAATGCATGGGTTATTGTGATAAGATATATGTTTAATATCTTCATGACTTGAGGCTCGGGAAATATTTTTTTTGAAGAAGATTGGTTTATTCGAACTATATAACTGAAGTTAGTTGTGATGCGTTTGTTACATTGACGATATGTGTTGGTTTACAAGTCATTATATTATTAATATCCTGAGATAGCCCCAAGCTTCGATGTATCTGAGATTAGAAAATTGATATTGTAGTTTTATATAAACTGTTGCAATTTGATATGTGGTATATAAGGCAAATAAAAAGATTATATGTAATATTATGCTTGCAGTCAGGTATAAAACTTTGATAAAATGCGAGCCGGGGACGAGCGAAGACAACAATGAAAACCCTATGTTTTAGTGAAAATGAATATGTTTTATCAGTAGATAGGCTAGTTGATAGGTTAGTTTCAAAAGGCGGTGTGTGTATTACAGTCATACTGTGACTGAACTCGCTGCCAGGCATCTCACTGCGATGGCCTGGTTATTTATTAAGCTTCTTCAAGCTATTGCAGCGCAGTGGGTTCGAGTTCTTGTCAGTAAGGCGATGGTCTAGATTTAGAAGTTGAGCAAGGATTTGATATGGATAAGGAAGAATTCGTTGCCTAATATGTAAAATACTCAAATTCTGTCGTATAATATAAGAAAAAATTGAGAACAATAAGATCACAAAAACTTTGAAAAGAAAGCAATGCTGCATCATTCAATAACGGTACTTTACAATTAATGTATCAATTGAATTTTAACAAATCGCCCCTACTTGTATCTCGTTCACATAAATTGAATTTTATCAATTGATTTATTAAAAGTACAAATTGCATACGAGATGATCTGAACTTTTGAAATATCAAGTAGGTTCAATTCAGTTCGTAAATGCATTATCGTGCCCAGCGTAGAACACAGTCGTAAGGCGTGCAGATAATAAGTGATCAACAACAATACAAATTACGCACTTTGACGCATTACCATTCAAAATATGATGTGTATGTACCAGAAAGGTCGAGTTGAAAATATCTATTGAAACTATAAATAGTAATGATAGTTTCAATTGACGAAAGACGTTTGTTTTTTCTAGAAAAGGGCATATTAATAATTTTATATAACGTATATTGATAAGCAGAATATATGGAGATGCGCGTAATGAAGTTAGAATATTGAGTAACCCATATATATCAAAATCGCCTCAGGGAATCAGACCTCAGGTTGTGTTATGATATGAGTTTGTTTAGTTATCTATTCAACAGCGTCTTGGTCATGCAGCTTAAATTATTTTTGCCACAGAGGGATTGGATCATGCACATCCTGAATAAACCTTTATATACAATCAAGGATGAATATTAAAAATGGTATGATAAGGCCTTACGAGGATGAGATATTCATGACGAGTTAGGCTATGATATTCGCGTATATTCGTTGTTATTGGTTTTAAACGCTAGATTTTAATATAAGTTATTTTCATCGTCAACAAATACAGGTAGTAAAATCACGTCAAAATCGCTTAATACGCACATTGAATCTTGTGCTAAATAAATATTATTCTACTTCAATATTTTAAAGATGGTCTATTTAAAGATGGATAATTTGTTTTATTTTTCGCGTACATATCTTGTAGTTCATTTAAAAATTCATTTAAATAATCTGCTTATTTTTAATAGTGTAAATACCCAAAGGGCAAATCTATATTATTTCGATGCATCAATCTTCAACAATAAACAAAGAAGATATTTCGTGACCGTGTCTAACATGAAGTCGTCGCAAACCTGTCACAGCCCATTCGTTTATCGTCTGAATCTATACTGTGTTTACATAATCATCCTTGTATCCATCGTCATGATCGCTAACCAGGTATGTGAACCGAACGTGTTGTTTATGTCGTAAAAATTTAAGCCGGATATTTGGCAACGGAGATTAATTTCTCATAGACGAATGTGAATTTTGTTCTCATACTAACTATGCCTAGTATGATATGTGACTTTGTCGTTGCCAATTGACTGCCAAAGACGACATTATGGATTTCTGACCAAGAGTAATTTACGTTGTGGTAAATAGTCCCACTTTTGACCAAGCATAAAATCATTAAATCAATTATCAAAATCGACCTGAATCATTTTGTCGATTCAATCTTGATGTATACAATATAATACCCAGCGAGCAGTTATCTTAATTTTACAAATGTGAGCTAAGATTTTGAATGACAATTTGTACATGAAATAAGTATTATAATACATCGGTTTACTTTATATTTAATAACTTTTCAATTTGATTTAACGTATGCTATGAGAATCTTGTTTATGAACGTTTGATTTGAATCATTTGAAATTTTCAAGCTAAATCCTCAATCCCATGTCTAATATAAATTTTCAGAACAATATATCCTGTTGCGAGGATATTTATTCATCTAGCTAGAACAAGTTGATCATATGTGTATCACGTTCTAGAGGGAGAAATTTTCGCCAGAATTTCATTTCATGTTTTTGAGTGAATGCTAAAAATATTCTATCTTGAACTTACATTTTGAAAAATGAGAAACGTTTTTAGGCCATTTTAGCAACACATTTAAAAATCGTGCTTCCTTTCCGCGGAAATAAAATCGAGAATACATTTTAGTTTTGGTTCGACAGTAAATACCATCGATTGATCCTTTCTGACGTCTTCTTTCAGAAATTATCAAATTTTATGCAAATTTTCCACGCAAATAGTTTCATCAATAAATTCCTAAAAATAAAACTTTTATCAAAATTCTCAAAAAAGTGATTATTTTTCAGAATAATCGAAGTTAAATAGGACATTTTTTATTATTGGCCAATTCTATTATATATTTTCGCAATTCCTATAAAGTCAAGTATACATTTCTTCCAAATATCACTTCTGTGCTTTGTGTAATAATTCTTGAGTCATCGCTATAATCTATTTTGATAAGTTTAATGAAAATAATTTTCACGTTTCAATCAAAAAAGCATATTTGTGTTAAACGTTCGCAAACAAGTCAGCAAAAGTACTGAATTCTTTTTTAGATAAGTATCTTATCATAGATTTGACGTCACTGTGGTTCTCATTCTAGTTGTTTTTTAACAGTGCAACCTCCTTTCTTCATTTACTTACAAACAAAGAAAAAACTCGTTCAGAAATATTTTGAATGTTCGATTTCACTCGGAGTCGAACTCTAAATTAGAAACAAAGGAAGATGTGAATGTTCAAGTTGTAGAAGAGTTTCAAAATTTTAATGGCGATTATCAAGATATGGTTATCGTTGAAGTAGATGAAGCATCCGATGAAAACTCGACAGGTTTTGAATATGTTACTGATCAACCACTTGTTACCACATTCGGAAACATTTCGTTTGAAGATTACCAAACTTGGCAGGAATATCTGAAAACAAAATCAGGTAATATTTATTGTGATAAACACAATAATTCATATTCGACTTATAGTTAATTTCGACTGAAGCAGGGCATGATATACAGTATATACGAGGGTAAAATCAATATGTATAAAAATAGGGCTATATTTAACCTATGACACCCGTCTTTCTTCTAACTATTATATTATCACGTGCAGTTACGTACACAAGTTATGACTTGATATAATGCTATTTTTCTAATATACAGAATTTGAGTGGTTAGTCATTTTGAATTTATTTTATGTTTCGCCCATAATCTCCGTTCATTCAAAACGAGTATCACAGTTCACACAATGTGTTTTAGCTCGGGGCTCTCCAAACATGGGTTCTCGGCCCCCGGCGGGTCGCGAAAGGGCTCAATATGGGTATTGGCACCTATTAATGTCAGAACTAGCAATACATCTTCCGCCTTTTGCCCCCTCTTGTGAGTAAAAATCATTTTCGAAGCTAACTCATGTCATCACCGAAATAAAGCCAAGTTTCGATCTTTTGTGCGAGAATATGCGAGCACGTCTCATGTAAGTTCCAGAGGGTCGCGACGAAAAATGTTTAAAGAGAACTGTTTCAGTGTAATCCTCTTGGTTACGATATTACGGGGTCATTTAAGTCCATCATTATACAAAGTTAACACATGCGCCCTAAAGCTACAGACTTAAAAGCCGCTGAATAGACTTTTCATACAGCTTACTATTTGTTTAGTGGACTAAAAATTAAATGTTGTGCTTTATTTTATTTCTCTAAAATATTTGATACTATTTTTATATTCAGAATATTCTGACGAAACTTCGTCAAAGCTCGACAAATCTATGCCAACGATATTATTCTGGAATCCAAAACAATTCCCAGACAGTATGATACCGAAAGAACCTATTTGTGGGGGTGGATGCAACATCGTGACAGATCGAGGGCTGTATAATGTTAGTGATGCGATTCTCTTTACGATGAAAGAATATAACCTGACTGATTTGCCGAATAAATCGTGGAGGTAACTAAAAATGGTTTGATTTTATGAATACTTAAATTTTTAATTTAAATTACCCGAAAACAGTCACACAGCAGTGAAAAATTGTCTCTTTTATTTTCATTTCAAATGTGGAGATCCGTTAATTAATTAAGCAATTGCAGTCTGCTGGTAGTAATGTTGAGAATGAATTTTCATTCGAGTACTCTGATGACAAAATACTTGCGAAGTTATTAACTTCCTTATGAGGTATGGATATAGCTGCAAAAATCGAGTACATCGGCCGTTTCCTTATGTAATGCATCTCTTTATGGGTCATATTTTATTAGCGGTTAAATTGTGAGAGATAGAATTTAAATACTGAGCACGCCTTTTTTGAATAGGGTTAGCATACATGGTCTCGATCGCCACTTGAATGGCTACTCCGTGGGTGGATAATGAGTTATCAAAGTGTGAGCTTAATCTTTTGAGCACCTTCACGAAATGTTTACTGCTGCCTTTGTTATATGTTGAGGAATGTTTATTAAATTAACACGATATTCGAAATATTCATAGATATCCCAATCAAGCGTACGTATGGTGGTCTGAAGAGAGTACATGGACTTCCAAGATCATGTATGAGAAGAGGTTGGATCAGATAGAAGAAAACTTTTTCAATTGGACAATGACATTTAAACGAACATCAGACGTAAATGCAATGATGATTCCGTATAAAGCCCGTGACTTTGTACGCCAAAGGCTATATGAGTTAGTAATATTCAGTCATTTGACAATAGTCAATTTTGAACCAATGAAAAACACAAAATACTATCGAACCTATGCTTTTCTAAATATATTTTCGATTTTAGATATAAAAAGCTCCATCCAACTTCAACAGACACGAAAGTTTTACCCGGAGACGAATTTATCCCATCAGGACCCAAAACAGCTAGAGAAATTTCCTATTATAAATCCCAAGCATCAAAACTATTGCAACGGAAGATCAAAACGGCGGCATGGGTCGCTACAAATTGTGGCTACACAGCTGGAGCAGTGTTGCGGAGAGATCTTGTAACAAAATTGCAATTCCAAGGTCTTCAAGTAGATATCTACGGTGGATGTGGCAATGAAGACGTTCCCAAAACATTGGCAGACTTTTCTGAAATGCTATCAGAGTACAAATTTTATCTTGCATTCGAAAACGCGTTACATTGTCGGGATTACATCACAGAAAAATTTTGGTATAACGCACTGTACGCTGGGGTAGTTCCAGTAATATGGGGTCCTTTGAAAATAGACGTAGAAGCAGTTGCACCTCCAGATTCCTACATTCACGCCGAAAATTTTGATTCGACGGAACACCTTGTTGATTATCTTATACAACTAAGTAAAGATGATGAATTATATATGCGATATTTTACATGGTGGTGGAAAACTCCTGGATATTTTCCTATTTTTGGAGTAACAGAAACGAAAGAAAGCATAGGTAATAAAGGTGCCATGTTTGACTTTGAAATGAACGGACTCTGTCATCTTTGTAGTCTTTTAAACAAAGGTGTTCATAGAAAATATAAAAAATCAATTCCCTCTCTGCATAAGTTTTGGTACACAAATGAAACGAAAACTTGTATAAGTCGAACCCACAATGCTAAATTTGAAATTTTTGGAAGCAAAAAAGCCAAAACCCCTTACAAGATAACGGTTGTTTAGTTTTGGACTGGTCCCCAGTCTGGTACTGAACTAAACACTTTCACTGCATTCATTTATTTATTTTAACAAGCTAATATTTTTGCTTTGATTACATGTGTTTGAAGAACAGCAAGAACTAAATCATTTATTCTACTTTCTAATATTGTGCAGAATTGATTTGCAGTTTTTTTTTTTTATATTTTTTGCTTTTATTTTCTTACAAATGCTATTGCACTGTGTTGTGTTTTACTGTCATTGACATAATAATATTTATTGCTGAACATACAGAAATATTTGCTTCTTAAAATTATCGGACTAAAATGATATAAATTTTCACAGACAAATATAAATAATCAGCCGGGACCCCCAGTTTGGAGATCCCTGATATAAACGGATCCATGATGTGATTTTAACATATGCCTGTTTGAAGTGCTGATTTTGTTTGGATAAAGTACTTACAAAAAAAAAAGGAATGGCATTGCCAGCAAGCAAAGTCACAGTTAACGTTGACGGATTTCCACTCCTGAAAATATGTTTTTTTGTTGCTGCCGGTAATCTTGCCATCAAGCAAAGCCACACATCCTTCCTCAAAATTGAGTTGCTTGTTGCTCTCGATAATAGGAATATAGGATTTGGAGGTAACTTGAAACTGCCGACGGCGCGACAAAATGGAAGGAAAGAGAGGTTCCGCAAGTCGCTAATATGTATTTAAACTACTGCAGCGTTTGCCAAATGCACCGCCCGTTAGAACTAGCATAAGGTACAAAATAAGTACACAGAATTTCATAATCGGACACGTTAGTGGACATAACGGTCGTTTTGGTCATTTGTTGTTGTTGTCTTTGACATAGTTAATAAAAAGTCTCTTTACTTTTTTATTACTGGACCAATTGCTTTGAAATTTTCAGTACTATAAGATGGAATTTATTTCTAGAAGGCTATTACTTTTATTTATTTCTAAATTTTCTATGAATCCTATGAGATCTGCTATTTCATTCAAAAATTCACTGTATTAACTTTTACGCATGGGAACACTGATTTAGCACTTATTTCTAGCGTGACGGCTGATTCTGAAAATCCTTGCTACTGGAAACTCGGAAGTTTTTTTGAGGGTACCGGTAACGTCAAAGGTAAATGACTATTTCGCTATGGTCTACGCGTCCATATATTGAAGCATTGCTCTCTTGTTGCCTTTGACCTAATGCAAAATTACGCCGACGAGTTCTCACTATACTAGTTACTACGTCATCAATGGAACATACTAATTTGCGTTCGATTTCGGCAGGATTGTCTTTTAAAAATTCGAGTCTCGCAAACGAAGTCCACTTTATGCAAGCTGTAAACGCCAAAAATCATAAAACATTATATAGAATGAAATTTGCCACAAAAATGTTTGCGTGATAAACCACCTTTAGATAAATAAGATGCGGTGTTTTAGCGCGTATGAATGCCAAGTTCGTTAGAATTAGTAATCAATGAAATATCTCCACTTATATATTTGTCTACAAGAAATTAGATATGAGGCACCACACTTTTCAAGGCCGGAATATTTTATCTCAAAATTTTTTGCGTACTCACAATATAGGATGTCGCAGACATCTATTAGAATCTCGCATAACGTTTAGTAGCGAGACGACTGATGTTCAAACAATAGAAGAGTATTGAAAAATTGATGATGGCTGATTGATTGATGGCTTCTTTGAGCTCGGTTTTGTTCAAGCCTTTGCTGACTCAAGCTATGCTTGCTTCGAGTCACATTCCACAGGCTCAAGTTGATTAAAATGCATAAAACGACGTGGTCGACTCAACTTGACAACGAGCTTGATCGACTTCATTTAAGTGTTAAGAATAATTGGACACGTAATGGACCTATGTATCGTTTTGGTATTTTTGTTCTTGTGGTTGTTCTTTGACATAGTTATGAAAAATTCGCTTTTCTCTTTGATGACTGGACCAATTGCTTTAAAATTTTCCGTGGTTAAAGATGGAATTTTTTTCTAGAAGGGTATTACTTTTACTTATTTCTGAATTTCTGCAAGTTCTTGCTTCGCAAATATTTTGCTGTACTGCTACCGTTAAGACTACTGCTTCGCTTTGGTCTACGTATCCATATATTTAAGCATTGCTCTCAGCGAGTAGCCGATTTTGTAAGTCGCAATATTTTACATAAGTAGGAAATTTCTTTTGTTGAGACGAAACACAGTGATACCAATGACCCAAATGATTAGTACCTTAAAACATTTGAATATTAAATCAAAAGACATTCTAGTTGGCAACAGATAAGGGTATTGCATGTATTCTGTGTAGACTCATATAAGGTAATTGGATCTCTCCCAATATCGGCCTTCCCATAGATTCAGCGGAGATATCTCATATTTTGTAATCATTTCAAAATACCACACATATTTTTTACCAATAAATAAATATATTTAAAAGCACAAAGAAAGACGTAAATCTTACAAAACCATAGGGACAGTTATAAAGTAGTTATCACACTCTTCGTAAATTTCCTCGTCAAGTTTTTTGAGGAAAATCCTATATAGGGGTAACAATTCATGCAAACAATCAAGTTTTTCTTGGATATCCATAAGTTTCTCCTCAAGTCGACGTAAGTTATTAGATTCACCGGAACGACAGCAATTCGGAACCAGGAATTTTCTAATCTTACGAAGAAAATTCCTCTTTTTTGATTTTTTGTTCTTAATTTTCTTCAACAACAACTTTTTCTCTTGCTCCTTATCACGCAAAGCCTGAACGATTATAATTATCAAAATACACTAAAGAAAATTATCCAAGCAAATAATAGACTAGACAACATTTATACTGATTATATCAAATCAACTATTTGTGATAAATTTATTAATTTTTACTATGTAGTATATAGAAAACACTGTAATGATAATAAATGTGTGTTAATACATAAATATGTGACTAAGTACGCAACCATCAATATACTTCTATAAAACCTACATTTTCAGTCTCTATTTCCATTTTAATAAAGAGATGTGTTCGATCCAAACGACTCATTTGACAAATTTTATCATATGTTCCAAGTGTGGTGGTATTTTTCAACTGAAAGGGTGTAACCTCCACAAGCGAAGGACAAGAGATAGATTTGCTACATCCCTGCAGGTCAGAACTATCCACACAAGCAATATTCCAATTGTAATTGAAAACAGAACCATTCCCACAAAAATCCCGGTCTCGTAGTGAAGGACCAGAATTTCTTTCAATGTCATGTCGCGTTGAATACTAAGAAATCAAAACAATTTGAATGATCAAATTAAGTGATAAAGCATACACAATTGTAACCTTTAATATTCATAACGAACTTTGGTACAAAGTATTATTCTCTTGCATAACTTACCCAATTCAAGCAGTTTTCGGATTTTGAACCCAGGACATTTTTCTGTAATTTTTGCGATTTTTCAATGCTATTTCTTCCGAGTCCTGTTCCTAGAAGCAAACGAAAATGTGAAAAACATTCTAGCCAGGGGACAAAAACATTTGAAATACACTATAGCTCCATGGAGCCATTTGAAAAAAATTCGAAAACTATAATTATATGTTCATTTTATTCACATGATTTACAAGCTATATACGCATGTAACGGTTTCACCTTTCAAAGTATCCGTGAATTCCGACGAAATTGAACAAATTTCCTCCTGATCACACTTCACCGATATTCCGTCCCTAACGGACAAAACGTCCCCCGAACACGTGATAAACGCCGGCATTGGCGTTGACAAGATGTCATGCTTATTTATGTCGAATATCTAAAACAAAGTTTATACAGAATATGTTAGTTAGTAGCGTAAAAGGTAGAACAGTAAATTAAAATATTTACCCGGTCTTCCTCAAACAGGTCTCTCAACTCTGAAATTGATTCCTCGAGGAAAGAATCAGTAGGTTCGAGCAATATTTTTGAAGTTAATGGTAATTTCACGGATGTGGTTATGCTTTCGACTTTTTTTGGATCTTTATCGCTGTCTTTTTCAACAGTAATGCGAGTCTTTTAACGAAAAAGGTTATGTTGTAAAATTTATGATAATATTTAAATATCCATCGAGTACACATGGTTAATTATTCGTTTGCTTATGATTGAATATAATTATTTTTTGCTACCTCATCTGATAATTCAAGTTTTATTGAAGAAGAGTTAGATTTTTCGTTTTCTTCTGCCTCGAATTTTTCTGCATCTCTATCACATATTTCTAGCATCTCAGAACATTGACTCCCCGTGTTCGTTCCCATATCGAGTGCTTCGGAATGTATCTTAGGATTGCGGATCGTTATTTTCTCGGTAATGCTCTCTTGTTCAATATCATTTCCATGGGATTCATTAATTTTTACGTGCAGGCTTGGGACCGCATCCACTTCTTTAGTTGATCCATTTACAGCAAACGATACTATTCAAAAACAAATTGATGTAATTGCAATCTGATGTTTCTGATCGCTATTTATCAAGTTCAGATCATTTTATTCACAATTTCTTGTTTTTCATGTTGACAAAAAAAAAAATTCAACGTTATCTATCTGAATTCGGGAAAATAACAATGAGTTATCACAGTATTTGCATTTACTAACTTACACCCAACGTACCCTTATCGTCTTTATCGACATTGCTACCGATTTTGAACGAAGCATTTTCTTCTCCACTTTTACTAACTGAAGTAACCTTGCAGATTTCAATATTTTCGACAGTCCTTTTGAGTCGAGGATTTTCCAGAGTTTCTACTGGTGGATCACACAGATTTTCAAATGTTTCCTGTAGAAGTGGATATTTGAATGGGTTCTATTAACAATCAGCAAGTATAGTTTTTCAACCGCATTGCAATGAACAGTATTTTATATACGCCATATTTTGCCAAACATACTACAAATAAAATATTTTGCTTCTACCCAAAGTGTTTTTGTGTTAATTAAGTTATCCCCTCAATACTTTGGCATCGATAAAAAATTCGATCTCACTCGTTTTGAAAAATGTTGTTGAAGTTTATTTTTCTGAAGGTAGCCAACTCTCGTTGGTCCTTTGCTATTGCCTGCTCCCTCTGATTCGGGAGCATTGAAGCGGTTGATAAGTGATTGAACTGTCCATATTGGATATTCTTTTGCACAAAATCCCACTTTCAATTTCTTCTTGGCAGGGGTTAACGATGTAAACTTTCGGGAATCGTTAGTCATGGTACAGGATGACGTCTTTGGGGTGACACAATTGTCACGTGGTGATTTATTGTTCATCACGTATGTAGGATACTGGTAAAATAGTAGACTAGTTTTGTGCGGTAACACAAATAATAGCTACGAAACAAATAAAATGTTTACTTCTTCATGTAATGTATGGTTGGCATCAACAAGGTTTATTTTGAACCTGAGAACTAGACTACCTAACGACCGAGATGATTGAATTCCTGAACCTTTGAGAAATCAATCTTCAATACATATCTAACTTACGAGTATTCTCACAGCTCCCGAAATAAATTTAGGATATAGAATTGAATGAGTTTTACGTAGCAACGGTCGTTGTCAAGTAACGTCGTTGAATTTGTTTCGTCACAATATCGTAGTTGTCAAGTTTTGATTGGAGACATATTTGTAGTATCTGGCAGGAACTATCTTTGAAATTATCAGTGAATAATATAATTCACAGGTGGAGAGAGTCACAGAAAACCTCAAGGAGTGATCTAGCAGTGACACCCTATGTCTACTACTGTTATTATATATATATGAATTATAAAAAAAAGTATACACAATGCTTACTCCGGGTAATCTTCGCAGACCTGAAATATTGATTCCGGTAACAAATCTAGTTTTAACATTTGTTTCAGGGCTTCTGTAGTCTATCATACGCAGGAGTGATGCTTTACTCTTACAGTGTACAATACGGACCATTGAACTTCATCCGTTTGCATCATCGACAAAATATATTGTCAACGCGTGCGTGAGTTGAACGCAGCTAGTTGTAGGCTGTACATTCATTGTGTTTATTCCACAAAACATACGGAAGGTATGCATGTTACTTTTTTATATTTACCAACACTTTTAATTGTTGAAATTTTAATGATATTTACAGGCCAAAAAAGTACATTGAATAGTATACGTTTAACAACAAGAGATCTAAGCTCAAATAAATGGACACGTCACAAGGTGTCGCAATTTTATATTCTGACACATAAAAAACGAATCTCTTGAAGTCCACAGAAATTTTTAAAATAGGTAGAAGTAATAGTCTTCTGGGAAAAAATTCCATCTTTAACTACTAAAAACTTTAAAGCAATTGGTTCAGTAATCGAAGAGAAAAGCGACTTTTTAAAAACGTGTCCAAGAACAACAAGTACATAATATTGAAACGATCGTTATGTCTACTTAACGTGTCCAATAAAATGTGATATTATTACTGTTTTTTTTTAGTTTAAAACATAATTCAAACAAGCATACAGATTACACGATTGAATATAAATTTCCATGCTTTAATTTAAATGCTCGCGTTTTACTCTCTGTCTCAGGTTGTTGCACTTTATTGGTAAGGAGCTCCAGAAGATCGTGTTTTCATGGCTATGATCACTGTTTTAGACATTTATGAGTCGTAGCATGGCTTTCCGCGGCCGCTAATGTTGCAATTATTGCATCCGTTGGAATTTTTATTGGCTGCATAGTAACTGTAATTCATTATTTTGTGAATGAGTGCCGTCGCAACATGAAGTAAATATACTGAAAAATTGTAAATATAGAAAATTCTGATTAACGTAATCGAAATTAAAATATGATATTTCAATAAAAACGGCAAACTAATCTGTCACATTATTTATCGTTAAAATGAATTTGGAATTGCGCTCAAATATCTGAACTTCTTCCTATTCGCTATACTACCCCATGTAGCCGACATTGAACAAATACCAGTGTTTTTAGGATCTTCTATTCTTGGATTTAGCGTAATAACATCGGCGAGTCAAAAAAATGATATCAATACACAACAAGTTTTCAGATACAATGGTCAAAAACAAGATATCTCCGATAGGTACATTTCCAAAATTTAACTTTGCATGATGCAAATACTCAAATTTTATATGCAAACCTAATATTTTTCGAAACAAAAATCATATTATAAACTTCAAGTTTCCTCAAACTGAAACTTGATTAGCAATCTATTTCAACTAAGTTATAATCTTCCACAATATCCAGATTCTTCCAATAGAAAATGCCATGTGATCTTCACATTGGAATGAGTAAAAGTGCTGCAATCATAATTTCTTCAGGTGTTGTTGGATATCTCAAGTTTGGATCTATAATTTGTGGCAGCATCGCACTCAACTTTCCCGTTATGAACGTGTAAGCAACATATTAACCTAAATTTTTAAGAGTCTCAGTTTTGAATCAAAGAAACTTGTAGAAATTCAAATTAATGTAATATTTCATTTCTCATTATGTAGCTTCTGCAATTTAAAAACTGTAATAACTCGGGCGAAAGTTTGAAAGATCCTTGAAACTCATAATATTTATATCTCACCTGATAAAATGGCAAGAATTAAGTATATAGCAGTTGATCAGTATATATAAACATAACATAACAAAGATATAGCTGTTTCAAAATATTCAATGTTTCTATCGTCAACCGGCGTGAAAATGTCTGATTTATTTCCTGATCATCATCAGCTCAATTCATTATCTCTTTAGATTTTACCAAACCGTGGAAACAACAGTCTTATATAGTTCTAATAATTGTAAAAATTTGGTATGAAGGTATTGTTGGTTTTTCATTAACCTGTAGTCAGTGTAGCAAAACTAGAACATAACTATACCATGTTGTGGTATAGTGGCCGCGCAGTTTTTAGTGAACCACATGTGGCCTTTGGCCAAAAAGGTTGGCCGACACTGCGAGTCTAGTCGGTCATTTTGTTCAGCTTATTCGGAGCTACATCTTAACAGTTACCAATACCGATGTGCTTGCGGCATGTCATGCCCATCAGCCTCGATTGTCAAATTTAAGCAGACCATAAAATGCTTATCGGCAAATAGGATAATTTCATTCTAGTTAGATTCTTTGGCTTAGTTATTTGACTTCTGTGTTGATAGCATTGATCATTGAACTCTTGTTTTAAATTCTACATTAAACAGCATAAAAACGTATTTAACTTTATAGAAATATGAGTCATTTCAACACGTACCACACTGAATTCCATCTGAAACTCAAATCTGGTATTCCAGCCGAAATAAATATCAAGGCGATTCCAGTGATTATAATGACTGAAATCTCATTCGAACTCTAAAGTACCAAAGCTCCAGTGGAGTAATATGATTCTTAGACCCAAACTTATATAATATCATTCTTTTATTGGCCAGGTATTTGGCCATTTCAGTTCCATTATTGGGAAATTCCAATTCATTGATTAGTGCGTCCGTCGTATCAATGTTGGGTTTCGTCATTCCGGCATTCATTGAAATAAT